GCACTTTAGTGACATCACAGTTTCGGGATTATTGACAAATCCAAAGAAAAAGACCGGTTTTGAACAGGTCTCATCGAGTTCTTTGTTCCAGTATGCTCGGTTTAAAAATAAGACCGATAGTTTTTACACTGAAATTTCAGTTCGATCTGTACACCACAATTAGTCAGGGTATGACCAATTAGCGTGAGCGGTGAAGCCACTCTAACCTATGGTTTTTATAACCAAAATTACCTCAGTTTATTAGAAATCGAGCATATGCCCTAGTGATAAACGGCAAAAGCTTTGCTAAGCACAATGTTGTGTTGGTCGAGCAACTGCGTACTGTAGCTGTCCAGTTTTAACATATCCACTTCATCATTCGATGCGGCGTTGTTCCGTGACGAGCTATAGAACGCTGAACCCAAGACGGCAGAATAAACTGCTTGCCCACGAGCGCATTTGCCTAAGGTTGAAGAGCATCGTCAGATAGGAGAGCTCCTACATGTTGAGTATGGACGAATGCTAGAGGCTTGATCTCGATAGTTTCATTTCTTTTTCATGTTGCCTTTGTGCGTGCAGTCGAAAGGCTGGTTCAATATATTTTCCACAGTAAAAATGCTTATGTCCCACTGCTGGAGATCGAAGTGTTAAAGGCTGGGGTTGGCTTGGTGGTACCCAGTAGTTTTCTCTTAGAGAGTGAAGTGTTCGCGCGAACAGGCCATTGTTTTGCTGTTGGGAAATCAAAAGTCTCTCTTAATAAGAGCATAAGAGTATTTTGCTCTTACTAAAATTTGGGGAATTGATTAGATTGAACCAATCAAATGTGAGCTAGGAACCTTATTCGTAAGAACATAAATGAAGGCGTAATTACGATTTTTACGGGTACACTGACGGTGACCAATCGATTGGCGAAGCAACTCGGACGAGCTACCATGTCGGTGATTCGAGAACTTGCAAGCATCGACAACAGTGAGTGCGGGAGGAGCGCGTTTGTGTGGGCTTATCTACAAGGAGTTCTCAAGTGATTACACAATCAGATGACGAGTCTGAGGACGACGAGTGTTTTATTGCATTGCGTTCTGCCGTGCTTTGAGACGTCTCAGACTCTCAATGTGAAGAACATTCGAGGCATTTGTATGATGAGACCAAGTTAATTGCGTGTGTTTATATGGCTGGCTGTTGATGATGGATAAAACATATTTGCTACTCTTGACATGCCTTCGGGTATAGTGACGACATTTTTTATCACCAAGATCACTGAGACGGCCTCAACCATTTCGCTATTGTATACTTAAGTACAGACCAAAGGCAATGACGAATGCTATAGGGACATCTGAGACGTAGTGGGGATGTAGTGTCCTCGCCGCCTGAAGATAGTTTATAGTGGAATCTCATTAACCGAGCCTTTCAGCCTTCATAATCTTGCGCCTGTTTTGTGTTGGCAGCAACCAAAGTGTCAAATTCTCGCTGTTTTTTCCCCGTGAACAGTAGAAGCCGAATCTTTGGGACACTGAAATCGTGCGACGACGCTTTGGGCGTGCTGAACCTTCTTTTAGGAAGAAGGCGGCAGCAGAAATGTTGTTGAGCAGGCAAACGTCTGTGCGAACATTTTAATACATCTGTAGTAGTACTAGAACAGTGTACTACTGTAGCACTACTACTGCAGTCTAGATTCAGTACCTCGAAGTACTACAACTACTTGAAATGGTCTTTTTGAAAAATTCGACTCTTTGGTCTGATACAAATCTGTATCACAGTCGCAATCTGAGAGGCGTTAAAGATTAGTTTCGTAGCCGTCACTCATCAAAGCCACGTACTCTCAGCAAGTGCAATTCTTGTCGCTTTCGCTTGAACCCACTTGTCTTGGCTGTACAGTACTGCTACAGCTCGTGACTGATGTGCATGAACCAGTCGCCGTCTCTCTCGGCTGCACTTTGGGCCATTCTTTTATTGCCAACAACAATATTAAATATGTCTCTTTTTTTGGTTAAGAGAATATTTGTATTTCTAGTAATATTTCACTTTTTTTCAAAACGAACGCAAAAAATCAACTGTCCTCCCAGGCCAAAGCTACGCCTCTAGTAAAATATGGTTTTAGAAAAAACGACCATTCTTTAGCTACTACTAGTACTGTCCGTGACGGTACTTCAGTAGATTATTAGCACACTCCTGCTAGCACATAACATTTTTTGCTCGTCCTTGCCGGGATAGTGGCCAGCATCAGCAGATTTGACTGGAATTTACAGCATTCATGTGGAATTTACAGCATTCATGTGCAAGGAATACAATGAGATTTGCTTAAAACCGCTATTTTTTTAGATTTGATCGGACTTGTCGACTTTCCCGAATTTGCGACGTCACTAAAATGCGACACGACTTATTGGTGTACCACCGGTGGTACAGATTCTAAAACATCAGAAGTTTTTAAAAGTTGAGAGTAAACGCGTTGTAAAAATAAAAACAAATGCGTTCTATTAAAACAGGCGTTTTCTCCGTCACTCGAACCAACAAATTGGCTGAGTGCACATACCGTAGTGATATTATATGTGCACTCAGCCTCCCAAAGTGGGTCAAGGCTATTAACCCACGAAAATTCATAAAAGCTGTCTGTAGAGCACACAATGCATCTACTGCAAGGAAAACACGTTATTATCCCTTTGGGGCGTATAAACGAAAGCATCTATATGTATTTTACGACAGAGAAGCATACGGACCACCGGATACTGGCAGACACAAACACATATGCCGGCACTCAATAACGACTCGTTGTAAGGTGTTAAAACGAGCTCTACTGCCGTGGGTGCGTGTGTTTATCTTTTCCTATGTGATCGAATTATTTTTTTATAGTGTGATCGAATTATTTTTTTATAGTAGCTAAATAAATCTCCGCGATCAGTGATTGGCAGAAACTCCAGCTTCTTCTTCTAGCTTTTCAACGATACCTTGTGGTAAAATAGGTCTTACTGGTCGATCCAGGAGGTAGTTTCAAGATTATACAAAAGTTCCCGACCGACCGGCCGAAGAGCACCTTCTTGCACGGAATTGGTATTCAAATAGCTATCAAAAGCCCAATAATTATCTACCCTTATGCATAATAAATACCTAAGAAAACAAGCACATTTTAAAACTACCGCATCTTTTATTATTTTTATGGTAGCAAAAGGGTTAACCCTTTTAAAGCATAATACATGTATCACCCGCATGGGGAAATCGCTAGAATAAACAGACCAATCAGAGTCGTTCGCGCTTTTTCACAACTTCATTGCCGGATATCTACAGTACGAACACGTCGTGATGCACGCGCAGGATATGGAGGCCGTGGAGGAAGAGATGCGCGCCTCGGAGGCCTTCGAGCGGCGGTAGGCTACGGAGATCCAACTGCAGCAGCCTGAAGCAGCAGTGCCCCGTCCAACCAGTGATGACGCTGTAGGAAGTACCTGGAGAAGGCGCAAAGCTGCTTGGACCAAGTACTGGCTCGATGTGCGACACTGTTCGACGAGGATGGAGATGACGACGTGAACATCGAGGATGCCATACAGCCAAAGGAGAAGCATTCCGCTGCTGCGAAGGCCACATGATGACAGCTGAGTATCTGTGCAGCCGACCGCCCATTGACGTGGACTCGCTTCCCGTGGTGTTGGATGATGGCAAGCGGTTGGTCCTACGCAAAAAGCTCCAAGCATTTCACCTCCAGATCTGTTCGTAGTGTGGCGTCGTCACTCGTCCCCATCAGAGAATTGATGAAAACAGTCAAACGGGTACGCTGGCTCAGAATGTAGCTGTGCGTAAGGTTGAACAGACATATCTTACGATGTCGGTGGTTTTGTGTTCATCAGATGGAAATTAACGAAGCAGCTGCGAAGGAGGACGATACAGTGCTGCGGGAGCTTGGGTCACATGATAAGGAAGAGCCCCACGCGTCAAACGCAGTGCTGTGGTTGGACAAATATGTACAGGCCACAAAGCGTCATGGCATCTATTATAATAAGCGACGAGCGAACCAACCGTGAGGTGTTGTCTTGGATCAAGTCGTGGTATTTCCGAAGAAGAAGCGAGCTAGCGGTGCACACTCAGCAACTCCTGCCAAGACGAGTGGTTTCGGCGCCCTTAACAAGTCTCCGTGGACCCAAGCCCCCTTGTAGAACCAAACTAAAAGCATCTCTGGGGGGAGGATGACGAAGATAAACGTCCATTCAAACAAGATCATCCTCATCCATTGGAAATGAAAAAAGCGAAGACCGCGGCCAAAAATCGCCACCCGTTAACTCGCCCACTAATCTGCAGCTGTAATGACCTGTACGCATCCGCGTCGCGCCCTATGTCAAATGGCAAAGATCTCACGCTGGACGCACCACACTGTTACACGTCTGACGTGCCTTTGCCGACACGAAGGCATTAGGGCTTCTACAGGGGCACTAGCAGCTCTGAGCTCATGCGGTGACAACGATAATCGCTATTAGTACAAGTTCTTGATGTCGTGTGGGGTATCCGCGTGGGCAGTTTGAGGGCTCAAAAACGACGGGATCGCTCTAGTAATATCCTGACAGCACTGACAGAGGGAGCGCAGTTGCAGCCAATCTTACTCATGACTCATGGTACTCATGAGTCATGAGTACCAGCGTCCTTGTCGTGGATATGGTCTCGTGGCTGGTTGCGAGCTTATCTCTCAACATCCGCCGTATCAACCTGTCGCTTCAGACTAAGGATGAGGTTGATGATTCAGCGACTCATTCCGTTGATGGCGTCACTGGGGCTGTCATTTCGTCACAAACATCGACCCAATGGAAGCGAAGACTACGCACTCGCACTCTTTTTTTTTTGGTGAAGCCTTTAACTCTTTTACCTTTTTTTTCTTATCACGCTGTTCTGTCGTGTCTGGATAGGGCGCTGAATGAACTGGCGAAAATCCGAAGTAAAGAAGGCGTCACACCGTATCAATACGTGCTTCCAATGACGGCGTGGAAGATGATAGCTCGCGAGGTGGAGTTGGAGCAGATGCGTCGGAATAAAAAAAAAGGTGCTTACCTAGTTACTGCAAAATGAGTGACGACCTTGTCGATAAAATCTGACTGTAAATGGTGATTGAGACCAACGTACCACGAGCGAGTACGTGCTTGCAGGGCCAGCAGCTCCTCGGTCGGAGTCCATTCTCCCCACTCTCCACTGCTTTCACTGGAGTTCGTTAATAAATTATCGCCATTCTCGTTCGCCTTCTTGAAATACTGGTTCATCAGTCTTGGGAGATCTCGTCTCCAGTCGCTCACGAACAATACAGGTGCATGCAAGCGACGAAGCACGCCATGAACATCTTCAGGCACACAGCGCCACGAATCAGGATATGTCGGGTGATAAAACACTCCAGGGGGCTGGCATTGTGCCGGTAACTCCTCAACAATAGGGATTGAGCCGGACGATAACGCCTCCCAGATTCGGTACTGCTCTGGGTTCTTCCCTAGCGGACAAATGGTAAACACTGACTGCTGCAATGTAGAGACATAAGCAGCTGGTGCAGCCGACAAATACCAGCGCCAAGCTGTACCCATGCGCTTGTCCACAGCTTGTAGAACCTTGAACAACATGTCGTTGTGTTCTACAACACAGCGTCGGGTGTTGGCTCGTGTGACGCTCTCTAAATCCCCGCATACTTGCAGCGCAGCCATCATAGCTTGCACTCGGGTCGGCTTCTCAATAGTCCAGCTGACCATGAGATTCAACAGGAATCTACGACCGATACCAGTCGCAAGAGGACGCGGTGGGTTGAGGCGGTGCGCGTTCAATGGGAAGCCATGCTCAAAGCTGGGTCCTAGCGGTAGTGACGCGAATCGTTTCCCATCTACTAGAGCACAGTCGCCGTACGGGATGAGCCCGAACTTAATAGCTGCGTTGTCCAAGAAGCGCTCGGGATTGGGATTGTTGCAGCTTTCTTTCGACATCGTGAGGAACCCGACACGAGGGTCAGAAGGGAGCGCGTCGTTCTCGAAGAAACGATGGACACAATCGAGTGACTGCGCTAATACGAAGAGATTGCTCCTAGCTGGTAGACTTCGTAGCTCCTGTGCGTTGTGAATCATGCGGAATTCCAGATTCAGAGCATCAATTCTACGAGTCCAAGGTTCATCGATTGGTGTCTCCACACGAGAGTCGAAGTAAGGGCCGAGAAGACTGTGCCACAAGTACGGGAACAGCGTGATCTCGTCCACAGGACGTGCCTTATCAAAACCCGAGACTACGATCGCAGCTGCATCTCTGTTGCCATCACCAGACGGACTCGACGCTGTCCAGAACTTTGGTAGCGGCTCTACAATGGGGACCATTTGATCCGGACTCAGCTCCAGCACGTGGTTGTAGTCGAAAGGCACCAAGTACACTACCGTCTGCAGGGCGTTCACTTCGCCGCGTTGTCTCTTATAACGCTCAACGATTGAATCCAATGTCCGAAATTCCGTGTAATCTGCCATGGCATCGCGATATTTGCACGTGTTCATAATATCTACCGGCAGCTTGTGCGTATCCTGGAACAGTCTTTTCCCAGTGTTCTCTAGCGAGTACCATTCGTATGGTTGCTCCTCATTAGACCCAGTACGCAGCTTGAGCACAATCGTAGTCGTGATAACATTAGCCGAAGCCACGAGAAGCGTGACGAGAGCCGACCGACGTGCAAGCTGCTTCCACTTGAAGACGTGGACGTCGCTTCCCTCGCCGTCGTCTTCTGCGCCAGTACGTGCTGGCTTAGCATGGAGTCTTGCGGTCTCCTCTCTTTTCTTTATACGCTCCACAGAATACCGCCGCGTGTTTAGTTCCGGCACGTCCACCGACGTCCTGCGATCCCTTGCAATCGACGCACAGTCGGTAGTATCGTCTTGGTCTGCAGGACGGTAGTGCCGCCCACGGCTTGATCTGGTCTCTCGTTCGTAGCGATAGGTCCACCAGCCTACCATGACAATGATTTGGAGTATCACACCTGTGACCCAGACCCACAGCAGCAACACCACGGATGGGTACATGTGCAGCGCATTGGGCATTGCTCCAGCAGATATTGCGGCTTTTGAATGTCGACGACGTAGTAGTGATAATGGCCGGGTGACAGCACGTGACGGAAATTGGGCGCGCGGCAACAGCAAGAACCTGAGGCGCAAGAGCTAATGCTCGAGGGAATCGGTGACAGGATAGGCGTTGCACTCCTCGACCTACTTAGACAAAGTGTACACACGTCTGTTTTGATCAAAGTCAGTTGGAAGTGGATACATCCCAGGAAGTGTCTAACGGACTGCATGCAGGCAGTTATTTTAATTGAACGCACGACTCTCCTGTATTTCACATACTAAAGCTATCGTCTACCCGACAACGACAGCTCATTTAAAGAATCCCTTGCGTTTGTAGCCCTTGTGCTTGTAGTGGCCGTAGCCGTGGCCGTAGTGACCGTAGTGTCCATGGCCGTAACCATAGCCGTGCCCGTAGCCGTGGTGTCGATGACCGAAGCCCAGCAAGCCACCTAGTCCTCTGCGCTTATACTTGTAGTGGTGGTGACCGTAGCCGTGGTGATGATGGTGGTGCGCATGGTGCACGCCTGGCTGGACAACGTACACTGGTTGAGGCGGAGGAGCTACATACACGGGGGGAGGCGCGGCAGCGTAGACCGGAGGAGGAGGTGCTGCGTAGCCCGGAGCAGGATGAGGGTAAGCGTGCGGAGTCGGCGCCGGGTACGCATAGCCCGAAGCGGGGGCAGGTGGATAAGGATGCTGTTGTGGTGGCGGAGGATAAGGCGCCGGAGCTGCATGAGGAGGATACGCGGGCTGAGCGACAGGAGGCTGCTGATGTCCTTGGGGTGGGTAACCTGGCTGCTGTGGCGGCGCTCCTTGAGGATAACCTTGCTGAGGCTGGCCGGGTGGAGGATGCTGGTTGTGCATTATTTGCCAATTTGCCGGCCTTGTAGTCTTCTGTCTTTTTGTTGCTGAACTTGTGTCCGCTTGCTGGTTTTTCTGATGTGCAACGCGACATTCAGACAATCGACTAGATTCAGACTCAGAAGTGTTAATTTCTGATTCCGACAGCTGCTTCAAAGTCCTCCTGCGTGTTCCGGTATTATTACCGTTTGCAAATGCAGGACCTGCAGCAATTGAAACGACATCTTCACTGCAGTGAGCTCGCGTGTATATGACCGCTTGCTTATCGAGAATAGCCAGCGATCGACAGTTCGATGTGGCCGTCACAATCAGTCGCTGACAGTCCTCTTATTCCTCGCTCAACGACGGCGCGGATGGCTGCACCTTTGAAGGTGGCTGCGTATTTTGCAACGAGTAATTATAATACATACCAGCACCGGTATCAATTGCCAGGCGAGCGAAGAATTAGGCGAATTCAGTGAAGGGGGTGGTGGCGGTCCGTGATATTGAGGAGGAGCATAGGCCATTGCAAGCACGACCCAGGTGAACCCAGGGACTCCTGCGTGTCGGCGGTGGAGCATATTGTCTGCGAGGCGGGTGAAGTCGTGCAGATCAGGGAAGCGCGGAGGCCTGAGCCCGGAGCCTGCATGGTGGCGGTGATGACCATTTCCGTGAGGTCGCGATGGATTCATTTTTCTGGCTAGAAGCACTGGGGCTTGAGTGTCTTCGAGCTAGTTGCGAACTGCCCAGCGCTTTGTTAAATGAGGGGCGAAAGAGGGGCTATTTCGGCTCAAACGTGGTACCAACCTTTATCATCGCGGAAAGGAAACCCTGATAAGTGTGTAAACGTTTACCAACGATGCGCTGTTTGGAATTGAAAGTGTATTGATGATTTTTTACAGGAGGGTACAGGACTTCGTAAAACATTGATGGCGGGAGCGGCGCAGCGTACACTATCGGCGGCGGAGGTGGCAGGACCACCACAGAAGAGGGCGCAAAGTGCACTGGAGCTGGCGGTGGGCCATGGTGATAGTCTCACCGAGACTTGTCCGGGAAACAATACTTGCTCTTGTTTGGTTGTGGCTTATGAACTCTGAGCGTGGCGGAGTGGAAGATATGGGGACATGCCAATATCAAGCGACTCGTAAATTGCTCGTCTTGCCACAAATCCTCCCAAATCTTTTACTGTAGCTTGAAATTATTGTTGTCAACGAGAGTTTCTGTTGCCAGCAAATTGCTGGGGCATAATCTGGCTTCGACGACGTGGGTGAAGATTTTGCTAGCACTCGGTGCAAATCCTGGCTACCAGTTCAAAAGTATAAACATGTGGAGAGTCACACGGTGAGGCGATGTTGACGGAAGACTTTGCGCAGCAGTGAATTAACGCATCGTTCATTCCGCAATTTACTAGGATACCCTGCGACTTCCGCAGCACAGACGGAAAGCCCGATGTTCGGTCGACCACATCTGCCCCCGCACAGCCCACCGCGCCACCACCAAGGCCCTCCTCCGCACCACCACAGTCTTTCGTCTCCGGGCCACCACCAAGGCCCTCCTCCGCATCACCACAGTCCTCCGCCCCCGGGTCACCTCCAATGCCCGCCTCACCACCACGGCCCGCCTCACCACCACGGCCCTCCGCCTCCTCACCATTACGGCCCACCTCCCCACGGTTGGTAATGATACTAGAAGGGAAAACGACAGCCAACAAAGTACTGTCGCGAGCCACGAACAATTTGTTGGAATTGTCAACGCCGTAGGTGCCAACGCTAAAGACTGCTACTCACTAAACGAATAAAGTTGAGCTGCTCTTCACCGCTTCCACGCGAATATCATTGAGTCAGTGCCAACGGATAAATGAGCACTTCAAATGCAAAATCAGTATTAGTGCAAGCTCGAGTTGTTTAGGTGATAACGGAGAGACTGCAACGGCATTTACGACAACGAGCGCTCGCAATCCATTTTCAAGCACATACACGAACTCGGCTGTTCGCACAATGCATACTGCCGGCCCGCGATCTTTCTGCGACACCAGCAGCGACCGAACACACCTACTTGAACATCTTTTTCATCTTCTTACCCATCTTCTTAAAGCCTTTGCCCTTGAAACCTTTGTACTTGTGGCCCTTGAACTTGTGACCCTTGTGCTTGCCGTGCTTGTACTTACCGTGCTTCATCTTGCCACCGGCGATCACAACGCCAGGCTGCGCAACGTATGCAGGTTGGGCGTAGGCGTAACCGGGCTGAGGTGCGTGGTGGCCGTGTGCAGGATAACCGGGCTGCGGGGCATGGTGACCATGCGCGGGGTAACCAGGCTGCGGGGGGTACTGCTGAGGTGGATAGCCTTGCTGAGGCGGGTAACCCTGCTGAGGCGGGTATCCTTGTTGCGGAGGGTATCCTTGCTGGGGAGGATATCCTTGCTGGGGAGGGTATCCTTGCTGGGGCGGGTATCCTTGTTGCGGAGGGTATCCGGGCTGCTGAGGGTATCCGTGCGGTGGTTGGCCTCCTCCAGGGTACATCGTAGCTTTGAGATCTTGGACGTCGAGGGAATGTGAAAAGCGGAGTGACGAGTCGTCACTCGGGAGAACAAGTTGTACCTACGTTGCGATGGCACGCTGATTGGCTCGATATTTGCTGATCTGCGATTCGTCAAAAAAATCAAAATAGCTGGGGCGGTCGATGTGGTGCACATAAATTTAATGTTGTGAGATTGACTACAATCTGAGTACCGGTTCTGGTACCGGTAGTTTAGGATGAAAGCCTCTGAAATATCCGGATTCTGCCCTGGATTTTAGGAAGCGACGCAAACGATTAGGAACGGCCCTAATTAAATAGAAATGCCACCGGCGGCAATAGGGTCTCGCTGCGAACTGCTGTCCCTGGGTCCAAGTGGCAGTCTTCGCTCTAGTATCAAACGGTACGGTGAGATCGCGTACATTGGGACGATCGAGGGCCTCCCGGGCGACGGCTGGCTTGGAGTACGGCTAGACAAACCGTTGGGCAAAGGCGACGGGTCATTCCAGGGCAGGCGCTACTTTGATTGTAAGCCGCTGCACGGCGCAATTGTTCGGCCCGAGAGGGTCAACACGAACGGTGTATTCCCCAAACTCACGACACATGAGGAGAGTCTGGCACATGCGCTGGAGGAGCGACGCAAGGAGAAACAAGAGGTGAGAAACGCCGCGACTGGCGATACACAGGATGTCTTGAAGCTGAATAGAGAGCTAACGACGGATGAGCTGGCGACTGCGTTCTGGGAGAAGCTTACTCAACAAGAGGCTCACATTCGCAAGCAGGTAGGGGTGTTCTGTGAGCAGAAGAAGCAACCGCTGCCGTGTGATCCGGCCAAAGAGGTTAAGCTGGACGCGCTGGTGCTCGAGGTAAATGCCATGAGAGATGCTGCTGCCACAGCATCATCGTTATACTTGTCTCCGTATGACACTCGTCACACGCAGCTGATCCTGTCCAAGCTACTGGAGCTGATTGACACAACACGGACGACATTCGCTCCCAGGAAAAAGTTCACCTTTCGAGCACGTGCTGCGAAAAGAGCAAAAGCTATAAAAGTGGAGGGACAAGACCAGCCAGAGTCATCAGGTTTGAGTGACTCAACAGGAAATCAACAGGCCTCGTCGCCTGCACTGCGAGCGATTGAACTTGACGAGCTGGTGCATGCCAACAAGCAGAACGAGGTGATTGTCATCGATAGCAGCAGCTTCGCCCACACCGACGACAGCCGGCGTCGCGATCTCAACTTCTCGCACTTATCCGACTGCGCTGTGCTGGTTTGCGTGGAGACATCGGCCATCCGTGGCGATGCACTGAAGAATTGCGTGTTCTACACCGGAGCGATCTTCGGCAGTTTGTGGCTTGAGAACTGCAACGGATGTGAGTTCTTCGTCGCATGTCGCCAGCTTCGCGTCCACTTGAGCACTGCCACGACCTTTTATCTCCGCATCCCGAGCCATCCTATCATTGAGGATTGCCAGCAGATACAGTTCGGGCCGTACCGCTTACAGTTTGAAGGACTTAAGGCACAGCTAGAACGTCTGGGTGTATCGAAGGACTCGGGTCTTTGGGCTAAGGTGAACGACTTTAAGTGGCACAAAGCGCAGCAGTCTCCCAACTGGAGCATCCGCGACCCCAAACAGCCACTGCCGAAGATCCCAGTGAAGTTGGAGAAGCTGATCTCGTACGACTAGTCCAGGCTTTGAGCGCACTACCGGTAGCCTATTTAATGAGGCGGGTCGCATGCTGTGTGCAGATTGAAGTGAGGTCGCAGACAACGGCTTTTGAAAGAATATAAACACATGCAGCTAGATACTTAAAACCAAGTATCCATCTATCGTTTCGCCTCCCTGTTAAGTCTAGTCGTGCTTGCTCTTCTTGTGCTTTTTCTTCTTGGCGTCTTTGTCTTTGTGCTTGCTAGGCTTCACTTTATCGACAGCAGGCGCTGTTGCATCTTCTGCTACCTCTTCATCAGCAGATTTCTCGTGTTTGCGCTTCTTGCTCTTCGTTTCCTTCTTGTCCTTCACTTCCACCTCACTTTGTTTGCTCTTTCTGGCTTTCTTCTTCTTAGTGGGCTTGGTCACTGGCTCTCCTGCTGCCAGGTTAAGATGCGTGGCCTTTTTCGCTTTCTTTGATGTCGTAGTCTTCGCAACGCCAGCGGCGTCAAAGCGCATCGTGGCTTCAATAGCGATCATACCGCCAGCAACGTGGACACTGCAAAACCAGCAATATTTTTTGCACCAGTATCAGTACAATGCCCTGCAATAATAAAAATTCTGTGTTAGACTCACCGCAGCACTTTGACCTCGACCTCATCCTCAACAGAGATAGAGGAGCCGTCCTCGCCCAGCCTACACAACGAATACCAACGCACATTGTAAATAATAGAGCTGCATACGCGCAATACCTGCAATAATCTTACCAGCAGTCCTGAGCGTAGTTGTGCACGTATCCTTTGGGCAACTCAGCTTCAGCCACGGAGCCGTTGAAGACACCAGCGAAGAGCATTCCGACGTGGTTGCTGCCGATCTTATTGACGACGCCGCGCAGCTTCATTCCTTCCTTTGGACGGAAGACCAACGCATCGGTCAGCACCTTACAATGAATGAAGGGCATTTCGTTCACGATGGCTCCGTAGGGTCTGTCCAGCTTTACGTTACTGAAGCTCAGCACCACACCCTGCAGAGCCTCCGAGTAGCGCATGAGCTGCTCCGTCAGATTCTGTTCAATGCCGACACGCGCATCCACGGCATGACACGGTGACAGACTCACGTTGCGTCGGACTTTGCACAACACGAACGCGTTTGACGCCATCCTACTGCTGCTATCCTGCTGTGCACGCGCTTTGACACCAACAGGTCTATGGCGGCTTCGCTTCCAGTGAAAACACAACAGTTTTAATTTGTGTTGTCCACACCAGTATAATTTTGTTATTTCAGTACATAAGCTTAAGTTGCGTTAACGTTGCGTCAGCGACGAGCGGCTCTCAGACCGCACAGCTCCCCACACTACCGGAACGCGATGAACGTCATGGTGCTGCGTCGATCGGCCGCGGCAGTGGCCGCAAAGCAGAGCCTGAGCCGCACGGCGCCCGCTGCTGTGGCCGGTAGCACACGCGGCTTCGCGAACATCCCCGCGCCCGGCAAACAGGATCCCAAGCCTACGTGGGGCGAGGTGATCGAGAAGATGTCCGACACCTTCTTCCTATCGGACGTGTTCCGTGCCACCTGGTTGGCTTGGGAAGTGCACGTTGAGCGCAAGGTTACTATTAACTACCCGTATGAGAAAGGCATGCTTAGCCCGCGTTTCCGTGGCGAACACGCGCTGCGTCGTTACCCGAGCGGCGAGGAGCGGTGAGTGGCTCCGCTCTGGTGGTGCGGTCAGTTGTATGAAAAGTCGCGTTCTCATTCTTTGTATCTGTTGTTAATTGACCCATAGATGCATTGCCTGCAAGCTGTGCGAGGCTATCTGCCCCGCTCAGGCCATTACCATTGAAGCGGTGAGTATTACAATTGTCAAAAAGATCGGAAAAGTGGCGCTGACAAGATGTTAACTTTGTGTATTACAGGAGCCGCGTGCGGACGGCGCCCGCCGTACCACAAGTTACGACATCGACATGACCAAGTGCATTTACTGTGGCTTCTGCCAGGAGGCATGCCCCGTGGACGCCATCGTCGAAGGCCCCAACTTCGAGTTCGCCACTGAGAGTCACGAGGAGCTACTGTACGACAAGGCAAAGCTTCTGGCAAACGGTGACAAGTGGGAGTTCGAGATTGCCAAGAACCTCTCGGTCGAGCAGCTCTACCGTTAAGCAGACACATACACACAAACGGAGACTCTGCACGCTGCATACTGCGGGATCGTGATGCACTTAAGTAGCATCATGGTTTTGTGACTGACGAGTGGGGTGTCTTTATAACAAAGAAAAATAAGAGCGAATGAATGGAGTTTGGGGCTCTTCTAGGAGCTGCGGTGGTGTAGCACAGGGTTGTCAGATACAGAACTCAGCAATTGCATCGAAGTTATTGGGAATCGAATTACGCGTCTTCCGGCGGTGCAATTGTGAACTTGATCTTCTTGATGGTCTGCCCAGCGAACTGGTACGTTTTGTCTGGTACTCTGGATGTGTCCGTGTCGTAGAAATAGCTCGTCCCCACCGTCTCCTCGAGCTGCCCATGCAGTTCGTACTCTCCGATTTTTAGCATCGGCCTTGCCGTGTCGATGCCCTAGTCATTCGAACCAAGCAGCACAACGTCAACATCCGAGTCCTTCTACTCTACCATTGAACAGTTCTCGCACCTCAAGCGTCGCAGAGCTGTAGTCATCGAACAATGGGTGGTTCTTAAAGTCGCATAGCTCCAGCACCACCAGCATCTCCTCCTCGTCTTCACTTTCGTCGGCATCGCCAGTTTCCGAGTTTGGAGCCGGAGCTTTATCTTCCAATTCGTTTGCGTCTCGCTTAGCGTTCACCTGCTCATTTGTCTGCTCTGTAACGTGCACGTCATTCTCCTCATTCCTTCCTTCCATTCCTTCACTCTCCGCTCTTCGTCGCTTTCCTGTTGCAGCATCAGCTCGACCATCGTCCTTCATGGTTGTGCCACAATACCGGTAATGTCCTCGCTTTTAAATGACACTGACAGTGTTTCACCTCATTTTAGTGACGTATTGACGCTGACCAGCCAAAGTCTCGATTGGCAGTTAGTTGATCACCTTCACCATGGCGTACGTCGGTGAGGAAGCGACCATCGTGCTGTCGGGTATCGGCACCGAGCTGTCCGATGGGATGCTCATGAACATGTACCGCACTTACGGCCCCATCGTGCGCGTCCGACACAACGGAACCAACTCTGCGTACGTCGAAGCACTTTTCCAATCGTCCAATGCATTGCTCTAATTCATCGCATTTCATGCAGTCAAGTGGTTTTTGCGCAGAAGCAGCACGCAGAGAGAGCAGTAGAGGCAACGAATGACGCTGTAGTGTACGGTAAAACGCTCAAAGTGTCGCTACAGCGCAAATTTAAGAAAACGACGGAGCCATGTCGCGGCTTCGCTGCTGGGATCTGCCGCAAGGGCGACATGTGCAAGTATTACCACGTGACCGATAATGCTGCATTTGCATCACCCGTTCCTGTCGTTGCAAAAGCTTCACGCGAAGCTAAGAAGAAGACACCAAAGCCGAAAACGCCGAAGCCAGTATCGACAGAGCCGGCCGCTGTACCTTCGGACGTTCAAGGGGTCCCATCCACGCAGCTTTGTCGTCACTTTACGCGTGGATTTTGTGCGCAAGGCTCGGCATGCACGTTTGCACACGTGCTAGGCGTGGCCAAGGACGCTGTACCTGCTTCTACTGGCAAAGTTGCCCAGCTGTGTCAGTTCTTCCTCAATGGAGTGTGCACTCGTGGTGACGCTTGCAGATTTATTCACCAGGCCAAGACAGTTTCTAGGCCAGAGAAGACGTCTACAACCCAGACGTCTGTCCAAAGCGAACAGGAGAGTGAGAGCGAGGTTGAAGCAGAGGCAGAAGCAGAAAGTGAACAAAGCGAAGATACGCGCATCTGTGTCGAGTGCGAGAAGCCTGATGTTGCTGTGTGGAAGTGTTCAAAGTGTGATAACTCGCTTTACTGCGACGACTGCAACTCGGCTGTGCATCGCGCTCGTGTGATGGCTAAGCACAAGCGCACAAAACTGCCTCCCATCCCCACGCTGCCTCGTTGTGGCGAGTGCGAGGCCTCTACTGCCAGTGTGCGATGTGAGCAGTGTGAGGTACCGTTCTGCGTCTCATGCGACGCCAGTGTGCACAAGTTTAAAAGCTTGCGGAAACACACTCGCGTCAAACTGGCAGGCAAAGTTGAGAAGGCAAAGGCCACTAAAAAGGCCAAGGAAGAGCCAAAGGCTACGAAAGCCAAAGAGACGAAGAAAAAAGAGAAAGCGGTGGAGTCGGCGTCACGACCCAAGGTCGTCGACCCCGTACCGTACGTCGAGAGCGTCCCGCAACTCGAGTTTTCTTCGGAGTCGTCCGAGTCTGAGGACGAGGAGATGCAGCCGCCTACTACACAGAGTACAGATAACGATGAACCCATGGCCGACGCGTCTGAAACGGAGTCCGAGGAGGATTTTGACGATGTCAAACCGCAGGCTTCAGCCCCTGTGGCCCCTACTCCTGCTGTCAAAGAACAAGCCTCCAATTCTTCCGACTCGGAGGCTGAAGAGAATTTCGACGACAAACCTGCCGATAAACCAACGCCGTCACCTGCTTCAGTTCCGAAGATGGAGTTGTCGTCCGATTCCGACAGCTCCGACGATGAGGCTTCAGAACCGACCCCAGCACCAACGCCTACCGCCAAGGCAGACGTATCGTCCGAGTCTGGAGATGAATCGGAGGATGAAGCTCTTTCGAAACCTGCTGTACAGTCCACGCCAGCACCAACTCGTACGCCAACGTTAGCTGAATTATCTTCCGAATCCGACAGCGACTCGGACGATGAAGCTCTAGCCAAGAAACTTACTGTGAAGCAGGCGAAGAAACCAGAACCCAAGACTCCTACAAAATCACCCGTGGCCAAGACTAAGCCGGCCGCTTCATCATCTTCCTCGTCTTCCTCGAGCTCAGACTCCTCAGACTCTGAAGATGAAGCTCCTGCTAAACCTGCCAAGCCTACACCAGCACCTCGTGCACGCAACCACAAGGCAGGAGGCATCTCAGAAGGCAGTTCGCATACTTTGGTCAAGAAGATTGAGGGTTTCGGTAACTCAGGTGAAGGCAACGAGCTGCACCTGGACGCCAACCTGAATGGCTTCGAGCGTCTACTAGCACACGATTGTGCCGAGCGCCTTGGCCTCGCACACGAGAGCATCGGCTCTGGTCTGGAGCGTCATATCATTATCTCCCGTCATGGAGCGAAGCGTCCTGCAGCGAGTTCTGGCCAATCTCACAAGACCAAGAAGAGTAAGCATCGTCACTAAGTCAGGAGATAAAAGACTGCCAGCTAGTCTACAGTAGTGACACCGAACAGCTATAATAGATTTCTTTTCTCCGTGTTCATCTCTCGCTTCGTTGTTCGTCGGTATCTCACAGTTCTAAGCCCACGAGAGCAGCTCTAGCCGTGACGAACAGAGAAATTCTAAAACGTCATAGCGTCGGAGTGTCCAGTTTCTTGCTCTACCCTTGTCCACACTGAGCGTCCTACGCGACTGCGCTTACAGACAGCAGTCTTTACTTGCGGGCAGCCCTTCTGTCGGCACGAGTAGCGGCGTGGAAACCCGAGCGAATGGCAGCCACAGATCGAGACGAGCCGCAGTCTTGGCAGTGCACAAAGTACAAACGACTGACCGAGTCGCGCGTGAGCGTCGTGTTGGGCGAGCGGCACATCTGGCACGAGACGTACTCCGTAATGTACTTACGCAGCAGCGATTCGATGTACTTGGGCACGTAGCGACCGCGAATGACGAGACGCTGGTTGCCGTCGATAGATCCCTCCGTACCCAACTCAGCCAAAGTGAACTGCAGCACGTGCTCGGGCGAACGGTGCATCATCTGGCAGATCTCCTGGAAGTTCACCCACAGTGTCTTCTTGGTACCCACACGCATGAGCTGCGGCGGCTTCATCGTGTGTCGCTTGCGGTCCGTCAGTTCCGGGTTGTTCTCGTGCAGTTTGGCCATGATACGCGCCAAAAGCTCGTCCTTGTACGAGTACGTCGCGGGGTCCTGAACCAACACCGAGCTGGCGTCGGGTGTGGCATCTGCGGCGGCATCGGCGTCTTCAGTCTTTTCCTTCTTCTATCGACATCAAACAAGAAATAATTTATCATTTAAATTTAGTAAATACAGCACTTTAACATATTCGTGTTAAAAAACGATGGGATTTTTCGACGCACCTCCTTCTTGACCTTCTTTGATTTTTTCTTCTTTTTCTTCAGATCGAACATGGCGGCCACATCCTCAGGCACGGCGGGCGGGGCCACGCCGGCTTCGCCCACGGGCGGCAGTTCCTGCTTCTCAGCGACGTCAGCCATGGTAAATCTTCTTGGTGCTCCCTTCTAGCTTGGCTGGTGCGGGTGGCTCGCTTGTTTTTTCCTGCCCGCTTCCCTCGACTTTTCTAGTGGCTTCTTTAATTCAGCGAATGATAAGCCAGGGTTTTAGCTTTTAATCAGCACTTTCATCCAATCTAACAATGTTCATTTTAGCCAGTGGTTGACTTCATTATCTGTGATTTCATCCAATGGTCAAGTGAAGCTGCTCGGCTTACAATGGCAGTGTACTTTGTGGACAGCAAACGCCCCTGTAGCTGAAGATGGCGACACGCATCCCGATTGCCTTCCGTCGCGGCCCGCGCACCAAGAAGAAAGCGATCGACCTGATCAATACCTGGCACATTTTCCGCGGTGACAAGGTGCGATTTTTTTCGCTTCCAAACTCGCCGTGTTAGCGAAGATATTGTTCTCTAACCTCTTCTAACCTGTGGCATCGCTTTACTGCAGGTTGAAATCATCGCTGGACCTCACAAGGGCACGCAAGGTGAGGTCGTGAGCGTTGTACGCGACCTAAACAAGGTCATCGTGGAGAATGTCAACATGGTGCGTCGTAACGAGGCTCTATAGACTGCTCGTAGCTTTAAAAAATCTGACCTGTTTGCGATGAACTTATGCAGTCGCACCGCTACGTGAAGGCGACGCCTGCCGCTTCCGGCCGCTCGTACCTGTCGCCGTCTCCCATCCACTACAGCAACGTGAACCTCGTGGATCCGTCCATCGGCAAGCCCACGCGGGTCGCCATTCGCTTTACGGAAGAGGGAGAGAAGGTGCGTGTGTCCAAGAAGACGGGCACTATTATTCCCAAGCCAGCCATTCTCAAGGAGCGTCACAACCCGCGACGAACAGGTGCGTTGCTGTCATTTAGCTGGCTTCGTAGCTGTCGTGATTGTTGTTATTCGTAGCTGACACTTCTGTTATCGTCGTGGTTATTGTTAATTTCTTCCAGAAACGGGCCCCTTCGACACGGCACCCGAAGACGTCTTGGAGCGCACGGTCAAGGACTGGGAGGTCACTCGTTTGTAAGCGTCACGCAGTTTCAAGTCGTTGCGAGGAGGAAAGTAATCCGCGCAGTTGTAGGAGACCGAAGGATTCGTGCGCGATTCTCGAGATAATGATAGACAAGAAGGAACAGGAGCACGATGACGGTCTTCATGACCGTTGTCGCCTAATTTCAGTTTCGTTCTCCTAAACGCATCCACGCAACCGCCTTCTGACTCTTTATCTGCGTCTTCAGGTCAGCTCAGAACGCTGAGGCTTCATCGAGGCTTTGCGGCACAACCACACGAGCAGTTTTTTCTACTTGTCGGAGCTTCCTGCATTCGTTTGTTGGAGCTCTGACGCTAGAGCGGTCTCCTGCCAGCGTGAATCATGTCTCTCCATGAAAACGAAGAGGCTCTTCCCCTTTCGGCCGAGGATCAGCCCTTTTTCGATGCCGTGAAGGCGGAATTTGGTGACAAGTGCACGGACGACCTCGCGATCCGCGTGGCTCGCGCTTATCGCGGAGTCAAAAAGAACCGGCAGCAGTTTACGATCGCAGAGACCAAGAAGATCCTCGACGCTCGTGCTGCCTACAATGCCGACACCGTCCTTCAACGCGACTTGCCCATGTCCAAAATGTACAACGAGTACTGGCCCACGTATATCTACGGTGAAGATAAAGAGGGACACCTCGTTACGGTGGACCGCCTCAGCGATATCAACCCGGACGGGTTGTTCAAGACCTTCGCCAACACCGAAGATATCATCCCCCACCGATGGCAGTACATGGAGCGCATCCAATGGGAGAAAGTCGCCATCTCGAAGCGACTCGGTCGTCGAGTCTACAAGCACGTGTGTATCGTGGATCTGAAGGGTCTCAGAATGAAGCTTCTATCGCCGTCAGTGCTGAGCCACCTCAAGGTATTTATCTACCTACATTGCATGATGTCGTATCTGTTCCAAGCCAACAAGTGTTCTTTCGTGTAGCCTATCTTCGACGTGGGTCAACTCTACTACCCGGAGACGCTGCACTGTCTGTACGTCGTGAATGCGCCGTTCATTTTCTACAGCGCCTGGAAGGTCATCTCGGCTGTCATCCAGCCTGAAACGCGTGAAAAGATCCAAGTGTTTGTACGTAACTTGTCTTGAGAAACAGAGCTACTGGTGCATTTGTACTGAGTACCTTTTGATTGGTGACTACGCAGAAAGACATGAAGGCATTCTTGGAGGTGGCACAGAACCACGGCATCCCACTTTCGTCACTTCCGTCTTACATGGGCGGATCACACCCAGGGCGAATCATGAACAATTCGTTCACGGCATCCGAGCCCGATACTCCTTTGCCCGCTCCTGTAGTGGCTACAGTGACAACTGAGAAGGAGAAAGCGGCTCCCACCGGTACTGAAGCTGCAGCTGGGCTGGAGGTGTGCGCAGGAAATTAGTAGTGTGGTCATTGCGAACGGACAGACTTTTAAGCATAATTACCATTTATCCATTCAAATTATGGTCTACAGTAGAAGCTATTCAAGGTGCAGTGATTACCAATGCCTATCGAAAAAACCTGCTCGTCAGCATAATTTTCTGTTCGTGTCGACGAAGTTTTGAGCACTTTGAGACTACTTAGTATTGGCACTGATAAAGGAGCGAGCATACTGAAGTGCCGGCGTGAGACGGGCTATCATTCTCGTCCTGCTGCGGTTCACAATCCCTCACCAATCCACCGCTGCGAGATGACTTCAGCAACTAAGGCGAAGTGAGGTGACGCAAAGCTGCAAACGAAGGCGCTTTTAGCTTCTTGTTTGGATGTCCCCCCAGCGTCCGGCGAGCAGCACCACCCCACAGTTGGTAGAGCTCAAGAAAAGTTGCTTTAAAGAAAATTCCTTTTCCATTGAAAGTAAATCTCGCTCAGGCCAAGACAAAATTGCAAAAACACCGTTCGAAACGGTGTGCAACACCCTCAAACGCACCAAGCACTTTTCGGGAAGGGGCGACGCAGCTATGGCGCCAACTAAGGCGAGCGGGTGCGAAGTCTCGTAGCCGCAGCAAACCCGCTCGGGGAGCCCGCGAAGCAGGGCCGCGATGTATTTGCGGAGGCGGGCCCAGCGCCGAGCTCACCAGCGAGCCGCGCATTGCACTTCCCAGGTGAAAGAATCTATCAATCGCGAGCGAAGCGAGCCCCAGCGCGGCTGGTAACGACCTCTTACATTATATAATGTCTTTCCACAGGAGAGCCGGGTAATCCCCCCCGGCTGCTCTTACAAATGCCAGGTCAAAACAAAACTTAAGTGCAAAACAAGGTGTTTTTGATGCGTTTCTCAGGGCCGAGTATTTATTTTTGAAGAATCTTCGTTTGAACATGGTTTTACAGTTCCAGAAGTTTTATAATTTTCAAATGATAGGCCGAAACCTATGATATAGCATATTCTTAAATCCTTGGCTGGCACACACTGCAATTGTTTTTGCTGCGTGACAGTCGCTATGAGTCGAGGAAGGGGCCGCGGACGCGTTCGTTTCGGTGGCAGTCGAGACTCAATGCTGGCAGATATCATGGACGAAACGCGTGAGGACCTTGGCCTCTCGCACACACAGATGGAGCTGCTGCACGTAGGCGTTTACCTCTCTCTTTACCTCTCTCCAATCATCAACTTGGAATTACTGACCGTATTTTTGCTACTACTACAGGCTGAAGGTGGCGAATCACTGTACCCGCCCATGGAGCTGCCGCAACCTGAGGCATTGGCCGACCGCGAGGCCTACTTGATCCAAAGACAGCGCATCTTGGCACACAAGCTCGAGAGTCTTTACCACCCGTGGGAAGCGGATCCATCAGGTCCAGACGCTGGTCGCAATGCGTCCGATCCAGTACACGTTACAGTGCCAGAAACACAGAAAGCTAACGAGGTCTACGTACCCGAAGAGTTGCGTGCCAATTCGCTCAGCGGAATGCGCACAGCAACCACCGGCTCTACGAACCGTGGCATCATGCAACCACGCGCATTCGAGAATGTGTTCAAGTCGTTAGAAGCTCAGGAGAAGAAAATTGCAGCCGATAAGGCCAAGGCAGCCGAAAACGAGGCCGATGACGGCGACATGGATGACGCCGAAGAAGATCTGGGTGATGATATGAACGACTACACCTTCGACTACTACGACAGTGACGCTGTGAGCAACGAAGGCGACGAAGAAGTTTTCTTCTAGACCAGCAAACAGTCAGATACACATGGAGTGCCACGAGCTTCGTTATTTATTTATCCGCTTGCTCACTCGGCGCTCAAACTGCATCATATAGAGGTAAAAATAGTATTTTTTACCATATTTTTAGAATACACATACCAACACTCCGTGTTGTACTGATTTGTGTAGCACGAAAACAGTATTAATGCAGTCGCTACCGGTATTATCGACTGCGAATTATCAGATGAAGTTAAAAACTGTTGGATCTTCTTACTCATGCTCTCCAGACAGCAGTGACGCGCTCAGAGGCGCCAGTCGGTTCTCATCTTGTGCTTCGTCCGTGATCGTCGTAGTGTCCGTATCCGCTGAGGTTCCATCGGCATTAAGCTCCGCACTCTTTTGTGCCAAGTTGGAGAGAGAATAGTTGTACATAACCGAATAGTTTGCGGGCGCAATAGGGAGGGGCTTTACTCGACGAATAATCTCACCGGGACGAGGACGCGTGCGTGGTCTGCCTCGAGGTTTGCCTGTTCCCCGCGGCTTCTTCTTCGCCATCTTAGAAGGACGTTCACCATCCCCGTCTTCGTCTTTTAACGCATCATCCGCAGAGTGATCTTTGACAACAGCACCCGGGTTTGACATGCCAGGCAACATACCTGGGAAACCTGGTAGTAATGGCATTGGCAGACCGTATCCCCACATAGGGAACTGCTGCTTCAGAGTCTTTTCCATCTCAGCCTTGGCTCGTGCCGCCACGTCCTTCTTAGGTGGTCGGCCGCGTTTGCGCTTAGGCATCTCCTCCATACTGGGCGTCCCTGCAAGCAATCCAAATCCGTCGGTGCCCACAAAGGGCGGCGTGAGTCCCAGCGACTCGGCAGTCGCAGTCTGATACGTTGGCGAGGCGTCGCCCCCAGACACAGTAGCCACAGACTCGGCTGCATCCTCCTCTGCAGTCTCAGTAGATGCACTAACGGCCTCTTCGGACGTCGAGATGGCTGGATTTGAACCGTCAGTCGTCGCCGCGGCCGCGGCCAGCGCCTGTTGCTGGAGCGGCATCATTAGTGGAAACATGGGCATCATGAATAGCGCGAGCTGTTGTTGTTGCAGCGCCGCGAGTTCGGTGGGGCTCATATTTTGGTTGGCCAGGTTCTGGAGCTGCTGCTGCTGGAGCTGGAGGAGCTGCAGTTGTTGCTGTTGGAGCTGCTGCTGGAGGAGAGCCTGCTGCTGTTGAGCCAGGTCACTGCCGCTCTTTGGTGTGCCTTCAGCCGCCGGCTTGCCGTCGTCAGAGGGTGGTGTCATCGCGTTCCGGTGTAGCGGAAGTGAAGCTGCTTGGCTCGGGTTGCAGGAAGGGGGATTTCTTCCTCTCGTTGGGCGCCGTGCGGATTTAAATCCAATAATGAGTGGAGAAGCGCGGCGCCCTGGCCCCATTCGACAAAATACGGAAAAACCTCGGCTGAGATCAGCTTTCAAAAGCAAGGTTTTAAAGCTATTTTGGGCGATTGCTGCTCTTAGTGAGATGGGATTGGCGGAAACAGTGCATGGTGCGATTCCTGATTGACGGAATTTGAACTGGCTTAATTGACGCCCAATTTGAAGCTTCCGCCCATACCAGCGCATTAACCATCTTCGATCACCTACAGCCATGTTGTTGTTGTTCATATTCGACACCCTAACTAGCTCAAATTCCCGAACTCTGCAGCACGGTCGATTGAAAAGCGATGCAGAAACTGTCTGAACTCCTCAAGCTACTGCTTATTACGCCGTCTCCGCGAAAACTTTTCTACTACATGTACAATGTAAATGATAGGAGCACCATACTTCAGTAACTCAGGATATGTAGTAGCTCCCATATCGTACACATACGCTTCAAACTCCTTAGGTTGACCGAAGCGAAGACAACAAATATGTGACAGTAGTCCGAGTAAGTAGCAGCACTACCAGCGACGTTCCCAAAGTGTTGATACCCTCTTGACGAAGTTGAAGTGACCTGGCACCAATAGAAGTGCGTTTCTACGCGAATCAATGCGTAACCGCTGGGGACTTTCTTACTCGACCACTGGTTGCCAACCAGGATGCAAGAAGCAGACTGGCAATGTCCTCACGTCCATGAACGACGCTCGCACAGCATAAGGCTGGTGAAGCAACGCTGCGCCATTCAACAATCGCAGCGTGCAGCCGCAGCTTCCACCAGCGTCAAATCCCGCGGCAATGCAGCGAGAACAGTTTTGAATTTGGCCAGGAAACCTGCCGCTGCCCTCATTACTTCCTCATTCTACAATTTGCTGGCACTCGGCCGCAACGTGTACCCAACACCAAGGCAAGCATTACGCTTTGGTGGCACTGATCCCTTTACGCCACCAACCATGTCGCAGAAACGCTCTATTGTCCCCGGACAAACACAAAGTTGCGAATTTAGGGCCACCAGACCTGTTTCAATGTCAGAAACAAAAGGGAGGATAGTTGCAAATTAAGGGAAGGCCCCTCCTCCGCACAAAAACTCTTGTCTTTGTGTTCGGGGGTCTTGTTGCCACCACCGCCAGACGAGCAGTCCTCAAAGAGCTCCTTCCGGATTAAGAAACCTTTCCGTAAGCTTTTTACTCGCCACAATGAGCCTCATCCGTCAGTCTATGCGCGCCCTGAAGGCCGGTATGTGTCTTTCCTTTGTCTCACCTCTAGATGAACGCTTTTTCCGTGCCCAATCGAGCTAAAATGGCTGAGATCTCACGTGTTGCCCTCCTTCTCTGCAGTCAACACCACGTCCGCCATCCGCCCCGCTGTCGCCCGTTTCTCCACTGACGGCAAGGTGCACGGTGTGCCCATTAACAACACGCCCACTGAGGACGCCCAGGTTGTGATCCCGGAGGTCCACCAGACGCTCGAGTGGTGTCTGTCGTCGCCCCCTCCTGTTCACCAGTTCGACGAGGCCCCTATCGTCATTGAGACATACGGCGACGTTGACCCGTACGGCCACTAGATCAATATCTCAAGGACGTCGTCTACTGTAGCTGCGACTTTGTTTGGCATGAATTAAGTATCAAGGGTGAAGAATATCGAGCGCAGCAGTGCAGTCAGCTCCAATTTCAGAAAAACAAAGACACACAATTTGGTAACTTTTTGCATCAGCTGCTGCCTCCTGCGCTTTCTTCTAGCAATTGCCACTGCTGCACGGCTGTCCGCCTACCGTCGCCACGTTTCTTTGATGAGTTGAATATCCGCCAGGTCGTCGTTAATCATGTTCGTCAGGTGTTCCAGCCCCTGTCGTTGCTTGTCCATGAACTGCACAAAACGCCATGACTTGTCAGCCTACTCATCCTAAGGCAAAAGTGTTTCTCTGTACCCACCTCATAAAGTCGCTGCAAGTCCTGCGGACTGAGCTGGCTGGACGGGGGAGGCTGCGTCTCCTTCTGGACGCGTTGCAGTGACACAGCGTCGTTTAGTCGTGCCTTGTACTGGCCAGGCGAGTCCAGCAATGTCTGCAGCTTCTTCAACATCATCCTGTGCACAACAACAGCATCCCAACGTTAGTATCAAGACGTGCTCAGCATGGCTCCTCGACAGACAACAGACGTACGCTAGCTGCATCTCTTCACGCTGCAGCGGTTTGCCGTAATTCTGCAGCAACTCGATATCCCTCATGACCTGCACAAGTGCGTGGAACAGCTGCACGTGTTCGTGGCGACATTTCTCCAGCTTTTCCTCTGTAGCTCGTGTGTGCTTGTCCATCTCCTTAAGTTGCTCTCGTAGGTCCTCCGTGTACGTGTTGTACTTGTCAGCATGTTCCTGCTGTGCCTTGATTCGTTTCAACAGGCTGTCAAAGCCTAAAATGGGTACAGGAGCGCAGTTCAGCGGGTCTGGGTTGTCCAGCTCGGCCTGGTTCCACAGACGCTCACTAATGTGTGCTGGTCGAGTGTACAGGTGTCGCTGCGTCGGGTCCACTGTGTTGTACATGAGGAACTTGAACCGCGACTGTGCTGGGTCCTGATACGCTGCTTTGACGGTGTTAAGCTGAGCAACTGAAGCGTCAGCGCCAAGGATGATTGGGGCTGGAGCAGTCGAGGCAGCGGGGGCTGCACCAAACGTGGACGGAGCTCCAGGAGTAGTGCCAAAGACCGATCCTGTCGCTCCAGTTGTTCCGAAAGCGCCTGTTCCTGTGGCAGTTCCGCTTCCGAATCCAAAGCCAGTGCCTGAAGTCGCTGGCTTGGCTCCAAAGCCGAATCCTGTCGCCGTTGTGCTAGTTGCAGGGATCTGACCAAAAAGAGAGGGCTTCGCAGCTGCAGAGCCACCAAATCCAAAAGACGACGTCGTGTTGGCGGCAGGCGCTGAACCTCCAAAGCTGAAGCCTGTGCTGGCTGCTGGAGCCGCCGCACTCGTGCCACCAAAGCCGAATCCGCTAGAAGCAGCAGGAGTTGCACCAAAGTTAAAGCCACCGCTAGCAGCCGGAGCTGCACTCGTGGTCCCGAAGTTAAATCCAGTACTGGCAGCAGGTGCCGGTGCGGGTGTAGCGCCAAAGGAGAAGCCACTGGAAGCTACCGGAGCCGCTGTGCTTGTCGCTGGAGTGGAACTGAAGTTGAAGCCCGATGAGCCAGCAGAAGGAGCTGCAGACGCTGCTGCACCTCCGAAATTGAATCCTCCCGTCGCTGGTGCCGCCGGAGGAGCTGTCTGAGTCGCACCAAAGCTGAATCCTCCCGAGGCTGCGGGTGCAGCTGTTGCGCCTCCACTGAAGTTAAAGCCGCCAGCCGCGGGTTGCGTCGCTCGTGCAGTAGCTCCGAACATCTTCGAGCTTGTATCTATATAAATTTGTCCCTGCAAGGCAGCGATCCAACAAAGCAGCACATGAGTCAGTTTCGAATACTAGAGATGATTTAAATGCCCCGTTGAGCGCGCCTTTGTATATACTACATGATAAGACTAACGAGATCTCGATTATTACCTGTCTTCGACGCAGGGGGCGGATTCAAGACGTCACTAGGGCGCTATCGGACTCGCCCTTCTGCTCCACCTTCAGATGCTTGGCGCGGGCTTGAATTCAGAAGCGATACTACCATTGGTTGAAAAGGAAGGAGAGCTGTAGCCAATCATACGATGACATTATCTTCGAATAAGTACGAGCGGATCCAACCAGCTTCAAACAGCGAAGAGCGCTCCAGATGACGATGATGGCGACGGAGCGAGAGCTCCTGGTAGCGGCTCCAACCATCAAATGGCGCTTGGGGAGCCGCCAGACGCTGCGCTCACGTCACGATCTGGAACTGCGCGGCCTGCTGGCCAAAGAGACGCATCCTCTGGCGTCTTTTACCACTCTGGAGCAAGCCGATTTGGTGGATTTAAAGATTATGGCAGTTGCAGTGGATCCTCCTCCTAGTTCCTTAGCGTCAGCTCTGGGTGACTCTTTTTCTAAGCGAAGAAGCGGTGGTGGAGAGACTCCGGAGCTTGTGGTGCTGCAAGATGGAGATTTGGACCCGTTGGGAGTGCTAAGATCGTCCAAAAGCCTGAAAATTATAGAAGCCGAGCCTTTATACTTAAAACGAAGAGCAAATGTTGACGCTGTACATGACACTGAAGTACCTGCCACAGCTGCTGCAATGACCAACACGGTTAAGTACAAGTGGAAGGAGCACACCGATCGTTTATTGGCCAAATATGCGGACCACACGTTCAAAATCAAAGCGAGCATGCTCGAAGTGAATGACATCGAGAACGAGATCTCGTTCGCTCCCAAGAGTGACTATCAGAAGGCCGACGACCCGGCAGAGGCGTCAGTTATCAAGAAAACTCGCGCTCGGTTGGAGCAGCTGGAACGAGACCCCGACAGGAACGATCCTTCACCCGAACAAGACGAAAAGACCATTGAAATCTCCCAGAGTCAATATGTGGCTAAGGTCAAGGAGATGCAAAAGAGACTGATTGCGAGTTGGGAGCACAATCACAAAGTGGAGGCGCTCAGGATTGCTATCAAGTGCGTCAAGCTGCTCGCAGACGCCGATACAGCTCCTCAATTGTACCCATGCGTGTTTGTACTGGTGAGTGAAGTGCTTGACGCTTTCGGAAAACTCGTGTTCGACCGCATACACGCACGAGCGTCCGAGGGCGACAACGGGCAGCCTCTTCCAGAGCCTTTAAGTGACCATTTCATGAGCTCTGAAATCAACATCCAAGCCACTGAAACATGTCGCAACTGGTTTTACAAGACTGCGTGTATCCGAGAGCTGCTACCACGAATGTACGTGTCGAAACGCTATTGCATGGAAGAGCAAGTGTTGGTTGCTCAACGAGGGTGTCTGTTATCTGCCCAGTTATATCGAAATTGCGTTGCTCGGCTGCTACCGCTTTCTGTGTGATGGCGAGTACCCGCAGATTGTAGCACGGCTGTCAAATATGATCAAGTATTGCCATTTTAGCCAGAATATTGAATCAGAAGACCTGCTTCTAACTCGACTTGTGTGCGCGTTTACAGAGGCGTTGGAGAGCCCATGGTCGCGTTATATGCGCGTCTGTATCTGGCGTTAACCAGCTCGGAGCTGCTGGGCACAACGTCCCCAGCAGAGCAGACCATCGTGGTGAACAGCAGTTTATTCGACTACTTCTACGCCTTCAACTGGTTCCGTCAAAAGAAGCTCGAGCACTGGCTGCTAACGCACAAAATGGAGTACGATGAGTATCTGGCGCTGCATTCTCCTGCCGTCGAGTGGCTCGTGAAATGCGCAGCTCCAGGGGCCTCTCAAGACTCGTTTGACACGCTATTGGCGCATTATCAAGAGTATTCCTATAGCTCCATGGTGCTCAAGCACTTGTGCGAGTGTTTTGGAGCCACATTCTACGTGTCAACTCCCTCCGAAATGCTGGAGTTGATCCGCACAGCGTCTCCGTCGCTCATCTCCCAGTGCCATCTCTACAGCCTCGTGGCTGTGCAGCTCAGCAGTGTACCAGCTATTGCAGAGAACGAAGCAGGTGGAAAACTGCAATTTCTGAACGATTCGTGGTCAGCCATCACGTCGCAAGAAGATATCACGCAGTACATGGAGTGCGCAGCAGCCTACATGAAGCTCATCGTCGCTCACTTCTCGGTACGTTGCGAGGAAAAGTCACTGCAATGAGGAATATATTGCTGACTCAGAGCATCTCTGGTTGTGTGACTTCAGCATCGAGAGGCGCTGATCTTACTGAAAGATGTCGTTCGCCACCTGAACGCAGCAACACCCGAAGAACTCACAGCCAAGACGTACAATCTACTCGGTGCGCTGATCGAGAACGTGGTCTTCGGTGCCCAACAGCATTACGAGTTCTTCTCCAAGCTCATTCCGTCGACATCTTTCCTGGTAAGAGTCTAGGAAACTCTACATGTAGTGTATCGTCTATCATTAACGGATGACTGGGGATTCAACTCCATGTAGGCTCTAATGGGTATGTTTAAGCGGGAGTCGAGTGTGAATGTGGCCAAGAAAGTGTTGCGAGCGTTTGTTGGCGGCAGTATGAAAAAATCCTGTCGGCGATCCGGCACTTTACGGCTCCATGTCGTTGGCCCAGAAGCTGCTGTGGCACACACACTCTTGGTTGTCTGTTGTCGTGTCCATGACGCTCTCGACTCTCTCAGTACTGCGTCTGAACGTGCTGAAGCCAACCGAGATATCTCGGCATTTATTACGCGACTTGGATACGTCAATGAGGCTGCGAGTGAACGGGCACAAGACGAGCAACAAGAAGCATTGCTCATGCTGTACACAGACTGTCGTCGTGCTTTCTACAAGTTAGAACCGATCAAGATGCTGCTATCCTCGATGGCTCTTCGACTTGCCATGCACGTCCATAAGCGCATTGGTGGTGGAGCATCTGTAGATGGCGCCAAGAAGCGTGTTCACACCCGACTGAATTTCATCCAATCGTGCTTGGCGTTCGCTCACATCACGATCCCGTCGATCGAGGCTTCGCTGGAGAAGCTTCGACTTCTGGTCTCAGCGGCGAATGTGGCGCTTGTGGCCAATTGTATCCCTCAGATGGACGCGCTAGTGAAAGCTGCGATCGTGTTGCTGGCAGATTTGGACCCAAATGCTGTTGGAACTGCCACTGAAGACTCAGCGCTTCATTCTGCCAGTCAGATGGGACTGTTTGGGGCCGTGGGGGTCAACAGAACGAGCAGTTCTGTCGACCAGATCGTGCAGATTATCGCTCAGTTGATGAGCATGCTTGTCTACGCTCCGTCGCTGAACGACGAAGACGCCTTCTACTTTGTATCCGCCCTGCGTAAAGCTGTACTTGAGCGAATGACATGGACCTCGAGCTCTGCTTTATCGTATCGCCTTGAAGCGGGCGTTGCTCACGTGCGTGTATTGCTGATGCTGGTGCAGCTGTACGCTCTGTGGGGACAGAAATCTCTTCCTGGTCGTCTGGATGGCGTGGACTCGAACGATGCACTGTATGGAGGTGATGACGTTTTCTCTAATGAGGTGCAGATGCGCTTCAGCTCGAGTGTTGAGGAAGTGGCGAGGGAAATTGAGGCACTGGGTGAGGTAAATGAGGGAAATGACAGTTCGGGAGACACTGAGCGAGTCATGGCAGCGCAGATTGAACTCATGCTGGACTTTGTCAACCTAGTGGCTCCTGTACTTGAGTACGACGAGTCTCGACTCGTCGATTCTTTTCCAGCAGAGGAAGATGCCGGTCGAAGTGGCAGACGCCGCAAAAGGCCTCGATCTGGCGTCGCGTTGGTGCGTAAGTGCATGACGTATAGCCACGAGAAAGCGCAGACGCTCAAGCAGACCAAACCCAGGGACATGTCCACCAGTCAAATGCAGATGACCACGTGGATCTGCCGCTACTTCGACAGCACGCGCGTGTACGTCGCCGAGTTCCTGCAGGGAATAGCCAAGCGATCCGCCGGTCTTCGACTGGACGCCACCAGCCAGCAGGCCGTCCAAGGTCTCGCAGACGCACTCGAGAACCTCGCACTCGCGGCGTAGTATGAAGCAATATACGCCAATGATTTTATTCGCGAAGCTGCCATTTTTGCTCGTGCGAGATGGCTAGCGCCACATTCCCTGAAACCATTGGGTCACCGAATTAGCTAGCTTCAACATGCGACTCTTCAAGATCGAGGCAGCTTACAAAGCTCAAGTAATTTCGACCGTTACTGAAAACGGACGCCCCTTCTTATGTGCCCTCTCAGATGTTGGCCTGCAACAAGTTGTCATTCCCCGATTTTCGGCTTACAGCTCAAGCTTCCAAGTTTCTCAAGCGCCAAACTCTTCGAACATCATGGGCAAGGGCAAGGGAAAGGACAACAAGGAGGAGAAGACCGCCGCTAAGGACGGTGAGTTCATCGCTTCGATGTGGCAATGCAACGAATGAGTTAAGTCCCTTACTGGTTTGAATTGCTGCGGTTGTGTAGCTCCCAAGGAGGAGAAGGGCGGCAAGAAGGGTGGCAAGAAGGGAGGCAAGAAATAACCACTCCTTACTCCTGAGTTTCGTCAACTAGCAGGATGAGAGATACTCTTACATAGCAGTGTCGCCTGGCCTAGGATTTCCATCGCAGCCACTCAAGAATAAATATGAAATTCGCCCACCCTTATCGTTTTATTTTACGTATAAATAAAATAGTTTCGACCAAAGTGTCTACATTTTCTTGACTTTGCTCCAAACTCGTGGTCGGAATGTCGGACGATGTTCGAGCTGCCACGCCGTCAACGGCTTCGGGCAGCTACCGCTTGAAGACACACGAGCTGGCGCCTGTTCTCCTCCCCAGGCCTCGGGCATCCTCCTTACCTTCTTCACTTGTCCGTGCAGAGCGAAAGGCGTTCGATGCAGAGCCCCCTCGTGGAGTACGTGGCTCGATCATTCGAGGAAATCCGCCTCATCGAGGTCGAAATGTGCTTGAGTCTGCTGCTTTCGACCCATTCATCCACTCCGAAAGCTTCAAGTTGCTGCTGCAGAACCCAGAGAATAGTAGAATACGACGCGAGAGTCCTAGAGCTGTGACGGAGTTTTATCAGTGGGTGTCGCAGCATTTCCACCAACTTGTGCGCACGTTTCGATCGCTGGGTATGATCGATGCAGAAACAGCGACCTCAACTACCGGTCAGTGTAGCGACAGAATAGACGAGAACGACGAGACCAACTACACTGAAGACGAGCAAGATTCAATCGTGAGTGAAGAAGCCTGGAGACGTATACTACGACACGCGACTGTGCTCTCAGCGACGCCAGGCGAGACGATCGCAGCGCAGAGTACGACACGTACCGAGAGCGTATATTTCCTTCTTAACGGACAATGCGAGCTCTCGTTCCGACCAGTCCTTGTACCGGATGACAAGATACCGTCTACTCCATCAACTTTACCGAGGATGTCCACAGGAGTGGTACATCATCCTGCTCTACCAGTACGAGAGCTTACCGCGGGTGATTGTTTCGGCCTCGATGCTGCAGTGTTCGGCTGCGAATACCATCTCTCAACCGCCACAGCAGGAAGTGCCCGACAGCGGAATCTCCTGGGTCTTCGAGAAAATGCGCTCACACACGTTCTGTGCTTGCCGTACTGCGTCGTTCAGCAGCTCCAGCGTCGACACCAAGTCGGCATCACACGGCTACCACCGTCCGCTATCTCTTTCGCACCAGAAGCAGAAAGGTTTCTACGCAACACGTTCCTCTTTCGATCGATGGCAGACTCCTCTCGACGCTTTCTAGCGGCTCATTTACACCCAGTTACCATCGAGCAACAGGAATATCTCTTCACTCCTGGCCAACCAGTACGCGTGTTCCTCGTGATCTCCGGACAACTCACTCTAGGATCTCCTCGCCAAGGAAGCAAGCAAGAGCCAGATCTGGAACTAGAACTGCTACAGACTCATGATTCTGTCGGAATAGCGGAGACCTTGCGACTGGCAATGTCGTTTGAACGGTACTGCGCTGTGACGTCAGTACACGGTGCACGAGCGTATAGTTTGCCCTCGACCGTGTTGCTCATGGTCTTGGCACAAGAATCCTCGTCCTTGAAGCTGTTTCAGGAGTGGACAACACACCGAAGAGCCTGGTTCGAGCTGCGCAGAGCCACGGCATTAGCTCAACGCAAGAAGTTCACAGCTGAAGACTCCGAACACGTTGTACGACTCACGGTGGCAGCTCAGCGACGCAGTAAGCTGACGTGTTCTCGATGTGGCTGGGCCGGACACGTCTCCACTTCATCGTCCTGTGTTTCTCTTGATATCTCCGTTAGCGATGCAGTTCCTGAAGTGGAAAAAAGAGGAAGAAAATCACGAGAAGGGAGTCGAGCGGTGAGGCAACACGAAAGTCCGCAAAGCTCGGGACGTTCGGAACCCGACCAATGTCCATCAATTATCAGCCCAGTCAGTCCAACTAGTTCTCCCAGAATTCCGCCGCATCGAAGGTTGCAGGTCAACTCGATAGCTCTTCGAGCGCTGCAGATCTCTCGAGTCTCCATGGTTGAACGTCTTGAAATCAACGAGTCTGCAGACCACGACACAGACAACCAGGACGAGCAGTACACAGACGCCAGATCTGCTTCCTTCAAGAGCAGGAAAGCCGAAGTCATGCGAAGTTGTGCACTGACACAATCATTTCAACGACTCGAAGCAGCGCTGCAGTAGAAACAACAATAAAAGAGATAAAGGCTCTTCACATTATCTGCCAACAAGTGGAGTGGTGTCTGTCTATCTGCGCCGTCGCTTCTTGCTGCTCTTGGACTTCCTCGAACTGCTCTTCTTCTGCTTACCCAACGCCCCTTTAAGTGGCTCAAACACGCTTTGACCCAGACCAAAGTGCTTGTCCTCGTTGTATGGCAATCCGTGAACTTGATGGACGTGTCGTCGGTGGTAATAAGCGATCGGAATGGCTGGGATAAAGCACGGCTTCTCAAATTTAGTGTCAAGAAGTGAAGCTTCAGCGGTATCATCTTCCGCAGGGAACTCCTCTGACGGACCTTGAACAGAAAACACATCCACCGGAGCACTCTTCGCGGCTTCCGTGAGTTTCTCCTTCTCTTGTTTCCGCTCTTGCGCGTCTCGATCGAACACGTTGAGATGTAATTCGTTGTCCGTGATGAGTCGAAACCCCGCAGGATACATCGCTCCTGGCCACGAAGTAGTGAATTGTTCCTCGAGCACATGCAGCGCTCCACTGGTCGAGACCGCTAACACGCTCTGTCTCGAGTGATCCCACGCTAATGCGAGCACTCCGTCCTTCACTCCGACGTTGTGCTGAGCTGTTGTCTTGTTTAAAACCGAGGCGCGATGCCACGTGAACAAACCGTTCTCTCCGACGTGACGATGACGCACAACTGGAGTCCCAACCACGAACTCCTCGCCGCCACTGAAGCAACAAACTGCCCAAGGTGCGCGTACTGCACCCGTCGAGTGTAACGCCACCTCTCGTAGTCCTAGCGGATGCTCCTCGGTCGCAGTCGTGGAATCCATGACGAACTCGTGGATGCCCTTGGAGCTCGTGAGTAACATCGCGTTTTCACGTAAGTTGACGCTCAAATCGACAAATTGGATGATCACGTTGAGCTTCAAGCTGTCCAGACACTGCAAAGTCGTCGCGTCCAGTATCGCCAGTGTTGATTTCGACGTGGCGCAGTAGATACGCGTCCCAGAACGCCCATATCTCGCACAAGATGCAAGCAGAGGATGGCGAGAATTATTCTGAGGCGTTGGTTGGGCAACTTCCGCGTTTTCCAGCGGGACATTCTCGAGTTGTGCTCTATCTCCAGTCACCACGTTCAGTAGCACTGGACGAGAGTTCCAGAAGCTCACAAGTACCAACTTTGGGTCGTATGGATGCGCACTCAAGGCCGTGATCGTCCCGTCGAATCTGAACGCCGACACGAGTGTCGCGGCCTCGACGTTCCACACACAAAGTCTCGCCCGACGTGTCGACTTCTCCTCGCAACCAGCAAACAGCCAATGAGAATCACACGACCACACGCATTGAGAAACCACTTTGAGAGCTGTCTTGACTACACGGAGATCGGATAGAGTCACCACAGTTCCACCTGCTGAGGCGTCCGCTTCGTCCTCCGTCTTGGTCTCTTCACTCTCGTTGTTATCCTCGTCTGCTTCGTCTTCTTCCGTGGCTTCTTCCACTGACGCGTCTTCGGTTCTCTCGTCGTCTTCATCTTCTACTGACGCGTCGTCGTTCTCCACTGATCCGTCTGCATCTGTCTTCTTTGCCCCGTCGGCTTTGGAAGTGGAATCATCCTGTCCATTGACCGTCTCGCCTGTAGGAGACTCCACAGCAATAAGAGTCGGGTCCAGCTCGCGTGTGATCACGCGGATACTCGTATTGTCCCAGATCGTCACGCGACCGTCGCGCTCGCCCACCGCCACGAGTGTGTGCGGAGCGTTGAGAGACAGGCAATTGGCCTGTTGCGTGTCTTCCAGACAGCTCCAAGTCGACGTTGGACGTGATAATAAGTGTTTCTGTAGATAGTCGTCATCTTCCTCTGCCTCTTCCACGTGTGTCGCGTTATCACTAGGCTCTGTAGCTGCATTAGCAGTGGTGGGGGCTACCGCGACGGGGTTCTCGCCTTCTGATGCCGATTGCGAGGCTTCTGCGGAGACGTCGGATCTCGCTAAGGTCGCATTCGAAGAGGCAGGGTCTGCGGAACAAGCTTGTGCTAGTTGCTGTCGACGACGCTCGGCCTGCTGCTGCTCCTCGGCGTGCACGACGCGCCGCAGCACCTGGTTCCACATTAGCGAATCCAGCATGTATACATGTATACTTGCCGTAACTGACTTGGTAATTGTAGAACTTACAAATGCCAAGTAATGACGAATCGTCCTACTATGCCACTAAGTCGAGGATAGACAGTGACATACATCTTCAATTTGCTCCCCTCTGTAAGACCTTATGAAGAAGGCCATGAAGACTGCGGGTTTACTGGCCGAGAAATTGACGTACCCGACTGTGCGCCGTGGAGACCTGGTGGAGGCGCTACATGGCGTGCAGGTGGCGGATCCGTACCGTTGGCTTGAGGACCCGGACTCGCCTGAGACGCGTGAATTCGTCACCAAGCAGAATGAAGTGACGCAGCGTGTATTGAACCAAATGCCGTTCGTAGCGGAGACAAAGGCGCGCATGACGGAGCTGTTCAATTATGAGAAATTCTCGGCTCCACGTAAGCACGGAGGCAAGTACGTTTTTACTAAGAACGACGGACTGCAGAACCAGAGCGTGTTGTACATCCAGGATGAGCTTCATTGCGAGCCGCGCGTGCTGTTAGACCCCAATCTTCTAGCTGAGGACGGCACAGCTGCGCTCTCTAGTCGCGCCTTCTCGGAGGCCAAACTTGGAGACGGCAAGCTCTTCTTTGCGCACGGAATCTCACGTGGAGGCTCGGATTGGCAGACTATCAAAGTCATGGCGGTGCACGACAACAACAAGATATTGGACGACACAGTGGAGTGGGTCAAGTTCTCCAGCATCTCCTGGACACACGATGACAAGGGATTCTTCTACTCACGGTACCCTCCTCCTGACAAAATGAAGGACGACAAGCACGACGATGCAGAGGGACCCAAGAGAGGCACCGAGACGGACTCCAACATGAACCACCAACTCTGGTACCACAAGCTGCACACGCCACAATCTGAGGACAAACTGGTGTACGCGTATCCGACTGAACCGACGTTTAACGTCGGCGCTGAGGTCTCGGACGACGGCAAGAAGCTGCTGCTCTACGTCCAGGATGGCTGCAAGAACGCCAACATGATCCACGTCGCGGATTTGAGTGATTTTGAGAGCTTCCTGAAGGGGCCAAGTGACGCAACGATCTCAGTGACGAAACTTGTGGACAACATGGACGCTGCGTACTCGTATATCCTGAATGACGGTGACTACTACTACTTTAAGACCAATGCCAATGCCCCACGCGAGCGTGTGGTGCGTACCAAGCTCAGTGCTGAGCCTGTGTGGGAAGAAGTGATCCCAGAACAGCCGGACGCCATCGTGATCGAGGGTGTGCACCCTGTAGCGCCGAACCTTCTGGTCGTGCAGCTCGTCAAGGACGTGCACAATGAGCTGCATGTGTATAACCTTGACGGTGTGTTCCAGTACGAGATTTCGCTGCCTAGTGTCGGCACTGTGGGGGTGGCCAGCAAACGTACCGAGTCGGAGCTGTTCTACCACTTCATCTCGTTCCTGTATCCGGGCTCCATCTTCCGTATTGACCTGTCCAAGAAGGCTGCAACGTCTGGAACAGTGCCTGAAGCTGAGCTCTTCCGTGAGACCAAGGTGAAAGACTTCGATCCGAGTCAATTTGAAGCCGAGCAAGTGTTCTATCCGTCCAAGGACGGCACCAAGATCCCCATGTTCCTTGTGAAGCGCAAGAATGCACCGAAGAACGGCGAGTTGCCCGTGTATTTGTACGGCTACGGAGGCTTCAACATCTCGCTCACTCCGGCTTTTAGTGTCTCGAGACTTGTGTTCGTGCAGCACTTCAATGGAATGTTGGCCCTGCCTAACCTTCGTGGCGGTGGCGAGTACGGAGAGCAATGGCACCAGGACGGGATGCTCCACAAGAAGCAGAACGTGTTCGACGATTTCCACGGCGCTGCTGAGTATCTGATCAAAGAAGGCTACACGAACTCGGAGAAGATCGCGATCCACGGTGGCTCTAACGGCGGTCTGCTAGTGGCAGCGACCAGCAACCAGCGCCCTGATCTCTATCGCTGCGTTGTGGGCGCTGTGGGCGTCATGGACATGTTGCGCTTCCACAAGTTCACTATTGGCCACGCTTGGCGCACCGATTACGGCGATCCAGACGTGGCTGACGACTTCCACTACATCCGTCGCTACTCGCCAGTGCACAACGTGCCCCAAGCTGACAGTCCGATCATGCAGAAGCTGGCAGGACGTGGAGGATTCCCGTCAGTGCTGCTCACCACAGGCGACCATGACGATCGTGTGGTGCCTCTGCACTCGTACAAACTTATAGCCGAACTTCAGCGTCAGCTGGGGAACTCGGAGACGCAGACGAACCCTCTGCTTATTCGTATTGACACCAAGTCTGGTCATGGAGCTGGGAAACCCACCACCAAGATCATCGAGGAGACGTCCGAGGTGTTTGCCTTCATCGCGTGGAACCTCGACGCTCCCTTCGTCGCCTAAGCTGCTAAAGCGCCGGTCTTTCCTGATGGGGATTTCTACGAACAGGAAACGTGTATGCGATGATCCAATTGCCTGCTAACTTGCTTCAAATTCCTAGCATTTTTACGTGAAAATGTCGACGATTTCAGAGAGTCTCTAGACCTTCCTCGGCTGTCTCGTCCAGTGCTGTTCTACACATTAACAGTGCGTCAGGGTCGCACATTATACTCACGGGTAGACTGCCCTGGAACTGCAGCTGCTCTTTACTTGTAGGTCCCAGCTCGTACGTGTTGGAGCCTTGAACACGCATCGTGCACTCCATTGCCTTCTGCAGCGACAAGAAAGCGTCATTAATCTGGTCGCTTGTCAGGGTTGAGAATGCTCGCTCCACACACGACACGAGCTCCGTGAGTCCTGACACTGACGCGTTGAGTAGAGGCGGCGGCGACGTTTTCAATGCTGTCTGAACGACTCGGAAGAGAGCGCTGTCCATCACAGTGAAGTCCGGGGAATACGGCGGCAGGCTCTGCATCTGGACATTCCAGCCTTCTTTGCGCCCTTCTTCAGCAAACGTCGCATCACCAGAGCAGCGAATCTTGGCGCTGTCTTGCTGGATAAAGATGGTCAGATGTACTGGCATTTTGTGTCGAATTGTAGGGACAATAATCTCCGTGATCATTCGCTGCACGTCCTCTTTCGTCACAGTCTCCAGCGGCACAAACGTTCTCTCTAGCTGCGATCTACCTGTGTTCTCAATGGGAATACAAGGTCGAATCTCTTCTCGTACAAACGGCCATACGCCTATTTTGCCATCAAAGAACTCGCTCCTCTGTGGATCCCACTGCGGACGTGCCACAGCCGCCATAAACATGACCTTTGTCTTTTTATCTCTTGGAAGCGAGAGCCACTTCATATTGATATGCACCACGTTGTGCATGTCGTCAAATAGACCATTGGGTCGCACTTTATCGGCACAATATCGTAAGCGCTCGATCTTATTCTTGTCCGTGAGTGATGGTTTGATCGCGTTAATGGAGGGATTCCCGTCCTCCTTCAGTAGCTCATACAACGTCGTCTTGGGGATTCCGACGGCTGTGGCTAGAGCGCGGATGGAACCTCGCTGGGCCAATGGGATCTCCTTGACACGCTCCAATTCCGCCGACCAGTCGCGTTTTCGCCGCCCGCGGCGTCCGACTTTTCGTGACGCCACGTCACACACCTCGTCGCCGTTCTCCAAGCTCTGTACTGCGCGCTTCCAGAGCCTTGAGACGGTGCGACGGTCCACACCGAACTCGGTCGCTGCGTCTGTGACCGCGTGCCGCATCAGCTTCGTGGAGCCTTCGATGCGTCGCTTTAGAAGGAAGTCGAGCATGGCGCGGCGCTCATCATACGTTAAGTTCCTGCTGCCACGCTCCTTCCACGCGCTTGTTTTCTTGTCAGAGGAGCTGATATCACGGCTTGCGCGTGTTATAGCCGTCTCTGGGACAGGTAGAAGAACCTCTGGCGTGGGCACAGCGGCGACGGCAGGACTCAGAGGCAGCTCGGCCATGCTGATCTTCTGGAGACTTTGACGGTGGGTGGAGGAGACAGTTCGGGCTGGACGCAAGCAGGCTTCGTTGTTCTTACTGGCTGAGAAGAGGAAACTCATGCCCCCGTTGGGTGGTCCACATTTCTCAACTTCAACGTTGCATGCTACGTCAATGCCAGCGCTTCGATTCATCAAGTGCAGTTAGAATTATACTATTGGAGACAAGGGAAACGCCTTTACATCTAACTAATCACTTGACGAGGTTGCAGCTTCACGCGGAGCATTCAAAATGGTTTGACAAGCCAGCAAAGCTTCACGCTTGCACAACACGCTCACCGCTAAACTGCCGTCTCGCTGCAGACTCTTCTTGGTCGAGTCTTCTTGTGAGCCAAAATCATTCCCCCCGCCTGCTAGCATAATGCACTCCATTGTCTTCTGCAGCGCCAGGTACGCATCGTTGATCTGTCGTTTGGAGACAGCAGCAAATGCGCGTTCCACGCCAGCAATAAGCTCCTCCATAGGGGCCTGCATGGTGACAATACGCGCTGCCACTTCCGGGTAAATGCTCCTGAAGAAAATGCGATTTAGCACCACGAGCTCTGGACTGTAGGCTGGCTGGTACTGCACCTGAATATCCCAGCCGTCAACTCTGCCGTGCTCTGCCACCACCGGGTCATCAGGCGTTAATCGAATTTGTTGGTTGTCCAGCTGGATGAAGACTGGTCCGTTGCGTAACGAGCTCGGCATCTTCGTCTTAATCGCTGGAATAACGTAGGACGTAATCATCGCCTGTATCTCCTTCTTGGTGATCGTCTCCAGTACGCGAAACACACGTCCGACTTGTGATGCGGCCTGGATCCAAGGCAATGCGTTGGCTCCAGCGCAGGGTTCCAATGGTGGGTCTGCCACCACAAAGGGCCAGACACCAAGCTTGCCGTCAAACTGCTGCTGTCGTTGACTGTCCCACTGAGGCCGAGCGACGGCAATGAGGAACATCGCTTTCGTCTTCTTCGCGTCGCGATTCCCCGGCATGGAACACCATTTGGTGTTAACGTGCACCACATTGAACATGTCGTCGAATACCCCGTTGGGCTGCATCTTGTCCAGGCAGAACTTCAGTCGCTCACGTTTATTCTTTTCAGACAACGACGCTTTGATCGCGTTGGCGATCGTCGGCGTGACATCGGAGCTGGGGTCCTGTTGATCATCGGTATTGTTCACTGGGTTGCCAACCGAGTCTTCGTTTCGCAGTAGACGGTACAGCGTCGTGCGAGGAACGCCCACAGCTGAAGAAAGCGCTCGGAGCGAGCCACGCTGGCTCAACGGGAGCTGCTTAATCCGCTCCAACGCGGCCGAGTGATCTTTTTTCTTGCGTCCACAGTTGCCACGTTTCTTGGACAATGCTTGCTTCATCACGACGTCAGTGGGCTCTCCAACGTCCATCGCCGCCTTCATGGAGTTCCAAATTCGTGACACCGTGTTCCGGTGCACCTCAAATTTGTCAGCAGCAGCGCTGATGACCGAGCGTGGTAGGCGAGCCTCGCCCTGGCTGTGCTTGATCAGAAAATCTGCCATCACAAGGCGCTGGTTATCCGTCAGATTAGGCTTGCGCCGTCCATGCGTCTTGTTCTCCTGCGGCAGTTCAGGCGTGTAGCTGACAGTGTCTGTCAAGAGTACCGACGCGTCCGACATGTGAGTTGCAGAGTGAACAATCTTCCACCATCTATTTTGGACAGTATATTATCAGCAAATAAGAAGGCCCCACATGTATTTTTGTCCACTTAGTAATAGTCAGTTGCTCCGAAAAGAATGCGACAGAGTCTCTTTTTAAGATGACATTTGAAAAAAGCGACCGCGATGCTCAAGTACCAGAAGTGGCTCGCTGCGTTTGTCGTGCTGTTCGCGCTATGGCTACTGCTGCTACGGTACGCAGCCGACCACATCCAAGACTCGCGTGTACAGGAGGTGGTCATGGCGCTGCCCATGTACGTGCTTGTGTCCTATGGCGCATACTCGCTGGCGGTGATCGCACTATCCGTCATGGCTGTACAAGACTGCCCCGAGGCGGCCAAGGAGCTGAACCAGCAAGTCGTGGAGGCGAAGGCCGATTTGACCAAGAAGGGATTCATATTCTAGGCTGCTGCATTTAATGTTTAAGCAACGAAGCCGGGAGAAGAATCGAGAGCTGCAACTACGACTCCTTGCGCGGTGTACAAATCGAGTACCGGCCCGATCACGTGGTTGCAAGCGTTTTTGGTGTTGTTGACAGCTTCTGTGGGCTCTACACACGGTCAAGCTCGCGCTACTAAGCGCAGCGGGATCGCGCAAGACAAGCACATGCTGCTTCGTGTCCGAGCAATTACTGTAGTATTTCCTTCGAAATTGAATAGATTTGATGTATCCACACCAACACCTTTTAAATAACATCCTTTGTGTGACGCACACGGTTGGCCAGTTGGTGGATCGCAGTAGTTTCACAAGGCGCAGCACGGCCAAAGGAGCACACCTCAACTTAGATTATAGACGTCGCGGGAGTGCAGCCTGGAGGACATCGACCAAGGAAGACTGTCAGATTGCCCCAGCGTCTTCTCTCTCGATAGAACCCTGAAGCTTCTCCTTTGGACAAGTTGAGTGTAGTGCAAGCTCCTGAAGAAACAGTCCTCATCAGCCATTGAAAATGGGAGGCGAGTGCGTGCCGGATCATTGCCGCGAGTGCGGAAGCAAGGACGTTGTGACGGACTTCAGCGCGGGCGACGTCGTGTGCCGCGACTGCGGCATGATCCTCGGTGAGCGCATAATAGATGATTCCCCCGAATGGCGAACATTTGCTAATGATGATCGGGGTGGTGACCCCGCTGCGAAATCCAGGGTCGGCGACGTCGCGGACGCGCGGCTGGACAGCCTCTCGCTGTCCACGTATCTGGTCGACCCGAAGAAGGGCGGCGGGGGCGCTGACGGTGAGGCTGGGCGCAAGCACAAGCGCCCCAACATCTCGTCCGACAGCGCCAAGGTGAAGAGGATGCAGCGCAATATGGCACGCATTCAAGAAGTTGCAGATTATTTATCGCTACCTAAGAAGATTGTGGAGATCGCGCTGGACGTGTACGCTGAAGCGGAGAAGCAGGGTGTCAACATGCGAGGACCGGAACGAGAAAGTATGGCCGTCGCAGTGCTGTTTATCGCGTGTAGGAAGGCAGGCAATGCACGATCATTGAAAGAATTCGAGGAGGCTTCCGGCATCCCCAAGCGACGTATTGGCAAGTCATTTATGAGCTTGCAGCGCCGCTTGGATCTCGAGGTGAAACAGGCGACGACGGAGGAGTATGTGCAGCGCTTCTGCTCGAGACTAGGACTGCCAAACAAGACTCAGATGATAGCACACACGGTGGCGAAGAAGGCAGACAGCTTGGAGCTGTCTAATGGACAACCCCCAGTTGCAGTGGCAGCGTCGGTGATCTACTTGGTGGCAGCATACACGAACGCAAAGCGCTCGATTCAGGAGATTAGTGACGTTACGATGATTGGCGAGAAGAGCATGAAGAGAGTGTGCAAGGAGCTGAACAAGAGTCGCGTTGTGCTTTTCGAGGGTGTGGTGATGACTTAGTCAACTGCTACGATACTGTGACATCCAAGAGAGGCGTGGTGGTGGCGCTGAGTGGTGACAGCAATGGGAGAAGACTTCGTAAGTAAAAAGAAAGAAGACACTCAGGTTCGTATATATTTAATGGGACACGCACATCCTATTTGCATGGTAAGACAATCAAGAACTTGATCTTCTATCTACTACTGTAGCTCTCGGTTTTTTATTGCTGCTTCGGACTGATGTTTATGTTGTTGCTTTTTTCTTCCAGGTCAGGTACATGTATAGATAGACATGGAAAGACAATAGAAGAACTATGCAATGCTGCATGGCTGACAGAGGTGCAAGACGGCCTTTGTTGTACAATACTTAAGTACGTTGTGTTTATTGATTGACTTCGCACGCCGCGTGCTGTTCCATAACCTTTGTTTTTGGTGTGCTATACCTTGTCTGCTTGTTGCAGACAAGCAAAAACTGTTTTTTTGTTTCACTCGTACACTAGCTGAGCGATTTCTATCCACGAAGTGTGTGTTCGTTGGCATCTCTTGAGACTCCAGACGACGCCTCGATACAGCAGCTCCTCTCGGTTGTTTAGCCGACGAAGCACCAGATCCAAGTTGTTCGAGAGCTGCACATCCAAAATTGTACTTAAGTAAAAAGCGTCAATACAATAATGCCAATTGCAAGCGTACCTGTTTGGTGCAGGGTTCCGAAAAACAAAGCGACAACCCGCACGTTGTAAAGCACCACAGATATCCACAACCGTAGCAGGGGATGCATGGAAAGTAGTCTTCCACTGTCTGATTGAGCACGTCCACGCAGAACTTGAACTCTCTCCGTGAAACTGCAGTCAACAACGTCCAGACCACAAATGTAAGCTCTCCGCGTTCCTAGACAAGCACTATCAGATCTCTGCGACCTACTGATCCCGTCCAGCGCTGTCGGGAACACGTCATCATATGAGGATGAATAGCCGCTCACTGTCTTCATGCCGGTTGCCTCTAACCTGGCCAGCACCACGAGGTTGTGGCCGTCGCCGGGCACGAGCCGCTCTGTGGACATTCGCCTCGGTGCTCTTTTACTAGGCGCTCCACGATGCCAATCAAACAAGCGGATACCAGCACAGAGAATCTTTTCGTCAGCTAAAGATAGGATGTCATATTCTATGGTTCACGACTCCTCGCTCTCGAAGATCGGAGCTTGAAAGGCAGCTGAACAGTTTTGAAAGACCCAAGAAAACAATTTTGAGAGACCTACAAAGGTAAAACCTCACCAAAACGGTCATCGCATTACCAGGGGAGATTCTTTTCTCGAATGTCCGACGTTCTTCCGTCAAATAAAAACCCGAGCTGAGCCACCGCCTACTCGCGTCTCCAGCTCTTTTTCTCCGCGTCTCCTTGCCGCTACATCAGCTATGTCCACAGCCGCACGCCGACGATTAATGCGCGACTTCCGCAAGCTTCAAAACGACCCGCCGTCGGGCGTATCGGGCGCCCCCATGGACAACAACATCATGCTCTGGCAGGCCGTAATCTTCGGGTAAGACCACGCCTCGCAGCTTTAACTTCATTCATTTATCTAACATCACGTACGCTATCATGATAGACCGGACGACACGCCATGGGAAGGCGGCACCTTCAATCTGACGCTTGAGTTTAGCGAAGACTATCCCAACAAGGCGCCGACTGTCAAATTCATCACGAAAATGTTCCACCCGAACAGTACGCGGTCTTATTTTTGCTTCATGCCATGTCGTGTGTGCTGCTGTAACTAACTTGTGTTTTCTACTGCTTGCAGTCTACAACGACGGCCAGATCTGCTTGGACATCCTGCAGAACCAGTGGTCTCCGATCTACGACATCTCGGCCATCCTCACGTCCATCCAGTCGCTGCTCTGCGATCCCAACCCGAACTCGCCGGCCAACTCGGAGGCCGCGCGTCTTTTCCAAGAGAACCGACGGGAGTACAACCGCCGCGTGCGCGAGATCGTCGAGCAGAGCTGGCAGGCGATCGCATAAAAAAGCTCGCTCGTCGGACGCGCCGCCGCGTTGTGTGGCACTGCACAGCCTTTTCTTCACTGCCGCATTGTGATGGGGGTCGGCAGCAGGAGTTGAATGTCTGCCATTCTTGTCAATGCGTTGCCTCTCTTCCTTTTTCTCCGCTCCAAACCGACTACAGTAGACTCAGCGTGCAGACCACGAGCGACGACGTCAGAGGATGAGCAGTAAGATAAAACAAAGCAGTGCAGTAACAAGGGAAAGAAGATCAGGAAGGACAGAGAACTAGGCCACAAAGGACAAGCGAAAAATTGAAACCTAAAGAGAAGTACTCTTTTTGACTGCGAAGTTGCCATGTTGGACACATTACTGGGCGAACGGCGCCTCAGCAGCTTCCTCTACGCTCTCGAGCAACTGATTTGATGGAGCTTGAACCGGATTAAAGTGTGGCTTAATTGTAGATGCTTTGACGGACCCCGACGCAGCAGCAGAGGCCGCAGCAGCGCCGAAGAAGGACAACTGAATATCGCAGCCCAGATCACGCAGCGCTGCGTAGGCTTCGTCCCCGCAACCACGATACTGTTGGGCCTCGCGGAGCAATGGCTCGATCTCTGGCTCGTCGTGCAGGAAGCGTGAACGCAGCTCCACACTGCGAGCCACTATGTTACGCACCGCCAGACTCGCTTGGCGAAGTACAGCCACGTCACGACGGTGAGCTTGCATGGCCCGCGCGATTTGCCGAATAGCCCCGAGCTCGACTAGCACACGACTGTTCTCAGGAGAGCGGAGCGCAATAGCAGCCAGCGTTGCACATGCATTTTGTTGGATAGATGCATCGGATTCATGACGTTGCATGACCAGCAACGTCCGTTCGACGCCCCCAGACTGCAGAATCGCACGCTTTAACTCATCCGCAGCCGCCACGTTCCTAAAAACGGTAATGCAGCGATTGGCTACGGGAGCGCTATGCTCGTACGTCAGCATGACGTTCTGAACGACGGTTAACCCATCTAGATCGGCGATCTGTTGGCAGTTGTCCTCCGTCACTGCAAGTTGCTTGAGGACTGCAAGCCAGCTGACGAACAGATCCGACGAACCACTTGATGTCTGTGTTGCATCACTGCGTCCAGCTTGACGTAGGATCTCTAAGCTATACGGGATCACACCACGCTCTACGAGAGCCTTGATAGTATCCTGTGCCTGCGAGAACGTCGCGCGAGGATCGTCATTGATAGTCAGTACTCGCAAGCACAGCGCCAGTTGCTTCGACAGCACTTCGTTATCCTTGGCACTCTCTAAATGTCTGCACAGCGCCTCAACACCGTCTGACTTTGTAAAGTGCGCTTTGTTGCTCTCATGCTTGACACAAGCTGCTTTCACAAGCGCAAGAACTCGCACCACGGTCTCTGTATCTTCCCCGTGACGCTTCAGCAGTTTCACAAGTCGCTGCATGCCTGCAGCACCCACAAAGTCCTGATTGTCGACATTATCAGCGCACAGCAACACCAGTAAATTGCTGCAAGAGGCCGCTACAGCGGCGGAGTTGGAATCTTGCAGCGCCAGAAGCGTATCCACGGCGTCGTTCCGTCCTGCCACCACTCGAGCCTCTGGAACGTCCTCACAAACGCTCTGCAGCTCCGCAACAAGGCTTAATATGTGGGCCTGCTCGCTTTCAAACTTCAAGAGCTTCTGCAGCTCCGAGATTAGTCGCTTCAGCCGCACAGGAAGCGACTCCTGCCCGAGTGACGCGCCGCTCTTAATAATATTGGACAAGTCAACACCCTGCGACTCAAACTGCTGCACGGCATCGGCCACCGCCTCCTTTAAGGACATGTCAAAGTCCTCCACATTCTCGGCGACGCACTCGTCGAACGTCTCCTGCGAGATCTGCCTACGCGCCATGGTGTTGAAATCTATATTTTATTTTGCAGCACTACTTAAAGAGTTAACCTCTTTTTGCCGTACTATGCTGTTAGAATTTTTTTTTTTTAACTACACTTGACAACTAAAAAAGCGTTAAATTGTACCCAGCAAATTTACCCTGGGTACCGGAACTGGTTTCCGGATGTGTCTACTACAGTAGTATAAATTGCCAAAACTACCAACTTGAGTACAGAATCGCAGAACAAGATGACCGACGGAACGGACAAGCTGTTGGTCGCGGGCCTGGAGGATTTAGAGAAATACCTCGACGATCACGAGGTGGCAAATGCTAAGCTCAAGCAGGTGCGTCTTTGCTGCAGCAGCAACGTAAGTTAAAGAGCTTTGACGTTGATCTATCGGTTCAGGGCTTTCTTATGCTGACGAAGGCAAAACTGCGACTGCAAGAACACGCGCTGTCGGAAATTTCGTATCACGAAGAATTTGAGGCGTTTCGGGTAGTGGTACTGGATTCTGAGGGAAATTGGCGACTGCAAGATGCGTCTGAGGTAAAAGTAGTGGGGAAGAGTGGCGACGACTCGCTACGTAATCGGAAAGCAGGCAAGAGCGGCCAGGAAGAAGCAACAGATACTAAAGCCAGGAACACGGACACACTGCTGTGGTTCAGCTCGTTACCGCCTAGTGATCTTCGTCAGGCGCAAAAGCAATTCTCGAGTGGTACGCTTTGGTTGCTGGCAAGGATTTCGTATTGCTGACTTTCTTTCTTTATTACAGGCCTACAAGCATTGTTAGTGGCAGCAGCATCAGCACATAAGGTTCAGCGAGCCGTTCACGGAGTTACCAGCATTCCTCATTAAGATATGGAGTCAATGGTAACGTGTTTTCATGGTTTGATTGCTTATTTCGGACACACGGGGAAGCTCTATTTTGTTGCCACACGCGGACTTGCTTACACAGATTGCCGCTGGTCGAATCGCCCTGGCTTTCGACTGAAGACATTGGCAACACGCTCCTTCACCTTGTCCATTGCCATGTCAAGTCGTATTCCCTGCTCTTTTAAGAAGGACACATTCATCTCTTTACCAGTGTAGCCGCGCTGCAAGTTGCGGCGGATGAAGGTGTCGTACTCCGCAACAATTCGAATAATCAGGTCGGAGGTCGAGATGCCATCCGTGCGTCGCGTCTCGAGGAACTTGCCCATGGCCTTGATTCGCGCATACACATCTCCGTCAGATGCATCACCCGAGGTGTCCGAGTACGGCAAAGCGTCATGACACACGAAGTCAATCTTGTGCTTCTCAATGAAGGCGTCGTTGATCACCCACGGAGCGTCCTCCACGACCTCGTCCACCCACTTGCAGTGACGAAGCGACTCATAGCGCTCCTTGTCCGTCATGACCGTGCGGCCTTTTAGTCCGTGTGTGATCTCGTCATTGCAGCAGCCAACCAGCAAGTACGTGTTGGGGTACGCTTCTTTGCATTGCTGCAGAGCCTTGGCATGTCCAAAGTGGAAGAGATCGAAGACGCCATCGGCGTAGAGACGTAGAGGGCGACCAGTGATGGTGCCGGGCTCGCCTTCAACGAGAGTCTTGCGGAACGGCGCGGAGCTTGTTGAGCCGGTGCTTGTGCCACTAGATGCGTCGATGCTCACAGGTTTGTCGATACTGAGCTCCTGATCGGGTTCGTTGTTCATGTTCTACAAGATACCAAAGCAGGGACATTTAGCTACTGAAGTATAATTTTAGAGGTACCGAAGACATCGACAAATGTCTGCCTACTGGAGCCATGTTCCGAGTGTGGTTCTTGATTTGTTCGTTGCAGGGAGAAAGCTGGAATGACTAATGGAAGGACTCTCCATCACCACCGCTTGGCAGCACCTCAGATTGTGGGGTTCATCAGTGACAACCCCATTCGGTTTCGCATTGCCGTTGGTGGGTGGGAGAGGACGGCTCCGATGGACCACTTCAACTTTGGTGTGCTCTACACAATTCACCATCACTCCTTTTCGATGACGATGGACCACGTCACGCAGGCCGGGGAGGACAGCGTGCTGGTGGCGCGACTTGCGAGCCGCTACTTTCGTCCAGGAGGCGTCGTCAAGGGAGTCGTGCGGCTCGTAAGCCATCAGCAGAAGCCTGATGCTCACTCGGAGATCTCCCACGTGGTGGCACAAGTGCACGGCCACGTCACGGTGGACAACAACCTGTTGACACTACCAGTCGTGCAATTAGAGCGCAAACCCTCCGAGGATGACACAATGGGTGAAGCGTTGCCCGACGTACGCAACTTCTCGGGCGACACTGGAACGTGCATTTTCCGCTCGGCGCCGTCGGTGCTGCTCTCGGATATCAATATTGCACCGACTCAGTCGGAGCTGGGAGCTGCCGCTGCGAAGAGTCACGGAGCAATTGACCTTGTGTCAGCAGCCGAGGCTGCGCGCGAGGAGACTGCGGAGCGCTGCACACGAGAGTTTGCAATTGCTCTGCCGAAGAACGTCTGCCCCACATTCCGTGGGTCGTCCGCGAGGGTCTTCTACGTGGTCTCCATCACGGCGCAATGTGCAACTACTGGGAGCAAACCTGTGTCGGTGCATCTGCCGTTCGAAGTGTACGGCTCGGAGTATTTCTTCGAGGCTGGCACCGTAGCTAGTGCAAGCCACTTCGCTTCGAGTCAGGACAAGGACGATGGCAGTGCTGCGTCTGAGGTCAAGAACGCCACGACCGCACACAACAAGCAACACGTGGTGGGTGGAACCACTCGCGTCGGACGAAGTTTGTCGCTAGCACCGGCACCTGTTGGTGTCCGTACAGGCAGCGAGATTGCGTTCGAGTTGCGGCCTTCGCTCATGCATGGCCGAGTGGAAACGGAGCAGATGCAACGCGCACAGACGAGCATCTTCACGATTGGCAAGGACAGCAGCCATCTCGTGCGCTTCCTGCTGACAAAGCAGTTCTACCAACCAGGCGAGGTTCTTCTGGGCGTTTTTGACTTTACTCGCGCTAGCATCCCTTGCTACGAAGTCTCGGCCACGCTGTGTCTAGAAGAGACGCTCTCGTCTATGGCGCTGGATCCCGACCGCGTCGTACAGTCCAAGGTATTCGGCAAGTTCCATGAGCGCACGCTGGATACACTGCAAACGAATGTTCGCTTCAGCATCCCGCACGATGCGCTGCCGACCATCAAAACGGACCTGGTGCGCTTCCAGTGGCTGCTGCGCTTCGAGTTTTCGGCTGGAGCACCGCCGCAAAAGGAAAGCAACGACGCTCCGACGCAGCAGAGGCAAACGTTCCAGTGGCAGGTGCCGATCGTGGTGCAGCCTGCGGTTGCTACAGAGCGCAACCAGCTCGCCAACGTACCGCACAAACTTTACTCGGGTAGCACTCGCGTTGCTACACTGTCCGGTGCTGAGCTAACCTACTAACAAGCATAAACCTCTTTTGTTGAGCAAAGCCAATTTTTAAGTTTAATATAATCCCCTCGTTTTTTGTCATAGCCTAGTAAGGAGCCTATCATCATGTTGAAGTGGGTGATGTTGACGCGTCGCAGTTGAGATCGGTCTTAAACTGACCGAAATCGGTACTAGCCGTACTTAATCCCAATAAGTACGAGTACATGCTCTTAATTTTTGCTTCGTGTCACTTGCAGTTTTCGACGAACAGCGACAGAAGCGCAAAGATGGCGAGAAAGGTGCGTTCTTTCCCGTAGCGATCCCTCGCGTCGCAGCGAATGATTTCGACGATAGAGTCTCATTCGTTTCGATATCCACAAACGTCGTCGTGGAAAAACACCGATATCTTTTATTGTAAAGGGCTAATGAGATTGTTTGAAATGTAGAGACGTGCCGCCGAAATGAACAATGCCGATGAGGCTGAGGACAACCACCACTCACCCGCCGCAGAGGAAACGAAGCCGACAGCTGAGGATTTAAACGAGGTCAACGACAACAGCAGCGTCAGCAGCCAGGAGAGCACAGCCGAACCGCAGCCGGAGCCCTACCGCAAGAAACTGAAAGAAGGCGAACCCGGTACCCTCACTGGTCGCCCCCTGCGTCTCTACGCCGATGGAATCTTCGATCTCTTCCACTTTGGACATGCCAAGGCTCTGCAGCAGTGCAAGAATGCGTACCCCAACACGTACTTGCTGGTTGGCTGCTGCAGTGACGAGATTACGCACAAACTCAAGGGCCGGACCGTCATGACGGACAAGGAGCGTTATGAGTCTCTACGTCACTGTAGATGGGTGGATGAAGTGGTGGAAGACGCTCCTTGGGTGCTGTCCGACGATTTTCTCGAGAAGCACGACATTGACTATGTGTGCCACGACGCACTACCGTACTCGGACACATCGGGCGAGGCGTCAGAGGGCGACGTGTACGCTCGTATTAAGGCGATGGGCAAATTCCTGGAGACGCGACGTACGGACGGTATCTCGACATCCGACCTCATTATCCGTATCATCGCAGAGTACGACACGTTCATCCGCCGCAACTTGCAACGCGGGTACTCGGGCAAGGACATGAACGTCCCTTTTATCAAGGAGAAAAGTATCAAGTTTGACATGGCAGTAGATAAGGTGCGCAACGACGTCGATGGTTTCGTGCACAAGTGGATGAACAAGGCCGATGAGATGCAGCACAACTTTCTGGAACTTTTCAGCAAGGAAGGCCGTCTGGTACGTTTGAAGCCCCAGTCGATGCGTTGTCCTTGTGTGTAGTCGGCCTTGTTGACGGTGTTGTCTTGTTGCTTTCATATTACAGCGCACATCGTTCCGCAAGCGCCGAAAGATCATCAAGGAGCGATTGTCGGAGCGAATGTCCGAGATGGCGCGCGAAGGATTGTGCTAAACGAAGCTGCGGGAGTTCTCTCACACGCCCCTCTTGCAAATACTTGAGACGGCGAGTGTGCATTGCTGTGAAGCAGGTCTCGCTAGCTGTGTCTTGGGTTGTGTAACGACTGAGTCAAAAGAGTTAACTGAGAAATGACAAGACATACAGATCTTGCTTATGTGTATCCGTGGTGCTTCATCCCGTGCGTTGCCACGTTCAGTACGACGCGTACTTTGCCTGCAGAGGTGACTCGTGTGACCTCACGGCAATCGCTTTGTGCTACGAACTTGGAGTCGAAATACTCGGGCGGTGATCCCGTTAGCCACGCTATAAACTGCTGCATTCGTGACGAAGACATTGGCCGAAACAGCGGCACCTCCCGTATCGAGCAGCCTGGTGTAACAGGAAACGTGATAGAGCCGTAGCCTCGCACCACGTCGCGACCCAGTGCGTCGAGTCCGTACAGACTCAGCACCAGGCGAGGCCAGCCGAACGGGTTGGTGCTCTTGAATGACACGTCGATGGGAAAGTTGAGCAAGATCTCGTCTTCATTGCTGGCCAAGTACGCAATCTGCGAGAGTCCGTTTTCAGCCCCCTGCAGCCCAACAACGCCGTAAGTGGATTATCTGTCGAATGTGACAGAGATGCCAAGACTCACATGAAGCACGCGCCAGTCAACGCCGTACGTGATGGCATAGCGGCAGTATACGTTTGTGATGCCTGGGTACTATTAACCGCAACAGGTAGATAGTTATTCTCCGGCAAACTCGTTGCATTTTACAACGGTAACGTACATGGACTCTCTCCACTTCACCTGAGCAGATAACCTGGAATCCGGCGGCAGGTTGAGCCGCATGCATCGAGGTTGACATTGGTGTCACCGCCGCTGGAGCATCCCTATATTCTACAGGTAAATTTTCTGCCTTCCTCTGCCGTAGCCTCTCCAGCGCCTTAGCCACCGCGTCGTCAGCTGTAGCACTGGGCGATGCCATCGCAGCTCTACAGTGTCTCTTCAAGGTTTAAGCACCGTAAGTTTCGAGTTTAACGCAACATTGTCATTTTATGTTGCTATAACAACTTAAATTCCTTACCCCCTCCAAAATCAAGGCCGACCACCAAAGCGCCGAGCGATGGCAGATCGGGCGGAATCGGCGGACGAGCGGGCGCTACGTCGTGAGCTACAGGAGCTTACTAAAAAGCGAGAGGCACTCGATAACTCCAGTACGTCGCGTTGTTCGTGTATTACCCGTTCACATGGGCTTTAGGCGCTGTAGTTGCTGTCGGACGCCACATATTACGATGCGATCTTTCATCTAATTACTTTTCTGCGTTTTCCTTCTATCTACAGAACGTCGTAGAAGTGGGACATCAAAAGGTGTAGCAGGTCGACGTAGTGTGTTTGCGCGCCTTGGTGACGAGACCGCACGTTCAGGAGGTGCAGGCCGACACGCTGTGCAGCTTAAGGAAAACAACAGTCGGGGCGATGCCTCGCGAAGACTTGGGAAGCGTGGCAGCGAGGACAATCAGCAGAGCAGCGCTGTAAAGAGACAGAGGCTCCATTCTGCAGTGGCCAGACCGGAGGGTGGTCATCATGACGAGAGAGCGGAGGAGACGAGCAGGAGTTCCACCTCAGCTGTTTCTCCCTCTACGAACAACGCACGTACACAGGAGCGGAAGCAACGTGCAGTGGCGCCGTATGCACAGAAGGACGGTATCGCACGTAGCAGACGCATGTTTGGGGCGCTAATGGGACATCTAGGCAAGGCCAAGCGGCAGATTGAGAAGGATACCGACTTGTTTAAGCGCCAGGACACGAAGCAGCATGAAGCCGAGCAGAGGGAGAAGAAGCAGAGTCAGAATCTTGAAATCCAGGCACGCTATGAAGCTGAGGTAGCTCGACTGGAGGCGTCAATAGCTCGCACTGAGTTGGATCGCAGTGAGCAGATTACTCGCGCCAAGTTGGAGCACTTGCAGATGCTGCGGAAAAGCGCGAGTCAGTCGAAATTTCTGGTTACCATCGCGTCTCCACCGATCTATTATCTCCCAGCAAAACACACGAAGGAGACGAAGGAGTTGGTTGCTGCGTCCATGGAAGCTCATGAAGCCAAGATGAAGGCGAGTGTACAGACCCACGAGGAGAAGCTGCGAAAGCTGGAAGCGGAGTTTGCAACGAAGCTAGAGAAGCTGCGTGAAGAGCTAGACGATGTTCACAAGGCTGACAAGGAGAAGGCTGCGGAGAAACGAGTGAAGAAGGAGGACGCGGAGGGTGATGAGAGCATGGAAAATGTCAGTAGAGAGCCCGAGGAGGACCACAAGGAGGCACAGCAAAGTGGCGAGGAGATGTCCGACAGCTCACCGGAAGATTCTGCTATGGAGGATGGAGAAAGGAGGAGTGATGGTGGAGAGACGAATGACACGGCTGTTGACACGAAGAGTGATTGTAAAGAAGAAAGCGGCCCTTCTCCACGCAATACGGTGAACGGTTCTAATGTGGCTCAGAAAGCTTCATCTCCCAGTCGGGATGAGAAAACGGTAGAGCAGGTACAGGAGGAGCCACAGAGCCCGAAGCAGAATGACGAGGCTGCCGATGGTGCGAAGCTGGAAATCAATGACGTGGAGACTGAAGCGACTGTGGCGCCGAAAGAGGACGCGGTCCTCGAAGTCGACAAGATGAAGGTGACCGAGCTGCGAGCAGAGCTGAAGAAGCGCGGCCTCGGCACCAAAGGGCTCAAGGCGAAACTCGTGCAGCGACTCAAGCAGGCGATGCGTGAAGATGACGAAGCCATGTAGTAGTTTCGTATTTATGCTGGGCAAACACGACAATCAACCAGACTTGATCTTCCTTCTTCTTGAAAATGAATTTATCTTGAAATCCTATTTTACCTGCTATAACGTATACAAGCTCATACGTGTCGAGCTCCGAGCAGATCTCGATACTTCGCCACGATGGAAATGGTGCGCCTGTGTGGATCCTAGAGTGGAGGCTTTTAGTCTGCGCCTACTGACCTGTATCTGTTCCCTGCAGGAATTCCCGTACGCGAGCCCTGTGAACCCGGAGAGCTACGGCGTCCTCACAGCCGCACTCTTGTTGACTGGACTTGTCTTCATGGCGCTCTTCTTCACGCGTGCGGTGGCGCCCAAGAAAAATGCGGTCGTGGAGCTGGTACTGGCCTTTATCGCCTCTTTGCTGCTGGGCTTTGGCTCGCTCTTCCTCTTCTTGTGGGCCGAGATCTACGTATAAAACAGAAGTAAGAACCATCCAGCAGCGCTGCAGTTGGTGCCAAGCGTCCTACTGAAGCTTGTTCCAACGACAGAAGACGGAGATGATACGACACAGACGGAGACATGCAGTTTTGGTGGAAAAGAGCGCAAAAAACTCGGCACGATTTAGTGCAGTGAGCTGTCATTTGACGTCGAGACAGCGAGCACTGCTACACAAGAAAACAGCAATTATGTTTATTTGTTTTTGCACCGCTCGTGTGTTGGCTGTGTAATTTCATGGGTCGTAGGATTGGGGTGTGGCGAAGGCTCAGAAGGACGGAGAATGTACTGTGCTCGCTTGTCATTGCTTTAGGACTTCGCCGTTCCTAGGTTGGCCATGCCCTGCCACCGCTACGACCATCGCGAGCAGCTCCTTACCAAAAAAAAAAGAGTGTCTACTTCCTTCAGAAGCCGAGCAAAATAGCACGCGCACTGCATGCCCGCGTCGCGTCCAACACTTGGATCATTCACGACGGCGCTCAAGAGCTTCTTCCCGTTTATTTTTCTACCTGCGTTGCCTTCTACGCTGAGCCTAACCAGTTCTTGCAAGAGCTAGTTGGCGCCAGGCATGAGGCTATAATAAACGGTGGTCACGAACTTCTGCTTGTAGCGGTTAGTGATGCCCAGCACCATCATTCCATCTTTGATCGCAGTGCAATAAAGATGGTTGAGCGCCACGTGCTGAGGCACAGGCAGCAATCGCCCATCGACTGTCGGCGGCGCCTGCAGACGCAAAAACACGCGAGTCAGGACCCAGCACAAACCTCCTAATAAAGTTGCAGCGCCTTCCGTACCTTGTTCAAAATTATGTGCCGCAAATGAGGTGGGAGCGGAGGTGGCTCCTTCGTGTACTCGTCGATCTCGGGGATGTACCGTGCGTACGGGTTCTCGGGGTCTTCGTCGTCGTCCTGCCTGTTCTTCCCGTCAAAGTCGGAGAGCGGCGCAAAGTCCGATACGTCCACATAGTTATTAACGTTGCCTTCTACATCTGCCATTGTGAGCTGGTCGGGGGCGAACCGCCAGTCGTCGTCCACCACAAACTTGTACATGTGCTTCCCCCGCGTGAGGTTGGCGATGTACGTGAAATCGTTGCCAGATCGGTGCATTGGGCACTGCTTGTCCCACCCATTGAATGTGCCCGTGATGAACACGTTGCGTCCGCCGTGTTCCCATTTGAACACCATGGGCACAACGTCCTCCCCAGGCGGCACCGTGACGTCTACAGTCTGTGCATTGTCCCCCTTGCCGATCTCCGCGCCCTTACCATCAATCTGCGCTGTAGACATCTCTCCGTCTGCATAGGATACCTCCGAAGAGGTCTCAGTAGGCGGATCCACTTCCATTGCCTCGGTCGCATTGCTTTGGCCGGCATAATAGGGCTGTTGCGAGTGTTTTCCTTCACTGCTTCCGTCAAAATTGCGACCTTGCTGCTGCTGTGCCTGGTTATAATACGGATGGTGATGTAGCGGGAACGCATTTGGGTCGTTCGGGTCTGCTCCTAAGTTCTTGGGATTCGCGTCGCCCGCTTTGCTGGTGGCGCTGCCCATAATGCCTGAGGACGATGCGACTGATCTGGTCGCTGCTACGTACTCTCCCTCCCTGCTCAAGAAGACGGAGCTCCCGGTCGTAGTTTACTGCGCTGTTCAGTCTACTTTGCAATGGAGACGGAGGGAATGCAAACGGTGGCGTCACTTGCTCGCAGTGCTGCTGGTGGAGGCTGCTTGGGTCTACGCTTCTCTTCCGGCTGAGCTTCTCTCTAGTACAAAGAGGCACATACAAATCCACGTGAAGCCCAAGCCTCAACGGCGACGCATCATCGCGCAACTGCCCACATGGTTGCGCGAACGTTGCGGTAAGGACCCAGCTTAAACAAAACCTCTGTAATCAAATGTTTTCTTGTTGCAACAGTGTCATAGCTTCAAGCTCTCCGTGTTTTGTCGCCTTATAAGTCGGGATCGATGTCCTCTGTATGCAGTACTGCAGTCACTGCTACTGGCTGCATGTTCTGTCGTAGTGAGGACTGCAACGAAGATTGCAACGTAAGAGTCGGCTTGGCTGTTGCGAATGTGAACGTTGCCGGCTGCATGAACGTCGGCGCCGGTTGTGAAGCCATCTGTGTCTTCTGCTGCTCTTCATCTTCATCTTCCAGCATTGCAAACACATTGCTGCCACGGTATTTTGGCTGAACAGTCTTAGGCTGACGCGCATTACGATTTGGGTTCACAACTGGCGCATCCTTTGGGGCTTCCAACGCCGACATGAATCCACGAAAGCCTTCTACTTCACGTGGCGCTGGCGTTGGCTGCACAGGATTCAAATTGCTGCAAGAGTGTCAGAAGTTGTGTTGGAATTCTATTGGGCTAGTCCAACAGCTTGAAAAAACACATCGCGACTTACAGCTGGAAGGTTGGAGCTGCCATCACGAATGTTGGAGGAGCCACTGCAGCAACTTTTGGCACAGCTCCGGGTCGCCGCGCAGTTTTTGCGGCCATGCGCTCGTCAAAACTGCGGAGCTCGTCGGATACAGTTGCTGGACGCTTGGCTACCTTTGCCTTGCGCTTTTTGCTGTGCGGATCGTTCTTATCCACTCCTACCACGGCAGTTCTAGGTCGATAGCATGCAGCACAGCATTAAACACAGTGACATTAACGTGGATACAGCAATTTAGCTACTACGCGCACCTCTTCTCCTGCTTCTTGAGCGCCTTGAACATGCCACCCTTCTTGGGCTTGTTACTCTTGCCGACGCTGCCTTTGGGCTTCGAACCTGCGTCAATAACCCCATCACATGTCGCTTTAGTAAATTGTAGTGCAACGTTGCGCAGCGATCCGTCGTGGCCGCGCCACGGCGACGCACCTCCGCTCTTCTTGGCCATGGCTTTCCGAATACCAATCGTCTGACGTCACATTGTGTTTGTATACGCTCTGTTTGGGTGTATACTTTTTCAAGAGCCAATAAGCGAGACGCCTAAGAAAAGCGACATCAAGCCACCTCCAGGCACACGCTGTTTTAATAGCACTGAAATTGCAAGCTATTGATGTCTCAGAGGCTGTTGCAGTGACGGAGGCTGGAACGCGCTCGACAGCCTCCCAGCCTTCATCAATCAGCTCGATGGAGGCGACATTCCAAGAGTTCAACAGACGAGTAGCCATATCGCTATTGGGGTCGCAGGTCTCGGGACCTCAGCAGAGGAAACCTCAGCCTGCAGAGGCTCCTAAGCCCCTGCAGCAGCCTTACTCAGGGGGTAAGAGGAGGCGAGAAGAGGACAAGGATGGAGCGATGCAACGCGAGAAAGATGACAAAAGCCTGCATATCCTGATGCCCAACTTGGGCAGAGCCCGGATACTGTGTCGTCTTTGTAGCAAGCGCGGTCTCAAGACCCGGCCGCGTTATGGCTGCGTACAGTGCCGACTGGGCTTCCACGTTGAGTGCTTCGCCGTCTTCCACCACCCCGAGCGGTACATCACGAATTCATCTGACAGTGAGCGAGACGCGCTAGACGTCATCACCGGTAATTCTACCTCCATGCCAGCGACGCGACGCCGCTCAATAATGTCATTTGAGCAGGTCACCTTGCCAGCATCGTCCGACATTCAGGAGATTTAGAGCTGTTCAAAAAATGTATAATATTTGCATTATCCGGCTATACCCCATCTGACGCTAAAAACGCCCAACCCGCCGCCACTTCAGCAATCGCGAGCCAAAAACCTACCAAGCAAGGACACTTCCTCTAGCAAGTCGAGACGATGGCGGACCAGAGCATGAGCCTCATGGACGGCACATACTTTGTGGGTCGTAAGGAGATCTTGGACTGGATCAATAGCTTGTGCGCCATCAACTTGTCCAAGGTGGAGCAGACGTGCACGGGCGCTGTGGCCTGCCAGATCCTGGACGCCATGTATCCGGGCAAAGTACAGATGAGCAAAGTGGACTGGGCAGCCAACAAGGACTACGAGTACATTCAGAACTACAAAGTACTGCAGAAAGCCTTTATGCAACTTAAGATCGACAAGCACGTCGAGGTGGATCGACTCGTACGTGGCAAATATCAGGACAATCTCGAGTTTATGCAGTGGTTCAAGGCCTTCTACGAGCGCAACGCCTCCGGCCAGCCCTACGATCCCATAGCGCAGCGTGAAAAAGGAAAAGGGGGTGCGCAATACACGCAGAAGTTCGGTGGAGGCGCCTCGTCGTCCACACCAGCAGCGCCGCTACGTCGAAAAGTTGGCGCTACTGCGACCTCCAGAGTCGGACGGACGCCTCCTGGAGCTCCGACGAGTGCAGGTGCTGCTCGCACAGCCAGAACGTCGACGGGGGCCACGCGTCGTCCCGTAGGAAGCGCTGCGTCTGCGTCTGCTGCTGCTGCTGCGCCGTCTGAAGCAGACACGGAGGCGGCTGTTGCAGCGGCCACGGCGCCGTTGGAGAAGGAACTGGAGGAGCTCACGGCCAACAACGAGGCGCTGACGAACGAGAGCGGCGAGCTACGTGCCATGGTGGAAAGTCTGGAGAAGGAGCGCGACTTCTACTTCAACAAGCTGCGTGAAGTGGAGATCATGCTGCAGGCGGCAGAAGATAACGAGTCGAACCCGCTGGCCCAGGCGATCTTCAAGGTGCTGTACGCCACGGAGGAAGGAGCTGAAGACGAGCAAGTGGCTGGCGAGCCACAGGACGAGCAGATGTAGACGAGAAGTCGACGTAGACCTGCTCGATAATGGAAGTCACTTTAACCGGGAAACTAAAAAGAGGAAGGAGAGATCGGCAATGAATACTACTCCAAGTACTACGTGCTGCAGAAGGGCTTTGTTCTCTTGGTTTTCTGCTTCTTTATAGGGTTTTAAGAACAGTCCTCGATAAACTAGAGAAGGGCAGTTTAGCAGTGTCCACCGGGCAGCACAGGCTCTTCTGTCTGCTGATCTTGAGTGCTCGGCATCTCTGTCGTCGGTGCTTCAGTTGGCAAAGCGGTAGTCGGTTCAGGCAACGGCGTGGCTGTCGGCTGAGCGGGGGCCAGTGTTGCAATCGGAGGAGTGGTCGAAGGGACAGAAGTCTCAGTTGGCGCCTCAGTTGATGTGGGGGTGATCGCTGGCTGCGGCGTTATCGGAGCATTAGTCGGCAAAGGCGTCGACGGCTCCGTAATGGTTGGCGTCTCGGTTGGCAGCGGAGTTGAGGGCTCCGGAGCTGCCGTAGTTGGCACCGACGTCTCAGTATAGGAGGGGACATTGCTCGGCTGTGGAGTCTCAGTTGACGTGGAGGCTTCCGTCACTAACGTCGGTTGTGGAGTCTCAACGGCGGGCACTGTGGTGGGTACAGGGGCATGTCCATGCGATGCCGCGTTGTTGTCCACTGTGCCGTTGGGATCGCAGATCATCTTGAGCCCGGAGCATTCCTGGTATTCCAGGGGACACTCGTCAACAGGCAGTCGTGCAACACACAGCATCCAGCACACATCAGCTTGAGTCGTGGTGCCAGAACAGTCACATTTCTTCTCGCATTTGGCGTCAAAGAACTCGGTGTGATAGTTGCAGGCTTGGTGACAGCCCACAGTCGGAGGTTTCTCCACACCAGGCCGTAGGGTGCAAATCGAGTACGTGCAGCTTCCTTCCGACTCGACTAAATGACGTCCACCAGCGCAGCCAATCACCTTGAGGTCGTCGTTTGAGGCGCCATTCGCCAGCAAGTGGCGAGTAGTTCGGTTAGTGAACTCGTCAAAGTCCATTTTACTCTCGAGTAAACGTTGATACGAAGGCAACAAGGTCATTTTCCCAAACCAGGCGCGGAGATTCCGTTGTCCTGGCGTCGCGTCGTCGTCCCAAACCATTTCTTTAGGCATCCTCATGCCGTGCATGACAGCAGGGAGGTGGTGACTGGTTTCCAGCCAACGGGACGCTCCTGTACCCATCATGATCACCAGTTCATCGTCCTTCAAGTGTGGACGTACAATCTCGTCCAGTTCGGCTGCTCCGATGACCAAACCAGAGGCGTCGGACTTGAGACGACGTTCACGGGTATTCCCGTTGTGAACCGAGAAGAACTTTGGGGCAGACATAGCGATAAAGAGTCCGTGGTCTTCATGCATAGCTAAGGACAAGTCTTGCTCTATTTCTTGAGCTGAAAGAGACCGACGCGTAGAGGCTGGTGGCGAAGCTGCAGCTTCGTAGGCGTGGAAATGGTCGAGACGCTTAGCGTCGCCAATAAGTTTCCGTGCACTGATGTGGCGTTCACCGTCGCCCATTTTGAACCCGGTCTGATCGAGAACTGAAGCGAACGTGTCCACTGCTCGCTCTAAAATACCGCTGAACTCTTCGGAGAGTTCGCGGTGGCCTGGACAATTGGCTGCCATCGCACTGAGCGTCTCCGTGTCTGTCTCCATGAGTTCACGTCCAGCAGCAGCTCGCAAGGTGAGGCGACGAGTGCCATCGTGGAACTGCTTGGTCGACAAATAACGCACACCTTCGTCGGTGTTTTCCGACGCCACGGCGCATTGCACTGCACTGGTTAAGAACCGTTCGCGGACGTTGCCGTAGTTGGGGATATTCTTGAGTGCAATGATGCCTCCACGCTCTAAAGCTTGGAGCATGCGGTTCGGTGTATCCTCCGTTTGCAAGGAAGTGTAGTCGAACGACGGAACAGAGAAACTTGGAACGTCTTCTAGTTCAGCGTTGACGACGACTGCACTAGCGAATGCTGAGCACGCAAGTGCCAACTTGACGCGTCGAATCATGACACGAGGCTACTGGATCGGAGTGGAGTGGGGGTTGTTGCTTGAGGTGGTCAAATGCGAAATGGTAAAATGGCACTGTAACTGGAGAGCTGGGGCCTTGGTCGAGCAGGAAAGCAGTCGTCGAGGCACTGGGTGGATGTCATGTAATCAACTCAGAGGTGTCAGCGTGACACTGGCAGCCATGTACAGTACATGTAGCAGCCTGCCGGGCAAGGGCAAGTTGCCGGGGCCAATTTATTATACAGTATTCGTCTTCGGACGGTGGGATAAATGGGTTCATAATCAGGAGACGGTTGCAGTGCCTCTTACAGCAAAGGCAATTGTTGACATGGCCGACTTGACAGCCAAAGCCAAAGCGCTTCACTGTGAAACGTCAGTTCACAGTCAAGTTGAGCCACGACCACCAAATCACCACGGTGAGGCTCGACGTCGGCCTTGACAAGGGACACGAATCATTTGCTCACGCTGCTTGCAATGCAAGTTGCGCCCAACGAAGGTGTAGGATTCCCACTTGGAAAGTATCCATGGTTTCCCGAAATTATTGACAAGCGCGAGACATTTTTTTACACCTTCACGGACAAGAAGGTGTTGAGCAAGCCAATGGTCCCTGTGATAAAATGAAGTTTTAATAGTTCTCGAGGCTAAACGTTGCTTACGGAGTGAATTGTGGTGGGGGTGTCCGTAGGGAGTGGATGTGGTGGGTGTTTGAAACCCGGCGCGAACACCTTGGGACCTTGGGAGCAGACTCGTATCGGTCGGGATTCTGGTTTTAACTACATGTAGTTACGGTCTACGTTTTAATACATACTTACTTACGAAGAAGAGCGTAAACTGCCACGATTCGCATGTCATCCTTGTGTCACAAAGCGGGTGTAACCAACACAAGGCTTGTGTTGGTTATCTCAGGTGAAGAGTCCTCACCGAGAACTCCTCGGAGTCGAAACCGCTGAGGGCTTACCGTAAGGTCTTCCAACACTTTAATTGATAGCGAGTTCTAAGCGATGCCGAGTGAGAGCAAAGAACCCAAGGACGAAAAGGCTGGAGAGAAGCCTCATGCCGCTACCTCTAGCGAATGCAAAGCTCATTCAGGACACGAGAAAGCGGGCGCTAAAGATGACGATGGAAGCAGCTGCGCCGCAGACGACAATGATCTCGTGAATAAAGTCATCTCCTTCTTCTTTGACAACGACGAGTTCGCACACACGTTCGAGACCTTTGCAGAGCATCATTGCCATGCATTCGATCTAGACAGTGACGAGATGAAGCTCGAGTGAGTATTAGGAACTGCGTTTCCAGTTTTAAATCGCATCAAAACTAAACTATGGTAATTCTCGCAGATACACTGATATCTACAACGAGTTTCTCGCTCTTTTTGAAGAGAAACTAGAAGGTAAGTTCTCTGGTTTAATAGCAATTTGCAATGGGCAGCTTACTGGTAGCGTTTTGGCAGCGTACATCCAATCACAGGGGGCAACCGTGCACGAATTTTACGACATGGTGCGTCGAGCTTACGAGAATAATCGTCAGTCGGGCACTGTGCTCTGTTCGGAGATCCTCGTGGCCACTGCAGATTTCGACGTGTTTGTATGCGCCAAACAAAAGAGGCCTCGCTGCTGGCGAAGCGCTAAAAGCTGGTACTGGCTTTAGGATTTGATCCAAGCTAAATAATTGAAACGCACTAGATTTCCAGAATTCATCGCTCTGCCATAGTTTGCCTTCGCAGACGCTCTACCAACGACGGCAGCTTCACTTTTGGTTTCTTCCTCGCATTAGTTGTCGAAGACCACGATATCATATTGGTGGCTTGTTGACCACCTTGTGAGGACTGCGATCTGCTCCGACTGTTGCTTGAGTTTCCACTTTGATTCGAGTTATTGCGATTATTGGGCTTGCGGTTAAGGAGCTTCTGAACCCGGCACACAGGGTCTAGCTGGCGTTGGCGCTCTTGCTGCGAGTGTTTCTGACGCTGCTTCCGGCGCTTCATCTTGTTCCAAAGTGTCGCCGCTAAGCTCTGCTCCTTTGTAGGGTTTGGAAGACTTTCAGGTTTGACACGTTCCAAATTTTTGTCATTCTCCTGACCCACTATTTCATTGTTTTCCACGTGATCTACACGATCAATTCGCGTTGATATCGGCGGATACCGTTGATGGGACAGAACAGGTGTGCGTGGAAGCACGGGATCTTCCCAACCTTCTACCAGTTCGGGTGGCAGTTGAATTAGATCTTCTAAATCTACACCATCAAAAGGATCTCCTTCCTCCACCACTTGGGCTAACGCTAAAGCGTTCGCAAACTTCCTTCGCACATGGAAACCTCTAAACGTTGACTGCAAGCGTCGAGCTGCCGCCTGATTCTCCGCTGTCATCAACACCTCCGCTCCAGCTGCGTTGTTGTCACCGTTTTCTTCCGCTTGAGGCTGCTCCTCATCACTGAAATCTTCGAGGACTAGTGGAAGCTCTACAGAGACGACTTGTTGCAGTCTTTGCCGACAAGATCGATGCCAAATATGAATCCGTTTCGCAGCGTTAGAGACCGTCTCAGATCGTAATCGATCCTCCTCAATGCTCTGCTTGCACCACATTTTCCACCTTGTAAGGAATTTCATCAACTGATACGTCGTGAGTATTTGATCAAGACGCTGGAATCCTGTCGATAGATTAATAACCATCCGGTCTCGTTCACGCTCCTTTGCTTCTGCTTCCGCTACTTGAATCCAATAATTCCACGCACGTCGACATCGAGCTTCCTCTCGCCTCATGGCATCACGCGAATATTCCTCGTTTTGCGTGTCTATCAGTTTCAAGAGCTCTCGAAATGCCCATGCAGACCGAGAACGCTTCTCTTCTTGCTGCATACTCTCACCATATTCTTGTTCTCGTAATCGCTCCTCATTCTCCAGTTTTCGACTTCGTTCTTGGTCTTCTACAGCTTTTGCCAGAATATCTTCTAGATTCATTGAAACATGATTCATCCCACGCTCCTGCTGCTCACGTAGCAGATCTCTCTCTGCAATTATTCGCCTCGTGGAGGCTTCTTCAGCTCGCATTTGCACATTTTCACGACGTTCACGTTTTGTTTGTCGAGCTTGAATTTGTCGCTGAGTTTCGTGATATTTAACCAAATTTAGCAATACAGCAGCAAAATGGCATCGTGTCATCGATTTCTGCCTCTGATGCCGTTCGATTCGCATTCGATGTCGTTCAGCTCGATCCTCTGCTTCCATTCGACGTGTCTCCATGTTGATAGCGGTCTGTAAAGCAGCCGATTCAGCTGCGACTATGTGCGATTCTTCGTCAGCGAGAGTCATCAACACAATTTCGTGGTTTTCACGCTCGGCAGCAGCAAATTGTCGACAGAAAACTTCTTCCTTCGCCATAAATGATCGTTCTTGGGCTTCCTGACGAGAGCGAGCAGCGATTCTCTCTTGGGTCTCATATTCCTCTTCAAGTCGACTTAAAAGTTGAGCTGTTTCTGCACGTTCCTTCTCGTGTCGAGCTTGCGCCTTCAAACGCCGCGACTCTCGAGCTTCGTGCTGCTTTGCAATGGCCTCGAGTTGTTTCTGCTCAGCTGTAAGCGCAGATTGGTTGTCCTCAGCAATAGTTAATGGTGGGACATCAGGTAAAGCTACGACTTGGTTAGGGCCATCAGACGCTGTCAGTGGTGGAGTTGGGTGGCAGCCCCCGGGATCACGGGTCATTGTAGATGTCTTTGCACTCTCCTTTGTGACCGTGTCGATCAAACTTGTGGGATTTCCATTCTCCTTAACAGCAGCTTCCTCGAGATAAAAGATAGTGGATCCAAGACTCGGGCTGTCTGTCTTCTCGTCCGATGTGGCCGTGCGGCCTTTGATCTCTTCGTTTGGTCGCTGTGTCTGTGGTTCATCACTTGAGATTGGAGACTCTACGTCTAGAATAGACGTCCGGATTTCGTGTAATATTTCTCGACATGGTTGGAAGAACTCGCGATCACTACGTGCAACACTTTGCAGCAAAAGCCCCCAAGATGACGGTGAAACTTGGTGCTCTTTGTCGACACTATGCAAACCTTGAGCTCCCGTTTCTGTCACCTGCTTCAACACACTGTCCAGATCCAAGCGCACATACATCACCTCGTTACTACCGCAGCCGCCAATGCCGTCGTTCTGGTCAACATCACCGTCTAAACTTCCTTCGAGTTCGACATCCTGAGCGGATAACGCAGCCAGCTCAGCTGCCAACTCGAGTTCAAGTGCGCGTCGTTCCTCATCGTCATCACCGCCTTGACTGGACGCAGCCATCTCTCGCCAATATCTCGATGGAAAACTCGACTCGTACGCGCTCAACGACGCATGGCAACAATAAAGAGAAGAGCGAAGCCCAAATTTGTGAATTATAGTGCACTATATTTATATATCTTCGCGTATTATAATGTTTAGCTCATAAATATCTAGCGCTCTTGCACTATCACTTCTTCGTCGTCTCTCTCCTCAACAAAGTAACTTGTGGCATCCCCGACTGTCGCCACAACGCGTTCGCGAGAACACAATGCAATTGTGATGGCGTGAAACCCGTCACAAGTGATAAAGTTCTCCTGCAGCTTCAGAGTCCGCACTCCTGCCAGTCCCAGCACATTAAACAGCTCCTCATCTTCAGACGAGACCTTCCGATCCGCATGCATTCGGTCGCACAAGTTTTCTTCTGCCACGGGATCGTCAAGCAAATCCGCGAGTGCAAATGCGTCCGAGTCGGTGAGAATGTTGCGGCTTAAGTCCAACATTTGGAGTTCGCTGAACGGCTCGATGGCTTCGAGAAGCGCGCGGCACCCTATTTCGCCCATGAAGTTGTTGCGTACAGTCAGAGTCTGTAGATGCTCGAAGAACGTGTTACGCCTCTCAAACAGCTCGGCAAGTTGCTGGATCCCGTGGTCACCGAGGAAAGTTGCGTCAAGCACCAAGTGCCGTAGCGAATTTCTAGCGTTGCTGGACTCTGTCAGCGCATTTAGCACCCTGAAAACCGCGTCACTCTCAGTTGCAAAGTCGAACGGAGCCAGGAGCTCCAATCTCCTTAACGAAGGACACGCGCCTGCTTCCAGTGCATTGGCCACTTCACGAACCAACTGATGGCCGTACGACGCTGTGGCGAGCGATGCCATGTAGGTAGACGCAGTCAACGCGCGTGGGAACACAACACCCGCCTTCAGATGGACCCGGTTTGCCTGGTTTGAGATCGTAAGGCTGTTGAGGTTCTTGCATTCGTGAAGTAAAGTGCTCAGTCCACTGGCTGCACCATCGCCGCGGTTTCGAATCTCTGCTACAGGAGCTGACCCGGCATCGATATGCAGAGACCTCACGAAGGACGGTGCATTGAGGTACAGGAACTTGTTGACGCCGCGGCATCGTAGCACGGCCTTGCCGTCCAGAAAGCTACAAACCTGATGCAACAAGTCCAAATTGCTATTAAGAACGCAGCCTCTTGCCCCGACGCTGCAGTTGCGAATCTCTTCTTCGGTGATAGTCAGTCGAGGTCGCTGTCGCTTGGCAGCGGAGGCTCGCATTGCCGCCATGACGGCCTCACTGGGCTCTGTCTCAGATCGTTTGCGCTTGTAGTGGGTCACGAGGCCCTGCACACGTCGCTCGAGCGACGGCTGGTGCAGATACTCGCTCAAAGAGCCTGCAGAATGGTACAGCATCCACTCGAGACGTTGCAGCAGTGACGGACTCGTGCCAGTGTCCTCGCGTGTCTGTAGGATCGGATGGTGTTGCGATAGTGCCGGGTGAATGCGTAGTCTTGCCATCATGATCTTGCGCACTTGGACATCGGTCGGGTCGTGCCAGCCCGCGTTGGTGGCGGACTCGGAAGCAGTGGAGACCATGTCACTACACTATAAAGTGGTTTAGTCGACAGTTGTGAGTGGCAGTCGGCACGTTGTAGAATGACCAAGAGACCGAGACAAGTTGGCGGTGGCCTCTGGTCAGTGATGAATGCGGTTTTGTTCGATTAGCTCATTTTTTCGTGTACGAGACAAGACGATTAGAATACAGGGGTATCAGAAGAAGGAGGGAGCTGAGACGGTTTCATAAAGAGCCGCATGCAGTGGTAAAGCAATAAAAAAATGTTTATCGAATGTATTACATGTAGAAAAAAGAAAACAAATGATGGGACGGTACTGTACACGTGAATCGCAAGCAGGCTAATTGTCCAAGCATGACGCCTTCTGATCGATAGCTACGCAACGCTTTGCGGTGCAAGCCTGTGTCAGATGCCGCATCTTCAGCGAAGCAGACATGGCTCCACTCACGAAATCTCAGATGGTTGCCAAGCGTACACTTCAGAAGTTACTCTTATCTCTCCGGCATTCAGTGAGTCATCCGAATGGAATGCTCAAGTAGCACATTCTAAATTTTATAGCTAGGAACAGCAAAGAGCCTGATGACTTGCGAGTTGGGCGATGCCGATAAATTAAAATAAATTCAGTATCGTAGCAGCGGCGGCATTCTATAACTGCCCTGTCGGAACTGCTGACTCAAATGTCTCGGTACCAGCACTGAAATCGCCGCTGGACCCTCAGAGGCGCAGGTCATACCGTACAGCTAAAAAACCTGCGGCGTATCGGTCGGACGCAACAAGTGAGTGCGATACAAGTACAGAACTGTCTTGCACGATTTTATTGGTGGATAGAGTCAGTAAGCTCAGACGAGAAAATGTTTTGTCTTGTACCTTGGTACACCGACGGACAGAATGCAACTGCCACTTTCCCACTGGTACAAAAGCGGTCAGATGACCACAGCACTTTTTTTTACAGTAACGAATTACCAAGAGTTTTTGGCAAAGTTAGGGAGGCAGCTGTATTTAGCACTAAAAGTTGGTTTTGTACTTAGACTTAAAAAGTTTAGCGAAACTGTCCTGTACTTCTACCAATTTTCCTATAAATAAAATATCAAAATGATCAAATTAGATCAGTTCCATACAATTTATAAGTCAAAGCACTACCTTTAAACCGTGCGGTGTGCGCTGCACGAAGCCATGCCGATAGGCAAAACGTCGTAGCAACCTTTGTAGAGACTGATACGCAGTATATTCGCCCTTCTTGCCCTTCAAGAGCATGTCGTTTCTTCTTCATTGTATAATGCATCTGACGCTGTTTAGGCTCCGCGTATACCTCGCCAAGTAGGTCTGCAATCGCCACGATTTCTGGTGGTGACGGAGGCTCAGGTGGGGGCTCCGACCGGCGTTCGGACTCGAACTCCGAGGTGGTTTCAGCTACACGTACCGCCTCCATTTTACCAAGTGACTGGTGCAGAATAACCACTGCAGTTCAGCTGTACAATGTGGCGTTTTAGCTGTTTTGATTGGCTTATTTGGTAGATTTGCAAGTGGCAGCTATGACCTGCGCCCGTTTTACGTTGAATTTTAATGGCAGTTGCATTCTGTCCGTCGGTGTACATGTTCAGTAATGTTTTGCTGGATTTTCACGTTTCTCCCAGAACTCTCAGTACCGGTAATTTGGCAAAACGTTTCTGACTAGGCTCAGTCTTATATCGTCCCAAAAGAGGGATGGACCAATCAGCGATCTAGTTCGCGGGATATTGGGATGACCTGTAGGGTTGACACCCCTTCTCGTCCCACTGGGACGTTGTGTGCAGGGGCTAATGGTAACCCAAATATCATATGATATTTTTGATAGTAATAGTACTATTTTCGATATTAAATATTAATAGTAACTCATTTTTGCAAAAGCTAACATAATATTTTTATATTAGCTCGGAGAACTGACAAATATTAGATACTACATGATATTTTATGATATTTTCCCACTTAAGTACGTTTCTTGCCAGCTTACCTCTGTGAACCGAGCGGAGCCAAATAACTTTTTCGATCAGGTTCTAGAAAAGCAGTAGGCTTTAAGACTGACGAGTATTTGCTCTAGTATTTCACTGTGACACAGACAAAGGCGATCGAGATGGAAAACTGCAAACGCTTGCAGCTGTTTAACGTTGATAGAGCGAAATCAAGACATTTGTTCTTGTTCTCTTCCGATCTCCTCGTCGACATCGTGCGTCTAATAAACCTGCTGCCTGTGGCGCTAGATTAATGCGCTCAGCAGTGCCAACACACAACGCCAACCTTGCCGTCACTCACAATTGTCCCGGTACTCACGGTTGATTAGTAATACTTCAGCTAGTCGAGCGTTAACGACATCTGATTAGTTAATGTAGCCCGATTACGCAATCATTGAAAAATATAATATCGTATTAACTAATATTAAGTTGATATTTAATAATATCATATTGTCTCAAAAGAAAATATTAGGTGATATTTTTTATATTAACTGGTCTACAGGTGATATTTTCACAATATTAACTTCACCGATTTTGGAGTTACCATTAACCCCTGGTTGTGTGGCACGGTCTTGGGATACGTACACAAATCCCGCTCATCTCAAATCCAATCGTCTATATTCCACAGCAGCACACACCGCCGACACGAGCCACCTGTCTATAACACCGGGTTGGAAGTCCTGCGGATTCTCGAAATTGCAGGCATCCCATCCCGCTATTGTGGGCAGATATAAGACCGAGCCTAATCTTCTGAGACTTTTTTCGGATCAAAATCTTCAGGCGTGCGTTTTCGCCAATCGCCACTCAATGTCCCACTATTAAAGATCACGCTCGTAGTGTACTTGTTGCCTTATAGGTTACGTTACTGTACCAATATCGACTTAAGTCAGGAGCCTCACAGCGGTATCAGCCGAGCATTGAGAGCTGTAGACAGCGCCTCCAGCCCCTCCTGACCGATGAAGTTGTCCTGCAGCAACAGCGTGCGCAGCTTGACGGCTGGCGTGTCGGATCTTTTCCTTTTTGGTATGATCTTGTGGCTCGAGCAGCATCCGTTCTGGGTACGGGGATTTTGCGGTGATTTGATATCATCCACGCGGCAGGAAATCCAGTCTGCAAGCGCAAGCGCATCCAGGTCAGTGAGGATGTTTCCACTCACATCCAGCACACGCAGCGCTGGTAAACACTGCAACACGCGCAGTAGTGCCTGGCAACCGGCCTCCCCAATGAAATTATTTCGCAGCACAAGCGTCTTCAGCGACCCAAAACAGTTTACACAGTTGCCCTCTGTAGCCTGTTCAAACACACCCGCCACACGGTTCAAGCGCGTATCGCCCAGGTAGGTAGAGTCGAGTCGTAGATACCGAAGAGGAGCGGCAATTCGCTGTGTTCCAAGACTACGACGTCTTCCTGTCGCGAAAGCTTCCAGACATTTCAGCACGTCGTCGCTTTCAGCGAAATAATCAAGCGGTGAGCCAAGATCCAGTTCCTGCAACTCAGGACATGCTCCTCGTTCAAACGCACGCGTAATATCCCTGAGTACCAGTTCGCCTGCAAGTAAGCCATTCTTCAATGGGCGGCTGAAGGAAAGTCGGCGATATACCATCACCCGAGAGGGTTTTCTGACCATTTCAGTGTGAGATCGGAGCTTGCTGGTGACGACGAGGCTGGTGAGTTTACTGCAACTGAGCAACAAACGCGTCAGAGTGCCAGTCGAGAAATGCTGTAGAGCTGGAGCATGTGTCTCAACATGCAGCGCAGTTACCATTTTTGGACCATTTTCCAACAGAAACTTGTTCACAGAGCGTAGCCGCAGTACTGTCCGACCGGAGAGAAAGCTGAGCACGAGTCCAACGAGGTTGTCGTCGTTGTCCAGCAGAAATACACTCCTGTGGGTGGGAGACCTGGTGCTAAAACACTGGCGTTTCTTGTCTGGACCATGATCAGAGCCCTCGTTGTTGCTGTTTCGATTTCGTTTGCTGTTGCTGTTACCTTCACGTGTCACTTTAGGTTCCAGCTGCGTCACAAGGGCCTGTACTCGGCGTTCTAAGGACTGTTCATGGGTGTATTCATGCATTGAATGGGCAGCGTTGTACAGCATCCACTCGAGTCGCTGCACTAGTGACGGCACCACAACGGTACTGCCATTGCTGTCTGTGGTCGTGCACTTGGTCCCTGCGAGCACTGGATGCAGTCGCCGCAGCCTCAGCATCATTAATTTGCGTGTCAGTCTGTCGTTGGCATTATTGTGCCATGATCGACCTCGTTGAATGGCTCGGGGTAGCGCACGCGTTGTAGAAGAGGAAGAAGAGGGCGTGGCTTGAGGCATTCATGCAGAGGCGATATCGAAGACTCAGGGCCAATTTGAGAATGACCGAGAGCTCTCAGCAGAGAGGGACGTCGCACAGCAAGCACCGTCATCGTGGTGTCCGGTGGGTACAATGTTCAGGTCTGCAACGACGCGCCTATCGCTGCAACTCTACAGGATTCTATCCCTGGCGCCTGCTGCTTTGAAAGACCGTTTTCCCAACCCACCGACAGAAGTTCGAAGGGCAAAGCCAAGGGGGCTTCGGCCCGAACCTACCGCCGATATGAACCATGCTACCAATGTAAGATAATCTGGGGCTCTCAAATTTGTCTTACAGTATAATACCTCCAGAAACCTTCTTTCGGTTTTATTAAAGTATGAACGGGCTTGCTGCGTTGATGTCAGTAGAATTCTGGGTTGTGTGATGTCATTAGCCGAGGCGCTCACTGCTATGAGCAGAGAGCAGGTTAAACACCTAGTTGCAGCAGAAATTCTGGGCCTAACACGTCATGAGCGCAGTGGCTTCTGCATGATGCAACTAACGTTAAAATAGGCCTATATGCAGTCTGCAAGTTGATAAGTTTTGTAGGCTACTGCATACAAGCCACCGTGGATACGTGGTACAAGCTGATCTGTCGAAACAGCATGGCGACACTTTTGTCGAGCAAAATGTTCATGTACTTGCTGCCTTGCGAATGGCAACCATCGTTGGAGCCACCCTGGCCAGTCATAACTTATCACTGGCCATTAGGTAGCAAGATGCACGCTCTACATTCAGATCTTGTTTGACCCTGGGTGGGTTGATAATACCAGGCTATAGCTTGCTCACCGCTGTTGCAAAGGCTTCATCAAGTTGCACCGATTCACAACATCGAAAAGATGTTACTCACGCCGCTCTACCTAGACAAATTGAACCCACAGATCCTTTGATAGGTACATTTCGCCGAGTACTATAGGCACACCAGCACAAAACCGATGCCTAATATTGCAAAAAGCAACTTCGCAAGTTCGACTTCGAAGGCAAAAGATACACAGGCCACTACGCATATCATAGGCAATAGCTACTTGTACTTCCACCGTGGAAGTTCCACGTTCCACGGTCATCAGAAAATGGCACTTCAACCACTACATGTAGAACACAATTTCTACTGCAGTTCGCACGCAACAGCTGTAACTTTCAGGACAAAAGAACAAATGATGCAGATGATAACACACCTGCTTTACTATACTTGAAATCACTTGAGACACTTCCGATGGTCGTGTGGCTCTGCCTGTTCACATTGCCCTGCTCTATTTCTTCCAAGTCGACCGACGCTGTTTCTTAGCTAAAGGCGGCGACGCGAACTTGGCCAGCCGCTGTAAGCCTGACTTCTTGTTTTTGCTGCCTGAGGGCGACGCCGCAGAGGTGCCAGGCTTCTTCAGGAAAGGGTTCGCCGGCGCCACTGATCGCTCCACACGTGCTGCATTGCTCTTCGAGGGAGTAGTCTTTGGTGAGCTTGGGGTCTTGTCCTCCTTAGCCTCATTAATCGACGCAGTCTCCTCGTCGTACTTTTCTTCACGCGTCTCTGTCGTCGGAGGCCGAGACAGGATGCTACGTGCACGACGCAAAGGCTCCACCTCTCGTGGCTCGGGCTCTGTCTCTTCCTGATAAGAACGAGGCTGTCGTAGCGGCTGAGAAGCTTGCACCATGGGCTCCTGCACCATTCGTCGAGGCTCCTCGAACTTAACGCGGTACAATTCGTAGAGCTGAGACTGCAGTTGCCGCAGAGAGAAGTGGATCGCGAGCTTCTGTGCGATCTGGTGAGACTTCTCAAGATGCAGACACTTGGCCAAGTCCAAGACACGCGCAGGCTCGTCATTGGTGCACGCAGTCTTCATCATCAAGATCAGAGCCTTATCCATCTCAGCCTGTTCGTGCACTACTTGGTCGGCAACTTGCTCAGCGTTAACCTCGTTGGCAATAGTCTCCAGTCCACAGAGTCGGACATTCTGCCACATGTGGCCATTAGAGGCCCCTTCGGTCTTCTTCGATGTCTTGGGGAAAGATGCTGTACGCAATCCGAACGTAGCAGGCACAGGACGATGATTTCCGCGAAGTTTTGGGCCGCGAGCGCCTTTGTCTAGAGGGAAATACAACAGCGAATCGTTGACAACTCCCAGCGTAAAGACACCGTGACGATCCTCTGGTTTCTTCTGCAACGCGTTGCCCACACAGCCGACAGGGAACCAGTTCCCCCCTATACTTGGAGACAGCGCCTGAATACACGAGAACGAGTCCACCGCGTAGAGAATCTGACGGTCATCGAAGCCGAGCCACGTGAGTGTAGACCAGTTAGAAATATCTCCACGAACAGCTTCGTTCTCCTTGTGTGACGCGAACACATCGCGCGGCGGTGGGGTCATGGGTAGGGCACCTTTGGAGACCAGTTGAACCCGTTCACGGGACGAATCCACTTGAATACGGAGCAGTTGGTAGTGTAGTTGGCCATGCAGACCCTGATACACCACAGCTAGTAGAGATTCTTTCGCTGTCATAGTCACAACACGACCAGGAAGACGTAGCAGCGCATAGTCAATCCCGCTGGCTGTGTAGACTCGAAGCGTTTGCAGTGACGTGGCCACTGCACAGAACTCACGCCCAGCAGCAACACACTCGGCGTCTTCGCCCTCTGGCAACGTCTTGTGCCACGAGCTATTGCTCGCCCAAGACTCGAATGGCCGGTAGAACACAAAGCTGCTGATCACGTCACTTTCACTGGAGCCAGCGTCAAGGTCCTCCCAGTCCTCACGAATACGTCGAGGGACAGCAAACACAGCGCCATAATTGTCCAGAAAGGCCATCGAGAACATGTAGTTGTCGTTGAACTTGAATCCGCGACGAGACTTGTCTGTGAAGTCCACTTTGACGAGGTTTTCGCTCATACTGGCGCCTCGAATCACTTCAATCTCACCCTCAGGTGTCCACGCCAGCAGTGATGTAGCACTGCTACTACGTCCCATGGAGTCCACCACACTACCCGGCTGAAAAGGTTTCGTGAGTGTACGCAGAGGAGAATTCTCCTGCCGACTCGGCTTTGGAGCAGTTTGGGCAGACGCAGATACTTGTTCGTCTTCGATTTCATCGTCTTTGGTATTGGCAGCAGCACCAAACCCGAAACTGGCTTTGATCGCCTCCACTCTTGCCTCGTTATCGTCATCAAAACTCACTTCTTCTTCGTCGTCGTCTTCGTCATGTCTGCCATCCTCCTCAGCCTCATCGTCCATAAATGAGGAAGCTTTTAGACTCTTCTTACTCGAATAAGAAGACTTGGTTGCAGCTGACTGACCAGCAACATGTTGCGGTGGCGTGTGTCCTGCAGGGATGACATCCTTGACGAACGCCAACTTGCCGCCAGTGTGATAGAGCACCAACGCGTTGCTCTTGTTGGCGAATTGTACGCCAAGTGCCGGGTAGTCGATTCGGAAGGCGCGCAGCACAGTCTGTGTCTCTAGTTCCCATACATAAACCTCCTTGGCACACGTCACAGCAGCCAAATACTGGCCGTTTGGCGAGAATGCCAGGATATCCACATCAGCAGCGGTACTTCTGCCAGCAGGCAGCCTTATCTGGCCCTTGGAAACCCACGAGTCTCGTTCAAAGAGCTCGATAGTCGCCTTGTCCACAGGCACGGCCAGCAACTTGCCAGCATCTCCCGGTTGCCAGGCACAACGTAGCAAAACGTCGTCGTTCCTGATGTCTCCGTGCTTGATCTTGAACGCTTTGGCCTCTGTGGCACGCTGGCTCTCTGCATCAAGTGCAAAGACTCGCACAGTCGCGTCCTCGCTGCTGGCACAGAGATAATTTTCCTGCGGGTCCAGAACCACACTCTTTACGGCTCCAGTAGCCCCCTCTGCGAGGATCACCTGCTCTGTATTACTGCGTAGTAGTAGCCGCACCACGGGCTCATCGTCTGCTATAGCGATGAAGTTGGTGGAGCAGGTAACCTGACGGATGGCGACTGTGGAGCGACGTAGAAGCTGATCAAATTGGCAGTCCGGAGGGAGACTGTAGGACGCCACGTTGCTGTCGTCATCCGACGCGATTAGTACGTGGTTCTGCTCAGGTGTCACGGCGAAAGAAGGCACGAAACCCTCGCATACTTCGGCTTGGTACACAGAGCTCTCTGTGGCGAGGTCCGTGACGTATAGCACCCCGTCCTCTCCGCTCGTGAAGACCACGTCGCGACCCACAGGCACCTGTCCGTCCTTCATAGGACGCAGCGTCGTCACGAGCTGCATGGCGCCCTTGCCATTGACATTCACGGCGATCTCCTTCATGGTCTCCATGGTCCCAAAAAGAGCGCTCAAAGCTCGAATGACGCCGAGATCAACTTCCCGCCATTTTCATTCCCGGATAAGTACGTATCGTATCTAACAAGTAAAGTCATTTCGGACTTAAGTGGGTAGACCCATTCAAGAAGACCACGTACGATTGACAATGGGCGATCACGGCAACGTATACTACGCGCCCACGGGCGAGACGACCGAGTGGGAGGATATTCTGGTCAAGAAGGGAATCCTTGCGCCAAAGACCAAGGTTCCTGATGAAGAAGAGCAGGAGGAGGAAGAGCAGGTTGATCCGCGTGAGTATGCGACGCTGGATGAGTTGGACGAGTTAGAGGACGATTACGACGACGACGCCGAGCTGTCTCGTATCCGCGAGCGTCGAATCCAGGAAATGATGGCGCAGGCGGCGCGTAACAAGTTTGGAGACGTCCACCCCATTGCCAAGGACGAGTGGACAAAGGAGGTGACGGAGGGCAGCAACGACCATTGGGTCATCGCTTACCTATGGGACGAAGCGCTCGAGGAATGCAAAGTTATGGATCACGTGCTGCGAGAGATAGCTAAGAAGCACCGCGACATTAAGTTTGTGAGTATCCAGGCCCAGGCCTGCATCGAGAACTGGCCGCCCCGGAATTGTCCCACTCTCTTTATGTACCACAAGGGTGCGCTCAAGAACCAGCTCCTGGGTATCCGCAAGCTCAACGGACTCGACATGAAGGTTGAAGGTACGATAGTTGAGATGATAACATCGTTGCATTGGGTGTTCTGTTCTGACATGGGTTGAATTGGTGGTTGGGCCCACAGATTTGGAGGAATACCTGGCCAAAGCCGACGTTTTCAAGGCGGACTTCTAAGTGTGTGCTGGACGCTGCGCAGTTGTATGGAAAGGGGATCTAATGCGCATTTACTAAAGATTTTGCCTAGCATGGTGTCACTGTCTTCGATCACAGCGGCAACTATCACTGTGTCCGTTGTAAATGCCGTGTACCAACTAGTCTTGCAGCACTTTGGGGACCTTGAAGTAGTAGCCAGACTTCTCTGCAGCGTTCGCCAACACCTTCTCTGCGCAGTGACCCTCGGTAACGATGTCGTCCCTGAGAGGAGCTACCACGCCTACGACACCATATCGGACAACCGATTAGATGAAAGACCAAAACCACATCATGCGACTAGCACGTACCCGCGTCGAAGTCACTATTAGCGTATACGTTGTCAATGTTCTCGTTGAGAGTCATGACCTGGATGGTCTTGGTACACTGGATAATGGACTCCACATCCTTGAGCAGTCCCGGAAGCTTCTCGTCCTCTACGTGCAGATGACACAGCTCCGCCAGCTCACGAAGCTGTCACACACATGGATTTGTATTGTTAATGACTGCAACACTATGGTATTCCACCGCAGCGCACCTTTTCTTCTGTTAACACTGTATCGAGCTGTGTTCCCTCTTGATGAAGTTCCTTAAGCGACCAGGAAGGCGTCCGTGGGATACTAGATATATAGCAAAGACCCTCAGGCAGTGGAGAAGCTGTAGAGCTGAAGTATCGAGCAGTAGGAGCCGTCAGGGCACGTCGGATAGAGCCGTGAAGATGCCTCGCCATCGTCCGCATGGTGATCAACGGAAAATGGTGCATTATCTTAAGTTCGGCTTAAGTTCGCATTCAGTGAGACAGCAAAGGCGATGAAGGTGCCCAAGATGATGATCGACTACACGCTGCGCTTTGGTATCCCCATAGCACTCTGCTACGCGTACTGGAACCCCAAGTCCGACGAGGAGATCCGTCGCGATGTGGTACGCGAGATAACAAAGCGGTCGCAGCGAGACCACGTTGTGGAGCTCACAATTCGTTATCAAACCGACTGATGCTTTGCAACGTTTGTCCGAGCAGGAATCCAAGATTAAGCCGGATGCGGAGACGAGGAAGAAAAGGCAAGCTAAGTTCGCCGAGCTGCTGCTGCAGAAGGATGACCTCTCGAGTGAATCGAAGCAGCAGCTGGACCAGGTCACGGCATTCACGAAGACGAAAGAGCAGTATTTAGCCGACAGGAAGAAAGAGAAATAAACTCTGGCCTTTGATAGAGAGTGTGGGTGTGTTTGCTTTGTGGATCGTACTGCTGATCAGTTCATGTACCGCTGGATGCGGCTACAGTGCACGGAGTCGACCTCTTTCAACGCGGTCTCCAGCTGCCGCTGCATCAGTTTGAGACCGTCGTAGTCTACGCGTAGACGGGTTGAAAGAACCTGTGGCATAGTAGTACTATTGGCTTGGGTGGCAGTGTCTAGACGAAGCGTCACGATAGGCTTTGGCTTGTTGCGATGGAAGCGAGTGCCGAGCTATTGTAGGCGCAGTTGATGGTGTCACATTTCTACTTTCATATACCCAGAAACAAAGTCACCATCCAATCTCATCGTCGTACCTCTACGTCGATTCGCCACTCCAAATTGCGATAGCGCGGAACGCTTGTGCCGTTTTCTCTGGATACGCACTCTCGGATGTCGTTCCCGTGTGCGCTATATAGCTGTTCGAGCATAGAGTAGATAATAACATTGTCCACGTTTAGCATGTAATGTACGTGTAGTACACTAGAAAATACTAGCTATACCTGAACAAGCACGTCGATGTGCTGCTCCGGCAGCGTCATCCCTGTCAAGACCAACCGAAACGCATGCTCGGACATTTCAGCCTAGTCCGCCATAGAAATACAATCAGCACTAGCACGCGCCATCTCTTCGTTCAAGTTGCAGCTATTTCAGACACCTTAACGCTGTCCATGAGGACCTTAGCGATGGCGAGCACCGCTTTCTCCAACTGGCCCGCCCCCCACCCGGACGCCGCTGCAAATAACAAGTTGTTGTTATCAGCAACACTAAGGCCAGCTCAGCCATACGCAACTGCCTGACTTCAGCCGCACTATTTGCACCCACATGCTGTGCGTGTTAGCCGTCGCTTGCTCTGCTTGTCCGAGCCAAAAAGCCGCACTGCCAGCTTGCATATCTCCCCAAAGTCTGCATCCAGATCGAGCACATCAATAACCAAATGCAATCAAAATGGTTAACAATCAAGCATTAAGTAGCACGTGGACCCACTCTCGGCTGACAGTTCGCTGGCCTGCGCCACGGCTTCCAGCACGCGCTCATCAGCCACGAAGCTTCTGCTCATGATCGTCAGGCTGATAATCATCTGTTAACTTTTGACCAATGACAGAGGAGGAGCCCATCTTCCATACAACTGCAACAGCGATGGCAGCGAACGGCGCAAGCGGCGGCGGCAGTCGCAAGGACCCCATCCTGGATCTGGCCAAGTACATCGACCAGGAGGTTCGCGTTAAATTTCATGGCGGTCGCGAGGTGACGGGCACGCTCAAGGGATACGATCAACTGGTGAATTTGGTGCTGGACGACTGCGTCGAGTTCCTGCGTGACCCGAGCGACGAGTACCGAATTACGGACGAGACGCGCAAAGTGGGTCTAGTGGTGTGCAGAGGCACATCCGTCATGCTTGTGTCTCCCGTGGACGGCACAGCTGAGATCCCCAACCCATTCCTACAGCAGGAAGGATAGGAAGGACTGCGGCGTTCAAGACTATTCAGAAAGTTTCTCTACATAGATAAGATCTCAAAAGATCCATATTCGTGCTTTATTGCTCTTCTGCTACAGCGCATTCTATTCTTTTTGCACCTATTGCACGGGGTCTATCAGACGAACCTTGTAGACAAAACCCCAGAGCTTGCCCGTGAGGTAGAACACGTCCTCTGTTTCGTCGTAAGCGATTCCGTTGAGCACAGCGCCAGAAGACACATCAACGCCAGCGTCGGCGACCAGTTTGGACAGGTCGAACATAGTGACAATGCCGCCAGTCTCGGGGTCGATCTTCAGGATGTAAGGCTGGTACCACACGTTTGCGTAGATGAATCCTTTAGCATACTCAAGCTCGTTGATCTGGGAAATCTTCTGTGCGCCGTTGTACATCGACACGTCAATATGCCCGACCTCCTTCATTGTCTTTGCGTCCCAGAACATGATAGTCGATGAGCCATCGGAGACCGCGTAGTCTTCGCCATCGAAAGTGATGCCCCAGCCTTCACCCGTCACAGTATCAAACTTGAACTCGCGTTTCAATGCGAAGCCATCGGCTTTGCCATCCTCATCTTCCTTTAGGTCGAACACGAGACCGGTTTTGCTCTTCCACGTCAGCATAACCAATTCGTTGTTCGGGCCGATTGTCACGCCCTCACCAAAGAGGTTTTGTGGTAGATCGTACTGCTTCAGCACCTTTCCGGTTTCAATTTCCACATGACGCAAAGTCGATTCTCCGTTCAAACCAGTAGACTCAATGAAAATCTTATCATGGCCGCGATTTACCACTGTGAAGCCCTGCGTGAACGCCTTCGTGTCATGCGGATATTTACCCAGCATCTGGACCGTGGGGCGAGATGCTGTTCGACGTGTGGCTCTCGCTTCGACTCGCGCTTCTTCATGGGAGTTCAATGTGCGGCTAGGAGAAGGCGTCGGTGTCGGCTCTTGCTGCTGCGTAGCCACCAGTAGCACTACGATTGCTACCATTAAACCAGCCACACCCAAGCGCACGAGGAGACGTGGCAGCATTCCGATCTCCTTTTCGTTCGAAGATTGAGCTGCAGCTTCGGCTTCGGCTTTTCTCGCTTCTGCCGATGTAGTCCACTTGTTGTGGCGTCTTGGGCGCCTGGAGACCTGGTTACTACGAGCCATCGTAGCGAGATGCAGAGGTGTCAATTGGGTCAATCTCGATGTGCCGCACAGGGATTGACAGCAACAAGCCGGAGCAGTAGTTGTGCATTTGTACCAAATAGATGGTACATAGTCTCATTATCGCCACATGTCATTGTCAAGGAGCTTCGCAAAATATGGGCGTGCTGTGGAACTTCGTGCTCACGAGCCTGCTACTCACCAATGCCGTGTGCATCCTGCACGAAAAGCGATTCCTGCGTCCGCGTACGTACGGTCGTGATGGTCTGCTGTAGAAGTGCTCTATTGACCTTTGTTTCGACTTCAGACGGATGGCACAAGGTGGACTCGTCGCAGGGCATGACGATCAAGAACCAGATCGTGGGCTTCCTCATCGCTGTGCAATATTTACGATGTACGTCTGGTGGCTGGCCACGCTGCTTGCTGCTCTGCTGGTATTGCGAAATGTTATGGTGGCGCTAATTCTCGTGCTTCTTTGTTCGATATCCGCAACGTTCCACTGCAGTCCCGCTCATGATTATTAACACACTCATGATCGTGCTAGAACTCATCATGGGCTGAAGTCTCTTGTCAAGTCCAAGTGCCAGCAGATGAATACAATAGCAACTACCGTTTTTCTCCGTGTCAGTCAGTTGTGGACTTGAATTTGTGCGTACAACAAGTGAACTTATAGTGAATGAAGCAACAATGCCTCTAAAATGCCTCTAAATCTGCCTAATGCAGTCCTAAGTAGCTTCTCACACGACATCGACGCCGTTGCAGATCAGGTTGACAGCAAACGTAGCCAAGTCACCAAAGATTTCGGGTCGAAACCCGTTTCCTTACAAATTCAAGTTAAATCATGGACCCGGGTTCAACTTCATTCCCCCCTTGCGATCCGACTTTAGCTCTTGATTCGCATCCCTGGGGCATCGCCTTGCTGCTGGCGCTCCGTGTTTGGCGTCTATAGCTCGTCTCCGAGTGCTAGTCTACTGTAGTCTCTGTTGCAAGCCTCGCGTCTCAGCTTCCGTCTGCAGTCCTCGTCGCCGCCCACTGCTGCTTACATCGTCCGCCATGTTTGAAAAGAACCTGCAGGACCTGGTCAAGGGCATCCGCTCAGCCAAGGGCGACGTGACTGTGTACATCTCGCAGGCTCTACAGGAGATCAAGGTGGAATTACGCAGTACTGACCCGTTTATCAAGGCACAGGCTGTGCGTAAGCTCACATACCTGCATATGCTGGGCTACGACATGTGCTGGGCTGCTTTCCACGTTGTGGAGGTCATGAGCTATGAGCGGTTCGCGCACAAACGTATCGGCTACAACGCTGCATGCAAGAGCTTCCCACAGTCCACAGATGTGGTGCTACTGTGTACAAATCTGCTCAAGAAGGAGTTCGGTAGCACTAGCGAGTACGAAGTGGGTCTGGCGATCAACGTGTTGGCAAATATCGTCACGACGGACTTGGCTCGAGACCTTCTGGGCGACGTACTAGCCATGATGGGCTCTCCTAAGCCGTACGTCCGTAAGAAATCCACACTGGTGCTGTACAAGATGTTCCTTCGCTACCCTCAAGGCCTCCGACTGTCCTTCGACCGACTCAAGGAAAGGATGGAGGAGCCCGACGTCACCGTCGTGTCTTGCGCTGTCAACGTCATCTGCGAGCTGGCCAATAAGAAACCCAAAAACTACTTGGGTCTGGCGCCTCAGTTCTTCCGTCTACTCACCACTTCGTCCAACAATTGGATGCTCATTAAGGTCGTCAAGTTGCTGGCCAGTTTAGTGCCGGAGGAGCCTCGTCTTGCTCGAAAGCTGCTGGATCCGTTGGCTACAGTCATCCAGAACACGCCAGCCAAGTCTCTACTGTACGAATGCATCAGTACAGTCACGACAGCGCTGTTGTACACCAAGAAGAGCGACGGATCCCAGCCACGCAACGTTGCGCCAGTCGTGAGACTCTGTAATGATCATCTACGTCGCTATATCGAAGATCCGGACCAGAATCTGCGCTACTTGGGACTTGTGGGGCTTGGGAACTTGATGAAGTCTCATCCCTACGTGGTTACGGAGCACCAGGAGCTCATCGTGGAGTGTCTGGCAGTGGATGATATCACGATTCGCATGCGAGCGCTGGAGTTGCTCTCTGGAATGGTAAATCCGGATAACGCGGCGCCTATTATCCGGGAGCTCATGCGTCAGACTCTGAGCGCCGATGGAGCGTACCGTCACGAGCTTATCACGCACATTCTACACGTCTGTTCGGTCAACAAGTACGCGAATATCCACGATTTCGACTGGTACATTCACGTACTGGTACAACTCGCTCGTGTGCCCGGTAATACCGCTGCTACAGTGGGTGCGTCACTGTCATCTCTGGCTCCGTCGTCCGGTAGTATGCTGGGCTCCAGTTCTAGCAGCTCCAAGATGAAAGTGGCGGATGACGAGCCTGCAAAGCGTTCGCATGGCGTGGAAGTAGCTCGTCAGCTTGTGGATATTGCAGTTCGAGTCAAGAGTGTGCGCAGTGTGATGGTGGATAACATGATTGAGTTGCTGATGGAGAAGGAGGCGCTCAGTGGGCCGGGAGCTGGCACTTTGCAGGAGGTTTACTACGCTGCAGCTTGGATTACAGGCGAATACGTCATGGAGTTCTTGGACGATGTGGATGATGAGGAAGAGGACGAGAGTGAGGAGGAAGAGCGAGAGACGGAGGAGGAGAAACTGCAGCGGCTGGAGGATCTCGCTGATGAGATGCTGCAGCCTCGTACGACTACCCTTCCTGGCCACGTGCAGACGGTGTTTATCCAGGCGCTACTGAAGATCTTAACTGCCATGGCAGAGCGAGCCGATGACGCTACAGTGGAGCGCATTGCGACTGTTATCATGGAGCGCTTGCCTGCTTTCGTTCAGAGCGAGTATATCGAGGTGCAGGAGCGTGCAGTGTGTCTACAGCAGCTTCTACTTGCGTTGGGTATGGGCCTGGGGGCACTTACGGCTCATGAACGGACTGAACGCGCGTTCGACGGTAGCGCTTCCTTGGACCCGGCAAAGCGACTGGACGTATTGAACTCGTACTTTGCAGAACGACTCGCGCCGGTTGGTGTCAAGGCCCAGCGTAAGGTGCCACTGCCTGGAGACCTGGATCTTGACGAGCCTTTGAGTAATTCTGAGGCGAAATTTCTTGAATCCGGCGGAGATGTATCAGCCTTTTCGAGCGAGGATGATCTTGAGGTCTCGTTCGTTAGTCAGGGTCACGCTGGCATTGGTGGAGGCTACAGTGGCATTGGAGACGGCTCTCCTGAGCGGAAAGCCGGACACAAACACCGCCGTCATGATCACTCCTCGTCCGAGTCTGAATCCGAGGCTGAGTCCGAGAACTCTGCCGATGAGAAGGAGAGGAAGGAGCGTGAGTATGCGCGTGAACAAGAACGACTGCGCAAGGACCCGTTCTATCTATCAGGCGGCTCACAAGCCTCAGCGGGTGCTGGTGCCAACGCGGTGAGAGAAGCAATTCGACCTTGTTCAACATGTGGTAGTTGTGTTCTGCTGACGGTGTATCTTTGCATTGCTTACAGGGCTTTGGGAATATGATTGGCGCCTTGGGCTCGAATGGCAAGAAGAAGAAGGCGTCAAAGGTGCGTGATTAAGTGCGTCGTTTGGTCTGGCAGAAGCTTAGATTGTTTTGCTTCTACAGAAGTCGAAGTCTCGTGATATCCTTGAAGACGAACTGATGCCTGAAGGCGCTCGTTCAAGCGACGAAGACCGTCGACGCGCTCGTAAGAAACGGGGCTCAGTGGGTGAAGACGTACGTTGCCTTCGTTTTATAAACTTATTCGCTGTTACGAGCTGGTTACTGACTCCTTGTTCGTTGTGGTTTAACAGGAGACTGACCTGGCTGCAGTTGATTTGAGTATCCCTCTTGGTGAGAACGAGAAGGTTCCTACGGACCAATGGTTCCATCGTCAGACACCTGCGAAACCAGCGGAGGATGACAAGAAGTCGAAGAAAAAGAGCTCCACGCACAAGAAATCATCACGTGGAGACGATGACAGCAAGAAGAAAAAGAAGAAGGATGCATCGTCGAAGAGCTCCAAGTCCAAGAAGTCATCGCGGAAGCAGGATCTGCTGATTGGCGGCTTTAGCGAAGAGGAAGAGGAGTCTGAAGATCAGGTGAGCCGCCATCAACGGAGCTCATCGAAGAAAAGCAGCAGCCGCAAGAAGAGCAGCTCGAATAAACGCGGTGACGGCGACAAGAGCAAGAAGAAGAGGAAGGACAAGAGCTCTAGACGTCCAGAGGCACCGCCAGCAGAGCCACTTCTGCTCTTTTAGACGACCCACCATTGAGTGAGAAGAAAACATAATGACAAATAGGGGGGGGGGGTGAATTTCTTCGTGGATGTCTATCGAGTGCTGTGGACTTTTACTTCTTGTGCTTAGCCTTCTTGGACTTGTGCTGCTTCTCCTGTTTGTCGGAAGAGTTCTTCTTCTTGCGTTTTTCAACCACCAAGGTCTCGGTCTTTGTCGCCTTTGGTACGGACACTGCGTCCACGTGGTCCTCCACGAGCGAGAAACAACGAGAGAATGGTTTGCCTAGAGCAAAGCGAGCGCGGTCTGAAGCGAGAGGCAGCGCGTTAACGAGTTGGTCTGTGAGCATCCCGTCTTCGCTCTGCAGTAGGTACTTCTTGCTATCTTCCCCAGCTGTGACCTTGGCCAGCACCTCACCAGGTGAAGGTGCCGCCTTGCCTTCGTCCACCTTGATCGTCACGTTGGCCAGCGCCGACGCGTCCAGCTAAAGCAATTTATTCACAAAAAAAATTGTCAATAACAGCGACAATTGATGGCTTATCTGCAACGAGCCACGTACGTTCTTAGGCAGCTTGAAGAACCAGAGCTCCTGGTCGTTATTAAACACGGCCTCACGCGTCACGGCGCCGCTGCCCTTAACGCTTTCGAATCCAGGCGGGATCTCAAATTCACTGTGTCAATATCATCACCACCAGCATCGTCAGTAATGCACAAAAATTCAGCGGTAAAGCTTGGGACAACAGTGTTGGCCTCGTACTCATCAGATGACTCGCCGGAGCTGGAATCATCATCATCCTGGGCTGACTGTGTCGTTGTTTGTTGCTCCTGCTCGTCACTGGAGGACGAGGCCGAGGAGCTCTCGTCGTCGTCACGCGACTTGCTTAAATTCAATCGCTTGGAGGGCGCCATATTTGATTTCTGTAGGTGATTTTTGTGTAGACAAGTCTTTAAGCGTGTGGGATTCCTGGTTGTGTGTAGATCAGGGAGCTAGGAAGAGCACAGGGTTCTGCACTTGAGACCGGCAACGTCTTCTTGTCTTGCACTGTTTTGTTGCCGAAATGACTTGAGAACCAACAATGTACAACGTCACTTTTTCGAGGTAATATCTACAAGAATTCAAATTTAAAGTTTTCGGATGCATTTTGTATACACTGTATACTTTAAACTTGGGCTCGTTTGAAGTTCCTTGCAGGTGCGCTTGCCTCAATCCTCAAAACGTTAATCACCGCGACCAAGACGATGTATGACCTGCCTTTCAATCTTTATCCTTCTACTATCAATTGAGGTTTGCACCTCAGTTTGCAGAGTTCTTTTTGCACCTCGATATGCCACCGATCGCACTAACCCAATTTCTACTCTTACTTCGGCGCCGTCTTGCTGCCAGGATTTCATTGCTCCGTCGGTGCCGACGCGGTCGAATGAGCGTTCCCGATCTGCAATTTCAAGCAACGGCGTCTATTAATAGCAATAGTCACGGGCTACTGGACAGCTTACTTGACAACGAGGCGGCAATGAAAAGCTACGCTGACGAGATCAATCTCGGTCGCATTCGAAGCTTGAGCTCCGAAGACCGTCAAGCGGTTGCCAGACGACGATGTCGAAATCCTCAGATTAGGCCAGTTCTACCAAGTCTCATACCTCGACGACCACGCATTGAGGTCTGGGAGTGACACGAACAAGTTGCTAGTTCGAAAAACTCGCTCCATCTTACATTATTATAATTTTTCTGGAAATATTGGTACACTCGTACTGCGCGATTCACAGTTGGGCGCTGCTTTCACGGGTGGTGGGTAGTTCTGACAGGCTTGCCTTCAACCGGATGCCATACTTCACAGCCCAGTCCCATCGTCGCGCCGCTTGTTTGCTCATTGTTCGTCTTCATGCCGTTCTCTTTCGTTGTCACTAAACTATTTTCTGCTTTCCTGTGTTTTGCTACTTACTTGAAATTCTCTTTTTCTGTAGCACGACGTGTCGGATGGTTGTATGATTTGTGTCACCAAAGCTTCGATGTCCGTCATGCGAATACAGGACGTACACCCAGACTCTGGCTAGCTGGATGGGTTATCGTTATTTTCTCTCGTTTTGAAGTCTGATGGAGCGCGAGTTTCTTCATGGTCGCTGGTTGCGTGGCTCACTTACTCCGTTGCGTTGAAATAGGCGCCGCCGCACGTCAAAGGGGGGATGACGTGCGGGGGCTCTACTTCACCGAGCGGGGCTGGTGCAGCGCTGAGCGCATGTTCCTCTTTGAGTGGAAGCTGTTCTTCTTCAGCAAATGAACCTGCTTAGAGGAGAAGCTCTTGGACTTGGCAGCCTTCGCCATCATGCTGTAGATCTCAGCGTCCACGTCCGAGCTGGAGCGCAGTTCGCGCGTCTTCTGGGTGAGCTTGTGGTGCAGCTCCTGGTGGCTCTCCATGAGGTCCAGCTCGGCCAATATCTCATTGATCTCGTCTACCTGCTCGAGCTCCAACATCTCGGTAGCAGAGAGCGGGTAGTATGCAGGGTCGAACAGCTCCTCATCTGGGATCTCGGCCACGGGCTCCACAGGGTCAGCGATCACGAAGCCTGCTTTGCCGGGCGAGTGCGGGCGCTCCAAATAGTAGTCGTCCGTAATCGCAGGGTACCAGGTCATGGAAGGATAGAAGGGCGGAGCAAGAGCGTCCAGCGTCGACGAGGGCTGAGGTGACGACACCATTTCGGAAGTCTTCTTGTTGTAGTTGATCTCTGTGCTGCTTGAAGCAAAATGCACTATGGTGCGGTGGCCGCAAAGAGACGACTTCGCCACGTCTTTCCCCCCGCGTCCTCTCAGAAAGCGGTCTGAGTGGTATTTTAACCAATCCTCACGACCCCAAAGATATTTTTAGTCAATTGCATGTCGACCCTTCAAAAAAGAAGGTTTTCACCTAGCCGCGTGGACTGAACTTCAACGTCTCTTATTAGTCATATGTCAGTCTGTAATGTCCCCTCACAGCAGCAACAAAGGTTGTGGGTATTAATAGCATGCGGCGAGCACAAAACGAATCAAGTTCCAAGGCTACACAAGCAATCACATGTACAAACACGTCCTTGAGCAGTGGGCACGTCAGCCAGCGCCCAGCGAAGGAACGACGCCTGAAAGGAAGACGGCGGGTTCGCTCTTGGACGCTTCGGTGATGGACTCGGGAGGTCGCCGCGAGGTGGGGTTCGCCTTGGATCGGACTCGTCCCTCCTTGCAACCGATGGACGACTCTAGAAGGGACGTGCCCTTGGTCACGTCAGTGTACGAACAACCCAACAACAACGTACCGGGCCAACAAGGAAGCCGACGTGCCCCAGGGGCTGTACATGTTGTTGCTGGAACACCTACGCGAGCGTACGTACCTGGTGGAAGTCGAGGAGCGACGCCTGTTCAATCGATGAGAACGCCGACGAGAGGAAGTGGAACGCCGACGACGGACCCAGCCTTACAGGCTCTCATCATGGACGGTCTCGCCCAATTGCTACAGAGGGCTGGGGTGACGAACGGAACGCCGGTGCCGTCACCAAGACCTCAAGCTACAGGACACGTACCAAGTACTGTGCCGACGCCGACCCGACCAATGACGTCTTCAGTGATGGGGTACCAAGGACCTATGACCCCGAGGATGAGGGATCAAACGCCGGTTTCGACACCTAGCCGAATGCCGATGCCGCTATTCTTTCGTATGGGGGCGTGTCAATTCCTATGGCTGATTCCACGTGAAACGGTGGAGGTGGTGGAACGCCCCAACGGAGTGCGTTCTACCCTCCCTTCCAACCGCCAATGACGTCGACACCTTAGTGGGCTGCTGCTGGAGCGATACCCGCGTGGTCTGCTGCGTCTGCACGGCAGACACCTGCCAGCCCCAGAAGCGGAACGTACGGATTGCCGTTCCAAAGAACGTCTCCTATGAATGTTGCGACGTTTCAGGGACGATCAGGAGCGCTAGGACAAGAAGGGAACGTGGGTGCTAAAGGAGGAAGGTACGCACCTAACGCAGTACCTCCGCAAGGGCAAGTGACGAGTCCGTACTACGACCAAGGAGTCCGCAATGGCTCGCACGGGTCAGGGAGAGGTGCTCAGCAGGACGTTCCGATTGTTGGTATCCCGACCGAATTACGGAACGCTGTGAAAGTTATCGTCGCGTCCTACTCAGAGACGGCCACGTACGAAATGGCGGCCGCGTTCTGGCGTTCCTTCGAGAAGTGTACGCTTAGTTCAATAACACGCACACAGTGTTACCATTGTAACGAGTTGCTATTCCTCCTGCCCGACTCGCTGGGCAAATCGTATAGTTTATGTGCCTGCTGCGCTGTCTGTCCCTAGTCCGTAGTTGTTACTTGATAGTACTCGAAGACGTCACTGGCCAACAGATGCTCCACTGAGCCCTGTGCCGGAACCTTTGGCTCCTACTTTTTGTATTCCTTCTCTTTAGCTAACCTTACGTAGGCTAATAGAGGTTCTTTCTTCGTTTTCGTTCTTCCTTCTCCGTCCCTGAACAGATAGTCTCCTAGTCAGATCACCCACGTCCTCGCCGAAGCACCGTGACGTCCCGATGCGATCCAGATCACGCTCAATCTCAAAGCCACTTGGGCGTACGCCCACGGCGCCTACCCTACTCATGCGCGGCCACCACAGCGAACTCGGGTACTCTACTTCCCCTGTCTGGTCTCACCGTACGTCGCTTCGCTTGTCCGTACGTTCTCCTCCTTGGATCCTACTTGTCCTCCGTTTCACGGTACTGCAGTGCGTCCACCACAACCCCGTACGTTCTGTCAGCCACACTCTGTGCCTCAACAGCCCTTTCGTTCGTCTTTGTCTTGTCGCTGACTGTACTTCCAGCCCTCGACCGTCTTTCGTCTCTCGTCACACTCCCCAATCTACTTGTCTCGTCCTTTGCAAATTCGGAAGTACCCACCTCCTTGCTCTTCTTGCCGTCTAACGCCACCGGTCGCGACGGCTCGCCGTCTGCGATCTCCGTCCTAACCGTGTGTCCGTTGAATCCGTTGGACTCCTTCCGCCCTTTGGTCGCACCCTTTGCACGTTGAAGCTGGCTACGTGCCAACGTACACTCTTCCGAAAGATCTTCGGTAGACCACGTCATCAACTTGTTACACGCCTTCTTCACTCGTAGAGTCTTCCACGACTCTACCGTCCTGAAAGTATTTGTCGTACTCGGTGATCGACACCCATCGGGTACTTTCGCCAGTTGTCTCTCGACACTCTCGTCCAACCGGTCGAAGTTCGAACTCAAGTACATATTGTCCTGCTTTGTTTCGTCTACGTCGTCGTCGTATTTCCACCAACTTGCCACCCGACTCTCCCCACACATCCGTTCCTGCCACTGTTGTTCGACTTCGTTTTGAGCCTGCCGGAGCTGAGGCTGCTTGCACTGGAGCCGTCGTTGCTCTCGCAAACGTGCCTGCCGGCGTGTCATCAGCGTGTTGCTCTTCATATTCCAACTGTGCTTGTAAATCAGCTGCTGCTCGCTGTAGTAACTCGACTTTTGAATGATAAGTAGTGAGGAAACTTACATGGGCTATAAATTCCTCCGGTTCCTCGTTCTGATCTTCACGTCGCACAACATAATTGTCGTAGCCTGCTGGCTCGATAATTCGGAGAGGTCCAATCCACGCATGAACTAACTTTGTAGCTTTCGTCCCACGAGGTGGTCGATACATCCAGACTCTGTCACCTGTCGAGAACACCCTCGTCATTCTGGCACGTCGGTTGTAGTAACGAGCTTGCCGCGCTTGCTCCTTCTGGCGAGCTTGCTCTGCACACTCATGACTGATCTTCATCGCGTTCAACAGACGTGCATGGTACTCGGACAACTTTCCTGCTTCAGTCACATTGGCGCATCGTAGTAACTCGTTGGGTGATCGTAATCTACGCCCCATCATCAGTTCATTTGGTGACAGTGCAACTGTCGAATGCTTGCCTGAATTGTACGCATATACTGCAAAGTCTAGCCAGGTGTCCCAGTCATTCTGGTCTTCACTATGCATGTAGGTCGCGATGCAGTCCTTCCAAGTCCTATGAAATCTCTCCACAAGACCAATCATCTGAGGGCGATAAGGAACTGGATTAATCTGCTGCGCCTGAAGCATCGTAATCAACTTCTCGATCACAATACCGGTTAGTTCGGGAGCGCCATCAGTGAGTAGCTCGCGGAATAAGTACTATGTTTCTCATAATAAATTTTGCCACATTTTCCGCCGTGTGCTGCTCCACTGCTGCTGCAACCGCGTATCTCGTAACGTACTCAACTGCAGCGATAACATATCGTTGTCCACCTCCTGTCTGTGGAAGAGGTCCTGCGACGTCTAACGCCCAGCGGTCTCCAACTTCTCCACCGCGTAGACTTCGTAATGTCGGTACCACTTCTCTCGGTCGTGCTTTACGGCTTCCACACTCCTGGCACCCGGCCACCCACCGTTTAACCTCTCTTTGTAAGTTTGGCCACCAATAGAGTTGAGCTATGCGTGCATATGTATGTGGGGCTCGTAAATGCCCTGACCATACAGAATCATGACAGTCTTTGAACACTAGAGACCATAGTTCAGGCGGTAGTACGACTCGCCTTCCGTTAGCAGTCTCGATAAGTGCCAACCCGTACTCCGTTTCAATCTTCATGCCCTTATGCATCCCAGCCTCCAGTAGCTTCTGGACTAATCGACTCCGGCCTTGAGCTTCACTGATCATCGTATCCGTGAGCTGATGAGTCGTGACTTCTTCGTGTTGCCGTTCGTCTCCCTTTGCTTGTCCTGCCCTTCGTTCTTGGCGTTGCTCAACTGGTTTAGGTCTCTCACCGATTCTCGACGTTTGGCTCTTCGTTCTCGTGTCATTGTTCGTTACACCTCGATACTCGCTACGTGTATTACTCGGTCGTCCTCGTTCTTGCTGTAGTTTGTGTCCTGTATGTACAGCAGACTCGATAAGTTCTGGTTGCTCACGTAACTCGCCTTCTTCAGTCCAAACACGATTCGGGTGGTTGCCCACTGCGGTTCTTCGTGGCGCCCCGGCTGGCGGTATCACCTTCTCGCCTTCCGTAGCCGTCGTGTTCGTCCTACTCTCGACATCGTCCATGGCCCACGTGACACGTCGTTTTGGCTTCTTCGTGTTTTTGTCGTCCTTGGTCTCGGCCGTCCTGCTCAACTCGTTCTGTCTTTCGTTACTGTCGTCCGGAACTTCGTCACAGTCTATCATCACCACGTTTTGCCCTGCTTCTGTCACCGTCCTTGGCATCTCGTTACCTTCTGTGACGTCGTCCACGCATGAGGTCTTGCCCGCCGTCGTCGCTTCATCGACATTCTTGTCCTCGGCTGTCATCTTTTCGCGTGCGTTGCGCTCTACGTCCTCCTGACGCCTCCTGTTCGCTCTTGTCATCGGTCTTGACGAATTCGGCAGCACTGGCTGTCTGGCGACCCTCAGTGGTGTCACAGGCTTCGCCGCTGCCATCAGTTCTGGCCGTACCTTCGTCGAGTCTTGGCCTGTTGCCTCGGCGTCGTGAGCCATCGCTCGTGTTTCATCCATGTTGATTGCTGGTGCCACGATCACCTCGGCATCGTTCGCGCCTTCTTCAGTTGTGCCTCTAGCGCCGTCGTTATATTGCTTCCTGTTACCGTCCTTACTCCGCATCTTGTGAAAATCAGAGTGCCCTTCACTGAATGTGCGTCGTCGTCCTCGTCTCTTCCGGCCAGCTGCTGCCAACACGTTTACCGGAGCGCGAGATAGCGCATCTGCTACCACGTTGGTATTGCCAGGACGATATTCCACCTCAAAATCGTACTCTTGGAGCGTAAGAGCCCAGCGATGCAATTTTCCGGTTAGGTTTGTGCTTGTCATTAACCACTTGAGTGCTGCATGATCGGTGACGATCACAAATCGTCTTCCATAGAGGTAAGGTCTAAACAACTTGATCGGCCACACTACTGCAAGACACTCCAGTTCTGTGATTCCATAATTTGCTTCCGTGTTGCTATTTACTTTACTTGCAAATGCCACTGGTTTCCAGCCCTTGCCTTGATCTTGCATAAGGCATGCGCCGAGACCAACCTTGCTAGCATCAGTAACCACTCTAAACGGTAGGCGGAAATTCGGGTAGGCCAGCAGCGGCTTGCGAGTTAGAACAACTTTAACATGCTCAAATGCTGCTTCTTGTGCCTCCGTCCACTCCCATTCAGCATCTTTTCGCAGAAGCTTGGTCATTGAAGCCATCAATGCGCCAAATCCTTCCACAAATCGTCGATAATAACCAGCATGATGTACGAAACGTTTTACTTCCACAGCATCAGTAGGTCGTGGAAATTCCCGTACCGCAGTCACCAACCTATCAAGTGGTCGAACGCCTTTAGAACTGAGTTCGTGTCCAAGATACTCCATACTTTCAGTCGCGAATCGGCATTTCTTTAGTCGTAGTGTAAGACCAGCGGCTGCCAAACGCTCCAATACACAAGCGACTTCCAACACATGCCGTTCGATCCCACCGCGAGTGTAGATTACGATGTCATCCAGGTAGACTAAGCAGGTTAGCCACGTCAGACCTCGTAGAACACTATTCATCATTCTCTGGAACGTTGATGGAGCATTTGTAAGCCCAAAAGGCATTCTAACAAACTGATATAGGCCTTGTTTTGTCGTAAAAGCAGTCTTCTCTTTGTCTTTAGCTGCCACTCGAATTTGCCAGTACCCGGATCTTAAATCTAGAGTTGTAAATAAGACTGCTCCACCCAATGCTTCCAAGGTTTCATCAATTCTTGGTAAGGGGTAGACATCCTTCCTCGTTATCTTGTTCAGAGCTCGATAGTCCACACAAAAGCGAATCTCGCCGTCTTTCTTTCTTACCAACACTACAGGAAACCCCCAAGCGCCGTTGCCTTCTTCAATTACGCCTGCACCCAACATCTTCTTGACATTCGTCTCGACCACAGTGTCCTCCATTTGTGCAAGTCGTCTGCGTTTTAACAGAATAGGGGCCTCGTCGCCCGTCTCTATTTGATGCTCCACGTCGAGTGTAGTAGCAGGTGGGCAGTCACCTTTGTCCGCTACTTGGTTCCTATATACCCTCAACAAACGCTTCATGAGCTCTCGTCCACCTTCGTCTTCGATGCCGATTTGTAGCTCGTCCTCGTTTTCCAACGGAGTCTCACCATCTCCTAATTCACGCAACCATCCCAGCAATTGATCGCGTTGTAAGACGCCATTCATTTCGAGGATCTCCACATTTTCCTCGATTGGAATCCACGTCCCTATTTTTTTCTTTGAAGGAAGCTTGACCCTACCACCACTTGCATTAATGGCGGGTACCACCGCCTTTCCGTCTCGAACTTCCGTCACTGTCGTAGCCAACAAGATGGATCCCAGACGAACTGTGGGTATGAAGATGCCTTTCTCCCCATCCTCGCCTGTCACCGCGATCTCTATGGGCATTACTGTACCTCCACGTACTTGGGTTTTTCGCGCCATGCGCACTGCCGCAACCTTCACACCTTTTGCAGCGTCACTAGTCTTGAACGGTATTACTACCGAACGTCCTTCTTCCTCATATTTCAGCTCATTGGTTCGAAAATCCATAACAGCGCCGTGATCGTTCATGAAGTCCACACCAACTAGGAATTCGTTATAGCAACCCTTGACTATGCATGCATCCACGCACACGGTGTCGCCAAACACGTTCTCCAACTGGAAACGCCATACTCCTAGAGCGTCTAGTAGGAATCCTCCTATTCCTTCGACATAATCCACTGGTGCTGAGCACGACACTCTGTCTCCGTACTTCACCCAACTCGTGCCAGCGATTGTGAACCTGGCTCCACTGTCAAGCTTCACGTACTTTGTTACACCGTCGACCTTCATTCGTGCTGTAGGTAGTCCGTCGTTAGCTTCCACGTCAGATACCTTGCTTTCGGCTCCTTCGGTACTGCATCGTTGTACGAGGCTAACTCGTGCTCGTCCGCCTCTACCTGGTTCACCCTCTTCATTCCGTCCTTGTCGACGTTCCTCCAGCTGTTGAACTGCGTCTTCGACTTGTCGTTGGCGGTCTTGCTGTAGTTCAACTTTATTGGCTTGTTGACGTTTGCTCTCTTGGTCGGCGGCATGTCGCTTCTCCAACGCACGCTTCACTTGCTGCCGTTTCTTCTGATTACAGGCCAATTTCCTGGCCACCCGCACCCTGGCGATGTCTTTGCTCACCTTATCGTCATCACCCGTGCCATACTCCAGACTCTCAGGTGTCAGATTGGTCTCTACGCCGACGCCTTCCTCAGATCCACGCGCATTGTTGTCGGAGCCAACTTTCTCGACGCCGTCTTTCGGTCGTGTAGCGTCCAAACATGCATATCGCATGGCCGTCATCGCTGGACGTACTGTTGCTACATAGCAAGCTGCCCGCTCACTGTCTTTCCCGGCTGCCTCGGTAGCCATACACTGCCACATTTCCTCCAGCGAGTCCGCGCCACTTGTTGCCATCGGCTTCGTTACTTCTTGCACGTCCTTTCCGTTAGTGGCGTCTCCCGATCTTTGGTCTTCCTTTAACTTCCGGTTCTGCTGTCGAACTTCACACTCGGTCGACCATCCTTGCTGTATCCCGTTTTGCTTCATCTCCGCTGACTCCGTTGTCACGTTGGTGTTTATCGTCATTCCTTGAGCTCTTGTCCCGCTACCTTGGACATCTGCACTCATCATCAGCCGGGGATCGTTATTCTCCGGTCGCCGTAACCCCTCTACTGCGCCGGTTCCGCGTTTCCCGCCACCTTGTTGTCGGTCTTACGCTTCCGCAGATTCTCCTCGTTCTTGGCCTTAGCTTCGGCATCGGTACATTCCTTGGCCATATGACCGTACTGATTACATGCGTAGCATTTGGGTCCCGTTGGGCACTGTGCTGCCCAGTGTCCATTCTTGCCACACTTCCAGCATGCTTGTGAATTCTGCGGTACTCTTGGCTTCCCTGGTGGCTGTGTACTACCACTTCGTTGCTCTTGTCGAGGTACTGCTGCTTGTCGTACAGCGGCTTTCTGTTTCTTGCGCTGCGGTTTCACATCTGACTCGTCGCTGCTCGATGTCGGCGGTTCAACTCTCGTCTTCTGCGCCTTCGCTGGCTTCTTGGTTTCTTTCCGTGAGTTTCTGGCTGCATTCTCGGCAGAGCGTTTCCGGCTGGCTTTCTTGGATTCATACCAGAACTTGCCGTTCCATATGCGACCCGATGGCACATCCCACGTGCTTGAATACTCGTTCCATACGCCTTGTGGGTTCGTAAAGAGGGCTAATGTGCCATGCTCTCCCTCCGCAGCTGTCATCCCACCATTATTCGCGACTTGCAACTCTGCTGGCAATCCTGTCCCGCCAATCCCCGGAATCACTAACGTTTGGCCGGTTGTGCCACCAACTGGTACCAGATAAGGACTTGGGGCTATGGCCCACGGCTGTCCTATGTTCAGCATGCCCTGCGCCACATTATCCATGGGATCGTCGATTTCATTGGCTTTATCTACAGCCTCTTCCAAGGTTGCAGGCTTCGGTCGCTGTTTCACCAATTTCTTCGTAGTCTTATCCAGGTTTCGGTAAAACTGCGCCAATAGAATGCGTTCACTGACTTTATTACGACCAATCACATCTCGCAATGCTGCCGCGAAATCAGAGTACGTTTCTCCAGGCATCATCCTGCGCATGTTCACACGCCATTCTGCTGCCGATTTATCCAGTCTCTCCCCATAACGTCGTAGAAGTGCTTTCTTTAAGTAGGCCCATGTCCGGTCACGTGATGGCAATCGTCGATCCATATTCACCCACCAGCGTGCGGCATTGTCCATAAGCTTGTTTCCCAAGATAAAATACAACGCATGGTCTGACCATTTCCGACGTCCAGACTCAGCGGCTCCCTTCAAGGCTAAGTCCACCCTGTCTATCCACGTCGAGACAGAGACCTTTGGCGAGGGAGTGAAGGTCGGTAACTCTAGGTCCTTCACGCTCCTGCGACTGGATTGTCTTTCACAGTCTTCATGTCGTTCCCGTTGGACTTGACGCCTCCGTCGTTCTCCTCGTACATGTCGCCCATGCCTTCCGTGTCGCCGTCGGCTTTCCTGACGCCCTCGTTGCTCATCAGACTCGGCTGACCCATCACTGGAGGCGCTCGGACTTTCACTTGGTTTGCTACTGTCGTCTCCGCTACTGCCGTCGCCATCTGGATTCACCCCGCTGTAGTCGACTCCACTATCGTTGTCATTAGGAGTACTCCAGTCCGACGAACCGCTGTCTCCACTATCACCATTGTGACGCGCTTCACCAGCACGTGATCCACTGTGTCGCAATACCCGGCGACCAGCTTGGAACCTCTGGGTTCTCGAAGGAGCAGGCTGCAGCTTCGCGACCACGGTCGTCAACGTCTGTATGGCGGACGTCATCGCTGTCATGTCCACGTGGTTGCTTGGTGCAGTGCCGCTACTCACGGCCGTACTGGCCATTAATTCCGCACCATGTTGGTCCTCATCATTGCTTTGTTCATCGGGCTCTCCATCCTCACTGGGCACACGACGCACTCTCTGTACACGGCGACGATACTTCCCACGTGCACGCCCATGTTGTCCTTCCTTGTCAGCTCCACGGACTTCCTTGGTTGACGCTTGTAGCTCGGCTACGGCCCTCGTCAGTCGCTGCATTGTGGCTGCCATACCCATCGTATCCTTACTTTGCGTTCCTGCTGCATCTTCGCCACTCGCTTCCGCTTCGCGGCTCCGCGTGCAGTCCTTCTCATCGGTGGCTATGACCCGTCCGAGTTCCTTGACATCCTTATTCTTCGAGGTCGATCGCTGCTGATTCGCCGACGCTCTCCGTTTGATCTTCACCGGCTTCGATTCTGCCTGATCCACCGCTTGCCCGGCTGCTTGCCGCTTGTCCTCTCTCTTTCGTGTGTTCACCGGAACGGCCACTTTCCGTACGCCTTGGCTTCTCGTCACTGGACGCCCAGACTCGGAGTCCGTGCTGCTGAGTGAACTTTCTTCGCCGGCCTTCCTGACTCGCCGCGCCTTCTGCGCTTTCTTACTTAGAGTAGTGACTGTCGCAGCAGTAACCATTTTCGTACCCCGTAACCTTCGTAACCCGGCGTAACCACTAGCCCGTTTGCTTTCCTGTCTTTCTGAACTCTCTTCGTTGCTCTGAGATAGCCCCTGTATGACCACCATGTAGCGAGTTGCTATTCCTCCTGCCCGACTCGCTGGGCAAATCGTATAGTTTATGTGCCTGCTGCGCTGTCTGTCCCTAGTCCGTAGTTGTTACTTGATAGTACTCGAAGACGTCACTGGCCAACAGATGCTCCACTGAGCCCTGTGCCGGAACCTTTGGCTCCTACTTTTTGTATTCCTTCTCCTTAGCTAACCTTACGTAAGCTAATAGAGGTTCGTTCTTCGTTTTCGTTCTTCCTTCTTCGTCCCTGAACAGATAGTCTCCAGTCAGATCACCCACGTCCTCGCCGAAGCACCGTGACGTCCCGATGCGATCCAGATCACGCTCAATCTCAAAGCCACTTGGGCGTACGCCTACGGCGCCTACCCTACTCGTGCGCGGCCACCACAGCAAACTCGGGTACTCTACTTCCCCTGTCTGGTCTCACCGTACGTCGCTTCGCTTGTCCGTACGTTCTCCTCCTTGGATCCTACTTGTCCTCCGTTTCACGGTACTGCAGTGCGTCCACCACAACCCCGTACGTTCTGTCAGCCACACTCTGTGCCTCAACAGCGCTTTCGTTCGTCTTTGTCTTGTCGCTGACTGTACTTCCAGCCCTCGACCGTCTTTCGTCTCTCGTCACACACCCCAATCTACTTGTCTCGTCCTTTGCAAATTCGGAAGTACCCACCTCCTTGCTCTTCTTGCCGTCTAACGCCACCGGTCGCGACGGCTCGCCGTCTGCGATCTCCGTCCTAACCGTGTGTCCGCTGAATCCGTTGGACTCCTTCCGCCCTTTGGTCGCACCCTTTGCACGTTGAAGTTGGCTACGTGCCAACGTACACTCTTCCGAAAGATCTTCGGTAGACCACGTCATCAACTTGTTACACCATGTCGAAACTGAAAAATCCACTACAAAAATTCCGCCCGGAACTGCGTTTTCGTGTTCAAGCTCTTTGGTTGTTTGTTCTAACTGTAGGCGTTATCAGTACGTACCAGTCGACGAGAGCGCTCGAGACAGTGCATTACCAAATAGGATATAAAGGCAGACCTTTGCATCATTTTTGGGTACACCAAATCGCCCTATTTCTAAATTTGGGTCCCTAAGCCCGAGCTCCATACGTTGCGTTGCACGGATACCTACAGGCTCGGTGAAATGGTGCGCGTGGCGGTGGTGGGCTGCGCCCACGGAATGCTGGATGACATTTATGCGACCGTCAACTTTGTCAATGAGATGGACCCGGAGAACCCCGTAGAGCTGCTGCTATGCTGCGGTGATTTCGAGTGCATGCGCAACATGCGGGACCTGGAGACGCTGGCGTGTCCGCCCAAGTACCGTGCGCTGCACGCCTTCCATCGCTATTATAAACAGGAGAAGACAGCTCCAGTGCTCACCGTATTTGTTGGTGGTAACCATGAAGCCTCGGGGTACCTGAAGGAGCTGCACTACGGCGGATGGGTGGCCCCGAACATGTTTTATCTTGGGGCAGCAGGAGTCATCAACGTGGCCGAACTACGTATCGCTGGACTGTCGGGTATTTACAAGCAACAGCACTACACAGCAGGTCGCTTCGAATCCATGCCATTTGACAACAATACTATGCGTAGTGTGTACCACGTCCGCGAGCTTGAGGTTTTCCAGCTCTCACACGTGCAGCAGGTGGACAAGACGCCACTGGGCGTGTTCCTTTCGCACGACTGGCCAAGGGGGATTGAGCAGTACGGTAATGTGTTGCAATTGCTGCGCCGCAAGCCCTTCTTTGAGCAGGAGGTCAGAACCAACACACTGGGCAGTCCTGCCGGCGAGTTCCTGATGTATCAGCTGCGCCCGCAATACTGGTTTGCTGCACACTTGCATGTCAAGTTTGCTGCCATCGTCGTGCACCCTGACCAAACGACTGATGCAACGATTAATGAAGCTGTTGAAACAGAGAAGACACAAACGAATAGTGGACAGGCTGCCGCCGCCAAGCCGTCACCTAAGCAAGCAACTACCAAGTTCTTGGCGCTTGATAAGTGCCTTCCTCGTCGAGACTTCATGCAAATTCTGGATTTACCTTCTTCAGGAACTTCACCAAATACTACGGAAGCGCAGAAGAACGGATCAGGCCTATCGATGGGCGAAACAAAACTAGATGCAGCCCAATCCGACGATGCTGCCAAGACACAAGTGACTGGGCAAAACATTAAACGCTCTTTGCCACTTAAAATCAAGTTTGATCTTGAGTGGCTTGCTATCTTACGCGCGACGCACCACCTTGCTTCGTCCAGCAAGTTTGCACCACGCGTACCTCAGGAGGAAATGAAAATCGAAGACAAGGACATTGCATGGGTAAAGCAGCGTTTGCAGGAGTTTGTTTCGGAGAAGAAGCTTGACAAGATAGATGGCGAGTGGATCACGGACTTTGTGAAGACCGCACCAGGCCACGGTGAAGAGGAAGGACCCGTGTTGGTGACGGGGAATCCTCAAACTGATCTTCTTCTGGAGCTGTTGAAGCTTCCGCACGTTGTGACCGCACCGTTTGTTAGTGGGGGGGATGCGAGTGACCCCAACGAGATCGACTTAGATGACGACGACGGCGATGCAAAGCCGATGGATACCGATGTCACAGCGAGCAGTGAGCTAAATATCAGCCCAGAAGCTACAGAGTCAACAGCACCACCTGCGGATCCGTGCGAAATCGACCTTGACCTTTAACACAAATACTGTAGTCCTGGTCTACTGCAACAGACCCGGACCATTCAATCTATTTTAGCAATTTGGTCCGAACAAATAGCACTAATTTGAACTAATTTCCAAAGCTGGAGGCATGAAGACTTGGGTGCGCGAGGCGTCGAAGCGGGCTCGGCAGCCACACTTCGGGCCTACACTAGAATATGGGGTGAATAAGGCACTGCTGTAAGTGTGCTACGCTCTTTATGCTCTCAGTCATCTACGGTTGTTACTCATAATGCACGCGGTCGTCTTGCAGTGATTCTGCCTTGCAGTCGGCATTTGTGCAGCTGGACTGCGATGACGAGACTCAAGCGTTCCTCGATGTATGTGGACTGGTTCTCGAATTACGCAACAACATGGATAGTAATTAGTCACGGCCAACGCCTATGTGCTGGAAACAGACTTGCACGGGTGGAAGTGTGTGGCAGTCCCTTGGCTCCACCGTTCTCGGGCTCTTCTACTCCCTGACCGACGCGAACGGAATTCTTGGGCGTAAGTGCCCTAGTCGGCGCCAATGATGTTTCATTGCAGCACCGCAGTGGACGAATTCCGGCTCACGACTTTCCTCTTGCTTTTGTTTGCATAGGTGGCCAGATGTTCGTGCTTTCACAGGCTCAAGTGCAGAGGCTCCTTCACCCCTTGGGTGGAGGCGGCGGCTCTCTGCTTGATATTGGAGCTGGTGACGGAAATGTGACCGCGTCGCTGGCCTCGCTCGTGACCCAAGTGACCACTACAGAGGCTTCTGCGCCCATGGTGGCCACCCTGAACGCGCGAGGTTACAACAGCGTGCAAACCTGCGACTTGCAGCACGAATTCGTGCAGTCGCGGAAGCCTTACAATATTATCAGGTGCGTTGTACAGTAGCGTCTTGACAGCCTCTTTGATGTGCTCCCTTTTTCTTGACAGTTCAATGCTGCGATGTGGTTAATTCGTCACCATATTATTTTGACGCATTGAAATTGTTGTGTTGTGCGTGTCAAGCATGCTAAACGTGCTGGACCGCGCTGATAAGCCGCTCACGATGCTTCGCGAGATACGGGAGATGCTGGACCCGCAAAACGGTCTCTTCCTGCTGGCTGTGGTGCTGCCGTTTTCGGCTTTTGTTGAGCAGGGAACGCAACGTGTGGCGCCAACCGAAATGCTGCCGATGCGAGGCGGCCTCTGTGCCGAGGGCGCATCCTTTGAAATTGCGGCCAGTTTGCTGCTACGGAACGTGCTGCTTCCAGCAGGTTTCAAGCTTCGGCACTTTTGTCGTGTGCCCTATCTGTGTCGTGGGGATATGCAGCAGCCTTACTATGTGCTGTCGGACGCGATCTTCGTGCTGGAGGTGGGCGCTAAAGAGTCAAGCTGAAGTGATTATCTGCTGATAATACAGAGCAATCCGCCTGCTTTTCAGTAAACCGAGCGAGCAAACGCCGACAACACTCCACAAACGCCAGAGAGACGACAGCTTTATCGAGCCACTCTGACGGTGCTGAAATTATAGCGCTGCGCCGTGGCTTGGAGAAGCCGAGCTGAACGGCGAACTGGCCTTGGCTTCGGGGGCGTAACTACAATAAGAAAACCGTACGCGTGCACAAAATTTAGCTGGCAATAGTTTGAGGTGCCCTAGTGTTGCATGTAACAGATACATGTAACAGATATTAAATCTTGACTTCTGCCAAAACGAGACATGCCTAGGATAGCGGCGATCTTTTCGGCGACTTCTTGACCACCTCGAAGTTACATGAAGTGGCAGAAAAGTTAATTCTCATGTGCCGACTAAGTGCGAGCACTATCGCACTTAGAGGGGCAGAATTTGATTCTGGTATTCCAAGTATTCAGAACAGGCTTCTCTCTCCACAATTCAATTTGCGCTGAAGCGGAGACTTCGTAAGTGCAAGAGAAGCGACTCAAATCGAACTGGGCCGTAGACGACGTACACAATGGCGCCCCTAGCTGAAGCATCCGCGCCTACAACGCCCGGTCTCGAGTTGGCCTCCTTGCTCAAGCAGAAAACCGTAGAGGAGCCACAGGAGCCGCAGTGTGAGGCTGAATGCGAAGAAGACAACAACGCAGAGATCACAAGTACCACAACAGACGGCCCCGAGCCCATCACACAGCTAAAGACCGAGGCCGATGAGGCCCAGCAGCCTTCCAAGAAGCGTGTGCGCTTCGACCTTGCGGACGTCGTAGAGTTCGAGCCCACCATGTGGACAGCCACAGTCTCCTCCGAAGGCGTGCCGGTGAGTTCAGTAACGTTGTCAATCGAACAGTTATGACGAGGGTCTGACAGATATGTTTGTAATCGTTATTAATAATACTGCAGCTTGGCATGTCTGTGGATGTGCGTCGCCGTACCAAGCGCCCACTGGACACATACGAGGACGAGCGCGTCTCATATCGTGTAGACCGTCAAGACTATATGGAGCTAGGCTACCTCGAGCCTGAAGAGAGGCTGGACATCCTTGAAAACGCCGGTCACTCCATCTCAATTATTAGCCACGTTGAGCGTGAAACTCTCCGTATTAACCGTGAACGATGGGAATCTAACGAGTACGACCTCATGTACCAGTATGGACTGGGAGAGGTACCATTGATGGAAGACGGTGACATGGAGATGTTGCTGCATGAAGAAGAAATCGACGATATTATGCACGTAGACGTTTGCAGCGAGGACGATTTCTTTTTTGGATGCGGCGGCCGGAATATGGTAGTGGACTCGGAGGTCCGTTTCGCTATGGAGGATTTAGACGCGTACGACGCCATCAACACCTGTACTTACGACGACGTGAGCATTGATTACGCCGCGGACTGCATCCTGGGCGACGATGAGAGCTCGGATGAGAACAATGAGCTGCCGTATGCTGTTGACTCGTTCGACTCTCCTCTTAGCTGCGACCTGCTTGAGATGGGCACGTCGCCTTGCGACGTCTCAGAGTCCACAAACTGCATTCTTGCTGCTACCACATCTACAAGTTGCGCTCAGTCCGTTAGCGTCAACACAACCAGCACAAGCAATCCAACAGAGGTCAGCCCAGTGGAGGCCGCTCCTGTTGTTGCCATGTAAAGTCGTCAAGTTAGGCACCGTGCGTGTATTTACCACTGATGTGTTATACATGTAAACTGTATGTGCACGCTGCGCCTTCCAAGTCCCCCCTGATCGAGTGAAGTAGTCAAGCATCCCATCGGTATTTAGTAAGCAGGGGGAGGGGGGCGCTTTTCCCTTGTATTTTGCCCCCTTTGGATTGTTGATAGCAGATACATGTAGTTTTAATAGGATAGCCCTTCTCGTATTATTATTGCTTTGAAGATGAAAGTCCCAGCGAACTGAAAAGCCCATGCTTTCCCTCCACCTCCGTTTATTCCCACTGTACTACTGTAGTACTAGTTCAGTAGTACTACACCTTGTACTACAGTTCTTAGTAGTATTTTTGGTAATACTACAGGCAAAATAGTACTACAGTTTTTAAAGCTATAAATTCATTTCGTACTTAGTTTAGCAGAAACGGTACAAACAAAATTGACGCCTTCGAGCCACAGACTTAAAAAAGAAGCTACGCACATTTTTGGCGGTAGCTCCCTTCGTCAACATGGTGCTCTCCTCCGTCGCGCGTGTGTCCACGCGCTCGCTGCGATGCTCGCACGCTCTGGCAACGCGGTCGCTGTCGACTTCGGCGCCGTTCGATCCTCAGGTTCCGCACTATGATGTGGTGGTCGTGGGGGCCGGTCTTGTGGGCTCCGCTTTGGCCTGTCAGCTCAAGAGCAACCCTGTGTTCAAGGGCAAGAACGTTGCGGTCATTGAGCCCTCTGCTCCTCCCGTTGCGCCATCGGTAGAGAAAGATTCGCCCGACCTCCGTGTATTTACCATCACTCCTGCTAGTCAGAAGCTCCTGGAGAGCACAGGAGCATGGAATTTTATCGCGGACGGCCACACTGCCGTATTCAAGGACATGCAGGCTTGGGACGCTATGGGTGACGGCCACATCCGCTTCGACGCGAAGAAAATGGACAAGGAAGTGCTTGGTCACGTGGTGGAGCACCGTGTGCTTGTGCGCGCACTACACGACCGAATGAACCAACTAGCCGCCGACTCGGGCGACAGCGCCCCGCTTAAACTCTATTGCCCTGCCAAGGTCAAGCACTTCCAGCGCCCCACGGCTGTGTCTAGTATCTCAGAAATTGGTCTTGAGGACGGTCAGCGCATGAAGGCGGACCTTGTGGTGGCTGCTGACGGCGGAAACTCCATCATCCGCACGCTCTCGGCTCTCGGCACTTGGGGCTGGGACTACGACCAACAAGCTGTCGTGGCTACCGTCAAGACCGACCGTGTGAACGAGACGGCTTGGCAGCGATTCTACCCTACGGGTCCTGTGGCTCTGTTGCCAATGCGCGACGGATACTCGTCGGTGGTGTGGTCGTGCACTGCCGACATGGCCAAGGAGCTCACGGCGCTCAGTCCCGACAAGTTCGTGGCGCGTCTTAACGATGCGTACTCCGCCCCACCAATGATCCCCGTGCCGCCTGAGTTCCCGGGCATCCCGGTGCTCTCGGACCTGGTCAAGGGTGTGCACCACGCGGCCAACACCATCATGTCGGCTGCGGCTATGACCGAGCCGTTCGTCGCCCCACCCAAGGCTGTAGCCACGGTTGGCCACCGCTTCGCCTTCCCGCTCAAGTTGAAACACGCCACCAAGTACATCAAGCCTGGTGTTGCCCTAGTGGGCGACTCTGCCCACACGATCCACCCGCTTGCTGGTCAGGGACTGAACCTTGGTCTAGGTGACGTGACTGCTCTAAGCAACCTCCTTGTCGAGGGTGTTAAGAGCGGGGAGAACCTCTCGAGCGAGTATTTCCTGCAGCAGTACGAAGACGAGCGTATGAAGGCCAACATCACCATGCAGCTGGCTATGGATGGCTTCAAGCGGATGTTCGGCCCCGCCCCCGACGCGGTATCTGTGGCACGTAATGTGGGCATGGGCACGCTCAACGCCGTGGAACCGCTCAAGAACCAGATCATGAAGTACGCGATGGGGTTGTGATGGGGTTGTAGATGTGTCTTTAGTAGACAAGCAATAGATGGCGAGTTGGCTGTCGTATCAACTGAGAACATAGGATCAACTTCTATTACGTCTTGCTCATCGTCTATTCCTCTTTGAGTTGTTTGTCTTGCGTAGAAAACAAGTGCCGATTTACTTCAAAGATGGAGATATCGCCGATGCCTGGAGTGGCCTCTGTGTCATCTTCAAAGCATGTTGTCCCTTCAGGTAGGGGTACTGTGTGCGTGTCAAGGATAGTGGCGTAAGAGCCGAGTCCTGGAGTGGACAGTAGGTTGACAGCCTTGTACATCACCAGTGAGAACAGATAAGTCACGACGATCATCGCCGGTACCGCCACTGCCCAGTGTTTGGAAGGAAAGTAGGTGAATCCGTAAACCTCCAGCGTCGCCTCGGGCACGTACGCCCACACCAAGAACAGAACTGGTTCAACGAGGTTAGATAAGCTTATATACCCTGAGACTTTGAGCTTAACCGTACCGTAAAAGAGGGCAGAAGCCAACCAGCCTCCAAACCCGAACAGCTCCATCCGCATGGCGTGCAATCGCTGCATCTCCTTAAACGAAACTTGAGTTGAAGCCGGTGGTATTACCTCAGTCTTCACTGCGTCATGATTCTCATCGCATGCATTGAAGCGTTGCGGTGAGCGTGTAGCAGCTGAAGCACTCGCCACCTTCTTACGGACCATCACTGCAGTGGTGTGAAACGCAGAAAAAAACGTTAATGCTCAAAAGTCTATTCGATTGAAGAGGTGATCTTAATAACAGACACCTGCACAACCTGATACAAGCATTCACACTTGACGTGGAAGCAACTCAGTGCCGTCGTTGTCGTTGCCACGCGGGACCGAGTTGCCCAGTGCACGCTTAACCTGTTCGGTGCGCGACACTGTGCGCCGTAGCTTGCGGAAGAATCCAACCGGAGGGGCGTTAGACAGCGGATACACATCGTCCGTATCAATATTCTTGGCCAGACGGAAGCAACGAGCGCAATGTTCCTCCTCCAACTCACGCCGTGTGATGATTCCGCGCACGTTATTGTGACGATTCACTACAACAAGATGACGCAGACCAGCGCTGCGAAAGAGACGATAAGCACGGACAAACGGCGCCTCCTCTTGAATCAGATAGGGCGTCTGGTTCATGTATGGCGTTAGATCCACCCACATGCCTCGGTCTTCTTCTGACAGCGTGTAAAGTTCATCTCCCGCAATGCGACCAGCGTGGACAGCAGCTCGAAAATCCTGGTGCATGGGACTTGGAATCGGATATCGAGGGTAATGTGCCTCCATGTCGTGATACGACAGACAGTAGTCGCTAGCAAAAGGCGATTCCAGTAGTTTATCATCTACGCGAGGCGTCACATTTGATTCCAGGTCTCTTGGGCGACGACGACGCAGACCACCCGTCGGTGTCACGTCTGGCTGGGAGGAAGCAGGATGCGGTTGGCGATGGAACGGCTTGGGCTTTTCAATGCTAAAGTCGCTATGGCTCAGCAGCACATTCAGCTGTTTCCGCAGTATAACGCCTGCGAAAAAGCGACTACCGAAGGTTGGATCCTCCACGATGACAGGGAAGGCGTTGTGTTTCGTACTCACAAGCAGATCGAAGATAACACCGGCTCGCTCAACCGTACGCAGCGTCTTCGGATTCGCAGTCATAATGTGCTTAACACGCAAGAAGGCGCCGCGAAGTGGTGGATTCCAGTCCAGGAACGGCACGTGACGCAGATGAATGTGGATATCGTAGATTCCTTCGTTGAAATAGTTGCCCACCCAGCGAGCAAAGAACGACGTGAGGATCAGCGGCAGACCAAACTCGATGTTGCCAGTACACTCGAGGATGATGACAGTGAGCGAGATGGTCATACGAGTCACGCCACCGAGCATCGCCAGGCTCCCCACAAGTCCGTAGGTTCGTGGATCTACAGCTTTCAGTTGTTGTAGACTTGTAAAGTAATTAATTACACGAGTCCAGAGGCGCCCATAAGCTGCACCGATCAGCAGTGCCGGTACGAACAACCCGCTTGGGATCTTGAGACCATAAGTGATACACGCCAGTAGCAGCATCATAAACCAGAAGACCACGAGGTTTCGAACATCAAAAGAGTCCGGCGGCGCGTGGAACAGATGCTTGATGGCTGTTTCTCCTCCTGTCAACATGAGGGACGCCAGGTCATTGTATTGACCCTCAGGACAATAAAAGCGCAGCAGTTCTTTCTTGTATGGGTACTGCACAGTCTCGTCGGCTTGGAAGCACTCAGCACCGTCCATCGAGACACTCGCACAGCTCTCACAAATGCAAGCCGAGCCGTTCTTTTTCAGCATTTCCATCCCAAAAACGAAGGCTTTGTTAGGCGCTTCTGCGGCTCCTGCTGTGTCTGCAAGGTGAACGACATCTTCACGCGCTTGGGGCAAGTTGTGGCATTTACCGAGCAAGAAAGGCGTCGAGAACAGCAGCGAAGAGATCAAAACTGACAGCAATAGAGCCTCCACCCAGGCCACACCTCGCGTACGAACCCACCGAGAGCGTATCCTCGCTAAACGGGTGTTAAACCCATTGAAGAATGCTCCTTGCAATCCGCCACCAATACCCATGAGAATGAACAGAGGCACCTCCCATATCTGATACGTACTGGAGGTAAATGGTCCGAAGCTAAAGCTTCCCGTATGGCTTCCAAGTGTACCCCAAGACAAGTTATCGTTCATTCCGGATAGGAAAAATGCCAGCGTGAAAGTTGCCGACATGGCACAAAACAGCGTTCTCCACGTGAGTGTCTGGTTCCAGAACGAAGCGCCTTCTTCTAGCACGAACAATACTCCACCGATAGGCGCTCCGAAAGCTGACGCCACACCAGCCGCAGCACCACAAGCAACAAAATCGCGCTTCTCTCTATCATTTCGGAAGCCTGCGAAATAGGAAAAACTATAGAGCGCGTAACACTTAACATGGGATGGCACCGAGAAGATTTACGGACGCGGCTTACCTTGTGTCGTAACCGAGAGTCGACGATTTGCCCTGTGAGAGACCAGCAGCAACAATCGCACCACTAATACAGCACTATGAAGTTAGAGTGTCATTCCTCCAACTATTTTACTCTTGAAGATAGCTAGACGCACCTGTGAATCATAGGGCCTTCTTTTCCGACAGGGAGGCCGCCAGCAACGGAGCACACAGTGCCGATAACTTTGCAAAAGAATGTTCGCAGACGCAACATGCGTGGAATTTTCATGCCGTTAAGTGTCGTCTTGACCTCCGAGATACCTGAAAGCAACAGGTTACTGTAATGGGTATCCGTCACTTACACAACTGAGAAACACCAAGAATGGACATACCTGACCCAGCAGCTACCGGTTCTCCAAACGACGTGACAGTCGCAGCAATTGCTACAAGTGCGAGGTTGAATGCCACGATGGTCCAGAACGTGGTGCCGAAGAGCACGTGCTTGGCCAGCTCGTGGTGAATGGTATACTCGAGTAGGTGCTGCTTCAGTGACATTAGCAGCGTGGTGAAGTAAAGCATGAATACCGCCACTAGCGCCGTAATGACACCGGTGACGAGTGTGAGGAACCAACGCGCGTAGATGAGTCGGTTCTTCTCCTGACCATTGCGGTACTTGTAGCCCATGCCCGATTTATTCACCACACTCTCGAACAGGTCTGCGTCAAGGATTTTTTCACAAGGTTAGTCCCGCAGTTTTGTACATGTACAATTCTCTGTATCGTGGCATTGTTGGGCATCGCACCATAGTCTAGACTCTCGAGGTCGCCGCATTTCCACAGCATCTCTCTCTGCCTCCGCTTGTATCACTGTCTCTCGCCCGACGTTACAGCAAGCTAGGCGGTGATATAATACAAGAGGAGTATGCGGTGAAGTGCAGGGGCTTCGTTGCTAGTGGCCGGAGGCAACGAGTGACGAGAAGGAGTGACAGTAAGCGGGGTTGCATGCAGGGAAATCTACCTGTACACACGGTGTCGCCATTGGGCGGAACATCCGTCTGAGAATTGAAGATATCAGACAGGTTTTGGCCAATCATAGACAGCTTTGAATAGTCTGGGATCCAGGTTTTTGCCAGGGTGGAATTGAGCTTTTTTGTACCGGTACCTTAGCAGTAGTCGCATAGATGCTGCAAAGTAGTGGTGCTAAAGTTGCCAGGCTATCGGTATTAAATCGGTGAATACCGATTCGCTGCGAAAGTCCACTTCCCCTGAAATTGATAATGGCTATGAGCTCTAAAACCTCGGCTCCTCAAAAGCTCGTCCGAGGCTTGCGTGCTATTAATACTACTCGTTGGAAGATTTGAAAACACTCCAAAATCATCCGTTTTAATGGATACACGAGAAAATCATCCGTTTTACCCTAGATTATAATCCGTAACCAGGACAGATGCTGAAAGATTCAGAGCAAGTTTCATCGTCCTCAGAGCAACTTTGTTCAGCTGGTTTGGCCAAGTTTGTAGTGATCACCCTGAAACTCGAGCTCTTCTTCACAGAATTCATGTTATCCTTGCTTCTGGTTCATGCTAAATAATTCACGTTTTCTGTGGCGTACGAAAATCTGGTCCGTACAGATGCTCCAGGTAGAGCGTTCTTCTCGCTGGGCAGAGCACTTGGAAGTCGGCAAATAGACAGCTCAACAGCGGGAACACGTAGTAACGCGGAATGAGAAGATGTTTGGCGTACCGATCGATCTGTAGACACTTTGAACACGCATGCCAGCAACTTGACGGGTGAGTGCCTAGCATTTCGACACCATTGGCTTCTGAGTCGGTGAACACAAACACATCCACATAGAACCCGTAGGCTTTGTCCACAAGTCGAGCGGGGATATTCCAGTCACGGTCTCGTGCTACATGGATGTTGCTGTCGTACACTTGGAGTTCATAACCCTCTGGAACGGCCCACCGACTATTTCGAAGCAGCTCGTAGCCTTCCAGGGTCATGCCAAAATCGGCGTCATCGTCCCAAGGAATGACAGATTGAGCACGAAACTGCCCCAACAAGGTGCCGCTGTCAAGCCAATAGTCGACATCGCGCTTGTTGAGCATTGCACTGAAGACACGCACGAGGTCTGTGATGGACTTGGTGCGCTTACGAGCAGTGACACAAACTTCCGGGCGATAGTAGTGGGCATCAATGTGTCCTTCAAGCTCCGCGCACCAAAAACTACGAGCTCCATTAGGCAGACCACGCATTAGAGCATGATCAGACTCCGCAAGCTCGGAAAGCAGCCACCAACACAGCGATGAGATGAGCATCGACGCCAAAGTACCCGCTGTCCATCGAGAATGTAGCAAGTCACGCAATGCTGGTCTCCACACCGTCATGAATCGATGCATTCCAATAATTTGTTTAGACATCGATGATAAGTCGCTGGATATTCCACAGTGTGGAATATCCACACCACGCGCAATTGGTGTCAAGTCGCCGCCACCGGTGTGCAGTATAAATTCTAGGGATCGCGCTTCAAATCCCTGGCTACAGGAATTATCTTATCTGAGTGGATGTCCACTCAGATTTTTCCCAAAGCAGCTTTTCCTATCCCAAATATTACACTAACAGTTTTATTTTAGATAAGAAGTCCCGTGAAAAATCTGAGTGGGCATCCACTCAGATAAGATTATTCCGTACAAGCTACTGTACCTGTGACGGGGTCACACAGCACCTTGCGCTAGAGGAAGTTATCTTCCGAGAGTATATAAACTCTCAGTGAACGACAGTTCACAGGTCCCCTCTTTAATTAAAGAGAGCGAAGTAACATAAATAAGGTAGTATATTTATAGGTAGGTTAAGTTTGGGTTAATAC